AAATTTTGGAAATTTTTATTCTTGATAAAATATCACATCTTTAAAGTACTTTATCGTTCATCAATTAGTTTTTCCAAAAAATTAAAAGTTTAAGCGAAAAACGTTATTTGACTGAAAATGGTGAAAATATTGAAAGCCTTAAAAATAATGATTTGTATAAATATTTAGGTTTCAAACAGTCAAATAAAATATCACATAGTAATATTAAAGAAACACTGGTACATAGTTTCAAAATGAAGTCTAAACAATTGCTTAAAATTCAATTAAATTCAAAAAAATCTTATAGAAGCTATAAATACATTTGCAATACCAGTATTAGTATATTCGTTTGGAGTGATTAAATGGACAAAAACAGATTTTAATTACATTAATATCAAAATCAGAACACTGTTTACTCAGTTTAGAAAACACCATCCAAAATCGTCCATTGAAAGATTTTCATTATCAAGAGAAAGTGGAGGGCGTGGTTTTTTAAATTTACTTAATTTATATTGTAGACAAATTTTTTCACTTAGGAAATATTTCTTAGATCAGAGTAATAATAATATTTTGATCAGGGCTATTTGTTTGAGTGATGAGTATTTGTGTTTTTTTACTTTTATACGTTAGAGATTATCTTACAAAGAACCGATTCATCAATAAAATTAACTTGGAAGAGTTTGAAATACCATAATTTCGATTATAAAGTTTGGGGTAGAATTTAAACCTGAGATTATCAAATTACAAATACATAAATTTATTTAAGAAATGTATTTTGCAAGTATACAGTATGTTCCCGGATACCGTTTACAAGAGGAAAAAAAAATACCTTTGATTTTACGCCAAAACTGCAAAGGAAAAACATTTTTAGCTTGATTTGACTTTTAAGGTTCTTTATCTACAGCTTTTAAAAATCAAAATTGTAGGACCAGTTTTAAATGCCAGAATTTTTTAATAAACTGAATTTTACCAATTTCTATCAAGTTATTTCTTTTATAATCAAAATTTTGAACTTAATAATACATTTTATAATAGCCAGTCAAAAGGAAACAAATTTTTACCTTTGGTTTTACGCCAAAAAAGGAAACGAAATATTTTTTTTTTCTATAGCAGATGTTAAACTATTTCTTTATAAACTCTTTTGAGTAGATAAAGTAACAGCAAGGGTTGTTTTTGCTTTATCTGAAACGAGCAAATCTGTAGTTAAAACTTCATTATTCTGACTCAGTAGAAAGAAAAGTTAATTTTTTTCTTACTTTTAAACTTGTAATAATAATCTTTCTTTGCTTTTCAAGTCCCATCACATTGGCGATTTAATTTTTTTGACAACGTTGTCACTTTGACAATTAATTAATTAATTGCATGATTGTTTTTGTTAAAAATGACTGTTTTTTTAGAAGCTGTTTTTTTGACTTGCCATTTATTAAAATTATATTTTTTACAAACATTTTTGTTATTTAGCTTGCGTTAACTCAAAACGACATCGTTGTCAAAAAAATAAAACGCTAATGTGGGATTTAAAACGCAGAGAAAAAATTACAATAGATTACACGACTTTTATACCCTAAATTTCTTATAGATTTTGAGGCAAAAAAACTATTTAAAAAAGTCCACCACGTTACGTTTAAGAAATAATTATGTAATTAACAAAAATACAAAAACCGCTAAAGAACAAATTAAAAATGAGTTAGTAAAATAACTCAGTTATTATACTTTTTTGGATCAGTTTTCTTTATAACAATCCAACAGTAATCTACTAACATATTTTCATCCCAAAAACCTTCGTGTCGATCTTTGAAAACCCTTCAGATCTTGATTAAAACGCTCGTCTTGTTTGTCTCTCATGCTCCTTAAATTTTTAGAAAAGAAGTTCAAATGCGAGTGAAATGTTTTTAAGACCTATTTAGACCCATATGGTAATAATTTTGCAATAATTCAGCAACAATTTGAATTTAAATAAATGTTAAATCGGAGGCACTGGTGCAGAAAGCAGGAAAATTATCGTCTGTAACAAAAAAACTGTGACGTGATAGAAAAATTTAACAATTATTTTTGTTTAATTAAAGGTAAGTTAACATAAAAATAATAATTCGATTAAAGGTTGAATTGTTTGTAGACTATAGTGTTATTAATTATTACAAGCTCAAAATCAAGAGAAAAATTAAATTTTCTTTCCAATGAGTGAAAATAATGAACTTTTAAAATTACAGACTTACCGGTTTGAGGTGAAGCAAAAAATGTTTTTTTTGCAATGTTAGCGTAAAATAAAAAAATCCGGGGACATACTGTATAATATAAGTTATTATTATTATAATGGCATTAAATTTACCACTTTGGGTTTTTTGCTTTGTTTAGAAGTAATAAAAATAAATATAAAAAACGGAAGAAACTAGCTTTTTGTTAATAAAATTAAAAGTAAATCACAAAAATTTTGTTAAGGTAATGAAATACATGGGCATGCATTTTTTTCTCTAAAATTTGCTTAGTGTCATTTTGCAAATTATTATAATCACCATTTAATAATCTCTACTCATTGAAGAAATTTTCAGAAAAAGACCGTTTTGAAGAAACGTGTATCCTCGAATCCGGACCAACTTCCTAAATAAGGGTCTTTCGACATATTACCTGCTCCCCAACTAGTTAGTCGGAGACAAGACTTTATCAGAAAAATTTGAAAAATAAGAAAAAATACGATTTTTTCACCAACTTACCGGTTGCAGATTCTCCGCTATGGTCAGAACTGACTTTTAATTCAACAAATTCGGCCGGTTCGGAATACTCAATTTCTTGTTCCGCTGGCCGTTTCGCCTGACCCGTTTTCGATCCCGGTTTATGTTCTGGATTTTTTTTAGGAGCACTACGTTTTTTGTTTTGTCGTTTCGGCGAACTTTTTACCGGTTTTGGTTTGGGATCTTTCTTTGTTTTACTGGCCGGCTTTTCCCGATTTACTTTCCGTTTCCGCTGTTTCTTTTTCTTCGTTCCGTCACATTCTTCCCCGCTTTCGTGGCTATGCCGAGGCTATGAGAAAAAATCACTAAAGGAAGAATAATCGCAAAATAATTACTTACTTCCTCCCCAGTGTGACTTTCTTTATTGGGTGATGCACCTGGTTTAGTTGGACTCGAATCGGAGCGTTTCCTTTGTGTAGCACTTAAGCGAATCGTGTGGTCTTTTTCTGGATTTGTGAGAAATGAAACTATAGCAGGTCGCAAACTCTTTCCAGTATTAATAAAAATTTTGCCTTGAATAAACTAAAATCTCTTAATTAGTTATTTTATTTGGTAATAACACAGGCCGACAAAAAAAAGTCATGTCGTGACAACTTGACAAATTATATATCATTTTGTTCGTCTCAGTGAGACAAATCAAATGCACTAAAAAAAATTCCAAAAAGTCCACACACTTTGAACTAAATAATTTTTTTCTAATTTAAATGAATTTAAAATACTTTAACTTTAAAAAATCATTACTCAATAACTATTAGGCCGATTTCCTTCAAATAAAGGGATGGACTTGCCCTTTAGAATGATATGAAATTTGAAATTGAATATTGGCAAACTTTTCTTCGAACACTGTTCGAAGAAGTTCGAAGTAAATCGAAATAATCTAAGAAAAACCCTACTAGTAATTTTTTCTTCGTCATCATCGTGTAGCGAATCTTTTTATTAGTAAGAATCCAAGTTTTTAAAATAATATACCGAGTAGTTTTTAAGATATGATTTTTTGAAGTTAAGGTTTGCTATTCGAGTATTGCGCCATATAAGAGAAATGCATGTTAATCTTACTTAAAATTGCATTTTTATAAAAGTATTTGTTTTAAGACTCTTCTTTTGCGTAAAAATGGTCAATTGCACNGAGAAATGCATGTTAATCTTACTTAAAATTGCATTTTTATAAAAGTATTTGTTTTAAGACTCTTCTTTTGCGTAAAAATGGTCAATTGCACCTTCTTTGCTCTAATTACAATAAACAAAAACTGTTTGTTTACTTAAAACAAATAAAGAGTACCTGCCTACTAATTAAAGCAAATAAAGAGTTTTTTTGTTGTAAAAATGACCACTGATCATTGAGCAAAGAGGATCTAAAATTTTAAGGCACGAGCCTTAAGTATAAGGGCAAATCTTTTTCAAATCAAATCACTTTTCATTCAGATTTCGACTTGTTCACTTTGTTCTAGCTTTCTGAACTTTTTTTGAAAATGTTTTCTGCAAATGCTTTTTCAACATTTTCGAGTGATGTTAAATGCAATAAGTCACCTGATTTATTTTGTTGGTACATTCTACGATTAGCTTCAGTTAGCTTGTGGTGATAACAGTTGCACACGAAGCAACTGACTTATTGCATTCAACATCAGTAGAAAGTGATAAAAAAGCATTTGCTGAGAACATTTTCAAAAAAAAGTTCAGAAAGCTAGAACAAAGTGAACAAGTTGGAATCTGAATGGAAAGTGATTTAATTTGAAAAAGATTTGTTCATATATTTAAAGTTACTGCTTTAAACTTCTAGATCCTTTTTCAGTGATCATTTTTAGAACAAAAAAACTCTTTATTTGCTTTAATTAGTAGTTTGCTGTAAGTAGAAAAACAGTTTTTTGTTTATTCTAATGAGAACAAAGAAGGTGCAATTGACCATTTTTAAGCAAAAGAAGAGTCTTAAAACAAATACTTTTATAAAAATGCAATTTTAAGTAAGATTAACATGCATTTCTCCTATATGCCTGAATAGCAAACCTTAACTTCAAAAAATCATCTTAAAAACTACTCGGTATATTGTATTAAAAATTTGGATTCTTACTAATAAAAAGATGCTCTACACGATGGTGACAAAGAAAAAAAAAATACTTGTAGGTTTTTTCTTAGATTACTTCGATTTACTTCGAACTTCTTCGAACACTGTTCGAAGAAAAGTTTGTCAATATTCAATTTCAAATTTCATATCATTCTAAAGGGCAAGTCCATCCCTTTATTTGAAGGAAATCGGCCTAATAGTTATTGAGTAATGATTTTTTTAAAGTTAAAGTATTTTAAATTCATTTAAATTAGAAAAAAATTAATTAGTTCAAAGTGTGTGGACTTTTTGAATTTTTTTAGTGCATTTGATTTGTCTCACTGAGACGAACAAAATGATATAAAATTTGTCAAGTTGTCACTACATGACTTTTTTTCTGTCGCCTTGTGTAATCAAACCTTTAATCCACAATTTTTGCAATGTTGTGACCTTGTTTTAAATTGCAGATTTTCATCATTGTGACAAGAACAAATACAACTAGATCCTCCATAAGGATCATCCATGTCTGGTAATACCACAGTTTCACAAATCTCAGAATCTGGGGGTCTTGCCAATTCTTTCGACCAATCAATGACCTCGTGGGGCCTCCCTGTTAAACTACATTTTTTTTTAAATTAAAATCGACTCATTTTTTAAATACTTACAGTTTAGGAGGCCTCTCATATGGGAAAATTTGCAAAAACCAATCAGTTAACGCCGCATTGCCTTTAAATAAAGGCAAAACTGTGCTCTTAATATTTTCCATTGTTAGGTCAGAATTTTCCGTCAAGTCACTAATACATTTGATAACTTTTTTTAACTGTGAGGGTTGATCTTTGAAATAAGTGTGCAACTTGTTCACAAATCTATGCATATCTTTCATTAGAAAATAAGGCATAAGCTGGCCCACCTTCTTAGCTTGTATTTCAGTGAGAAACAGAAGAAATTCGTCTGACAACTCTTTATATTTAGGAAAAAGAATTGATTGTACATTTTTGTAAAGATCCACAAACTGGCCGCTGTTTTCATCATAATGACTCAAAATATTAATAAGTTGCTTAAAATCGTCCAAACTTAATGTTTGATGGAGTTTATCAAAAAACGATTCCGCAAAACCTGAAACACTTTTACACAATTTTATTTACACAAGAGCGATACATTACTTTCTTCTTTTTGAAGCTCTGTTTCGGGATTATCTGGTGTTGCCATCACAATGTTAGCGATGAATTCTCGTCGCATTTTCGCCCGTTTTTTCTCAGCACCTGATGGTTCTTTCTTTGTCACACTTTTAACAGTTGAGCTAGCAATCATTAGCTCATTAATATCATCTGGATTATCCTAAAAACAGAGTGAAAACCACACAAATGATAAAAATTACGCAACAAACCTTTGTATCGGAGCTGGTAGCATGTCTTGTGGAATCCGGTTTCTGAAATTCTATACTAAAACTGGTGATGTTTTCAAAGGACAAATTCTGTCGAACTGGAGCTTTTTCACTAGAGTTTGTACTATTTTCTTTTGAGTTCGTTTCTGGTTCAGGAGTGTTTTTTATGGGGGTGCCCCCCAAACTTGGCATATCAGGCAGCATTGTTAGTTTATTAATCACAGTTTTGTCACCACTTAATACTTCCACTGAAGACTGTCTCTTTTTCGGTGCTCTACGTCGTGTTTTTCGTACCAATAAAGGAGGAAGCGGCCCGTTTGGTTGTAATTTTCTCTTCGAAATTATTTTCTTTGAAAAATTTAAATAACGCGACGCGGACGTTTTTGTAGTTGCAGGACACAGTTGCACCGGTGGATTTACAACTATTATTTGATTATTATTTTCGTTAGTATTGTATTCGATCGGTTTTTCTTGCTAAAATTGTGCATAAATAAAAAAATTGTAGGTTAAATATTGACATTTGTTGTTATTGCCATTACTTCAAATTCTCATTAGTAATAATGATTAGTACCGGCTACCACCACAAGTAGCGCCACAAGCAACTCAACATTTTTAAGTTTTTTGCTAATTTGCGTTTATTAACGTCTCTCAGTAGGAGTCGTTTATGGCTATCTATAAAAGCACACTCATATTTTATTTATTATTATTATGTTGTAACACTAATAACTAATAATTTGTAAATTTTATTTTTAATGACAGACGGCAGAATTGATTCAAAAAATCAGGTAGTTGCCGAGTGTCACCAACCGATACCAACTAACACAAAATTCTCTAGACAAAATTTTTTTTTTTGAATTAAAATAAAAAAAGGGGGCGCAAATTAGAAAAAATAGCATAAAATACTCATTTTATAATGGCATTGGCGCACTCATCCCAAAAAAACTTGTTCTTTAATATACTATTAAAACAAACCTTATAATTTGGATAGATGTACTGTCGCCACAAAAGGGGAAGAGACTCCGGACTTTTCTTACAAGGAGGGCACAAATTATTGACATCTACAGGAACCACATAATGTACAGTAGGTGGTGCCTTTTTGTGAGTGTAGAAAAACTTGATTGGATTTGATTCATCATCCATTTGCTTTATCTTCCTAATGTGTATTAGAATTTTCTGTGGGGGCACATGAGGCATTAAGAATTTATTTATGAGGAAACAAACATGATCCATATTAATTTTCTTGCGTTTATTTAAATGATGTGGATCTTGTTTCATGAACGGAATTGCCTGCTCCAAAAATAAGGCAATCAAACTAAAAAACAAAAAAAAAATAATAAGTAAATTTACAACAATAAAAAAGTTACTTTTCCTCTCCAGAAGTAAAATAATATTTTCTTCGATTTGTAACATGAAACGATCTAAATGGAATTCTTGGAAGTAAATCAGGATAAATAAAAACTTCACTATTTGAGACAGTTTTGAGTAATAAGGGTGGAAATGTTACAACGTATTCAGTCCCAGCTTTTCTAGCTGCTATTCTAAAATCAACAAAATTAAAACAAAAACCTCAAATAATACAACTTACGATTCAAAAAGAACTTTGTCAACATATCTAAAATAAAAATTACAATCATTACATAAACCTTAAAATCAAAAACCTTACTTTTTGCATTCTTTCACTTCATTGTTTTTACTTGCGAATAATTTTTCCCAATCATCTATCAATTTTAATGCAGGTTCTAAATTAATTACGTGGTAAATGGAAGCAGTTTTGCCGTCTGTTTCCGCTTTTAAGTCAAACTAAAATATTGCGATGAAAAAAGCAAACTTTTCACCGATTTTAACTCACAAGCATTTCTTTGACTTTTCCTGCCAAGTCGGAAAATTCAGGGTGTTCGTAACTCAGTAAAAAATTCTGTGTCAGCATTTGAATGTGCTGTCTCATCTGTTGGGCTAAAATGGGTATTTGGCTTTTTTTGATTGAAATATCTGCCTCATTTTCATAATCAGATTCTGAATTGGTTTTCTGCTGCTCAGGAATTGTGGTTACATCTTCAGAATTTGTTTTACTTAATTCATTCGATTCATAATTGTCGGCGAATTCAAATAATTCAGTCATTAGTTGGTTGAATTCTTTTCGCGAAATGGTTACAGCTCGATCAGCCCGCAATTCCTCTGTATCCACTGAAAGAATATTTCAGTTTGAAATTTTTGATTTTTCAACTGACCTTCATCAATTTCTTCATCTGCAAGTATGTTATATTCAGGATCATGGTCTTCATCTTCAGCAGTCTTAGTGACTTCATCTAAAGGTCTTGTGAATGTTTTCAAAAATTCTTTCCATTCGTCATCATCACAATCCATATCATACATGTCAGTAGTGATATCAGGAGGTATAAAAGCTTCTTCAATCACTTCCAAAGGGGTGTGACTGAGACTTAACTTTGACCTTGTCCTACGGGCAATGTTTGCTTCCTCTGCCTCATCTCTTACAGTCCCTTGAGATGTGTCCAATTGGCTATCAAAAGAAGTATTTTTAGTTGGAGTTTCAGGAACATATTCATCTCCAGATGACTCTTCTTGTAAATCTTCAGTAAATAATTTTTGAACTGCAGACACTTTTTTCGGTGGTTCGTTCCATGGAATGGCTGGAGCATTTGTTGATAACAATTGCCTTAAAAAAACATTACTTTTGCATTTAAAAAACCCTACAACTCACTTTGTTTTAGCCCTGGTAAATTTAGGCTCATACACTGGAACAATTTCTTCATTTTGATCAAGATTTTCAACTTGTCTGACCAAAGCCAGAACGTGTTCATTGGTCACAACTTCTTTTATGATGTTTTTAACATTATTTGCTGTTAAATTCGCTTTTGCAGCTTTCTCTTCCAAATTCTCTTCCAAATCTTTTTCAACACACTCAATTATCTTTTTATCTTTCTCGTTCAGTTCTTTCTTCATCCTCTTTTTCGGTCGGGGGCTTTCAACAATTTGTAATCCGTCGTCCGAATTTTCGGCCTCTGAGTTGCACTCCATTTTACACATATAAACGCCGTTAAAAAAACACTAAAATCTCTAATTGAAACGATATTTTAAATAAACTTGAAACGTTTTTCCACTTTTTGAAATTAATAACATAACCTCAAACTTTGATCACTTCAAAATATCCCTGAAGTTTGCTCAAACAACATGGCGGCAACTTAAAATTTAAGCATTTAAAACATAATAAAATTATGTTCTGTATTTTTGACTGGTATATTAACTAATGCTGTTTATTTATTTTTTCTAATTTGCGTTTATTTTACGTTTATTAATGCCTCTCAGTGGCTATATTCCTTTTCATATTAATGTGCATCGAAGTAGTCGTTGAAAGGGATCATTTTAAGGTGGCAAACATGCGAAAATTCAAACAATCCTAACTTCAATCTTTCTTAAAAAATATTTTTTCAAATAAATGTGTACCTCATGTAGCAAAAAATAATTAAAATTAACAACGTAATTAACATAGAGTAGCAAACTTTAAAGATTTTTGTTATTATTGATGTGATTAAATTTGTTCTGAATGACATTAATGACACTTTTTGTGTAAATAGGCCTTTAACTTAAAGATTTATTTAGACTTGTACAACCTACTTGATGCATATTAATATGAAAAAAAGTATATCTATAAAAGCACACTGTACTTTAATGGATTTAGGGTTATTTAGTATTTGTATGCCGCATCTGACTTGTCAGCTAACAAATTTTGCGTTGTTGCTTCGGCAATTTCGCGAATTTCGGGCGAAGTGCAAACTAAATTCTGTTGGCTCATATTTTATTTATTATTATATGTTGTAACACTAATAACTAATAATTTATAAATTTTATTTTTAAAGACAGACGGCAGAATTAATTCAAAAAATCAGGTGGGCGCCGAGCGTAACCAACCGATACCAACTAACACAAAATTCTCTAGACGACAAAAATATATTTTTTTATATAATAAAATAAGAAAAAAGGGAGCGCAAATTAAAAAATAGCATAAAATACTCGTTTTATAATGGCATTCATCCTTATAAAACTTGTTCTTTAATATACTATAGTGATAATATTATTGTTCATAATTTTTTAGTTGCTCATTTTAGTTTTTACCTTATTTTTAAGAAAAGTGTTGGTAGACTTGCGTGAACGTCAAAAAATTTATAAATGGCGTTAGTGACATGACAGCTGTAAAACGAAAACAAACTTGTAGAGTAATTTATGCGTAATAAGCGTGATTAGCAAAAAAATGGTTTATTTTTACGTTAATTGAAATAGTATGAAATAAAAAAATGGCTTCAGTGAAAGTAGCAGTAAGAGTAAGGCCCTTTAACCAAAGGTAATAAAAAAATAGAATAACATGGTTGGATGCACATAACAAAGAGCAATGAACTTATTGCATTTTTATATTTTAGGGAACTTGACATGGATGCAAAATTAATTATTCAAATGAACGGAAAGACCACAGGAATATTAAATTGCAAGGTAGTTTGAAAAATTAATTATGGTCATTTTCTTGCTCATTTTTTAAGGCAAATGCACGAGATGAAAACATTAGATACAAGGAATTCACTTTTGATCATTCATATTGGTCCCACGACGAGAATTCACCAAATTTCGCATCCCAAGAACGGGTTTATAGTGACTTAGGGACAGAAGTCGTGGATTGTGCTTTTCAAGGATATAACGCTTGCGTTTTTGCTTATGGGCAAACCGGGAGTGGAAAAACCTTTACCATGATGGGATCTCCAGTAAGGCTTCTATCAGAACTTGAAAAGTGAAATAAAATTTGCTTCTTCAGGATAACCAAGGTTTAATTCCCAAAATTTGTAAATCTTTATTTGATAGAATGGCAGAGAATTCAAAACGGGGCACTACTCATAGGGTACAAGTGAGTTACCTTGAAATTTACCAAGAACGTGTGGCTGATTTGTTACGAGGGCGCGATAATTCGTCTTTGAAGGTTAGGGAACACCCCAAAAAGGGGCCGTACGTTCAGGGCTTAACAACTTGTCTCGTCACTAATTATGGACACATTCAGGAATGCATGAATAGGTAAAAAAATGTCTTTATTTGCTATTTTTTAATTAATAATTTTAGAGGTAATTCGCATAGGACAACAGCTGCAACCAATATGAATGATGTAAGCAGTCGTAGCCACGCTATTTTTACTATAACTTTTGTACAAGCTGGCTATTGCGATGGTGTACCTAGTGAAACAGTTTCAAAGGTATTTTTTGCTATGTACAGGGTGTTTGGTCCAAGTGGCCCCGGCCGATAACACGTAAACTTACTTTTTTTCAAATAATACTATTCATTCCGGACTTTCTTAGTAAATACATCAAATTTTTTTGGCACATCCGGTGTAGCCAGAAATGCTACCAAATTTTTCAAATGGAACATTTATGTTTTTTTGCTCGAAACAATAATAATTGGCATGAAAAATATGGTAAACCACTGTTTATTACATTTTACTTTACATAATGCACTCAAAAAACAATTTAAATTTTAGAATTTTATTAGTAAATTTTGCAACGTAGGATTTTACTTGTCAAGATATTCATGCAAAAAGTAATATGCCCTTAAGGGGATTCTACCCGAAGTCTTATGGGAATTACAATCTATACTCGATCTAAAATATATCGGAAACTAACTGGAATTTTTGCTTTTTTTTAAATTAAAGATATGTGTTATATGCAGGGGCTCAATTTTTGCTTTTTCCAAAAAAGGTAGTTATTAAATTTTTATCGAATTAAATGTAATTTTTTTTCTTTAATTTGTTTTAAATTCAGCCCCTATAAAATAATGTAAATAAGTAGTACGCAAAATATATCTTCAAAATATTGAAGAATGTAAAAATGCCATCGAATCGGATTAATAATTTTTATAACTTTTATCTCTTATAAGTTCTCTCTTTTCACTGTGGTTCGACCGAGGTAAAGGAACCCATCATAATAATCGTTTACCACAACTGGCAATAATGCCACAATTACGAAATTATATGTATTTACTTTATCGTTGAGGTTTTAACACAATTTTTACATCAGTAGGTATCTTTCTAAGGTAATAAATAAAATTAAAAATAATTATGAAAAATGTAGTAAGTACTTTTTTTTTGCTCATGTCGATTTTGTCAGATAAAAATCTTTATTTTTATAACAGGCAATTTTCAATATTGAGTGACGACGTTATCATGACATTTTTAAGAATTGTGAATGAAAAAACAATTTTTTTACGAAATCAATTGTACAAAAACTTGTAAATTAGTTTCCTGCTTATTGTCAAGATGTCAATAAATTGCACTAAATCTGATCATGACTTAATTTTGTCCGACAATAATAAATTTTTGAAAAAAATATTTTGTTTTATAGTGGTTTATAAAAATAAGGTAACTGGGTGAAAATTAGTTCAGGTGGGTCCAGTTGTGAGGGAAACACGGGATGTTTGTCAGAAGAGAAAGAAGTCATAATTTGCAAAAAATGTAGATATTATTGTCACAACTGAAATGTGGTTTTACAACAATCAGAACGTTTTAACAATTATATTAATAATATTAATATTAATTTAATAATAATTGCATATTTAGATAAACAAACAATCCAGAGAAAACAATTACAATACAGTGCGATCAAAAAGTCTTTCTAAGACGTAGGTGTCCTAATTGAGGACGTATGTCGCATGACATTTCGTATGTTAGCTAGATGTCAAAAAGTTATTTAATAGTTTTATGTTTTCAAAAAATTTCCCAACATTAATAATGGAGCAGAAATCTAAAAATTGTTTAAAAAAAATGACAAATTGTCAAAATAATGTTTATGTAGCTATAAAATACGATTTGATTGACAGCGTGTTTTATGGAATACACTTCTCTTGCCATTTTGTCAACTTTAATATTATTTTGACAAATGCTTCATAATAATTTCTGAATTTAGTAAACTTTCTAATTTAATATTAAAATTATAACAACACGAATTTTAATAGTTCCTTAAAAATCTCGGACTATTACATTTACGCACCCTAATGGTCGCTCGACTACGACTTTAATTTTAAATTCGAATTTGTTTAGGGCTGAAATAAATATAAAATAAAAACAAAATCAAATTTAAAAATGTGTAAAAATCCAAGAACCAGATGTCGCTCAGATTAATTAATTTTTTTTTTTTTGTAATAACTTCGGAACCATTTATTACTTATTATTATTATTTTCTCGCGAAACTATCAATTTTCTTGACAAAAAAAATTATAGGTGTACAATGGCTATAAAATTGCTATTCTAAAAAAAATTGAATATCAATTAATTGTTTATACTTACGAGATAACATTTTTTTAAATGGAAATCTACCACAATTTTTTTCTAGACAATGAGCTTGTTACAAGAATTCTTGCTGTGCATTTTTTTTTTGTAAACAAGACTTTTTGTTAAAAAAATGTTTGACGTACAAGTATTAATTTTTTTTTTTTTGATAAACTACTCGTTTTTTTTTTAAATAAATTGATGAATGTTTAAAGGTTGTAAAAAAGCTATGCCAAGATATTTTTTATTTTAATTAATTGTTTAAACGTACCACCCCTGGGCTGGTGGAAGAAAGTTTTGACAAAAGATAAAGTTTATAATTTTTTTAACATAAATTGTAACGTTTTTAATAAATATTTTTGTACATTTATAAAATGCATGAACATATCTTTGTAAAACAATAAATAAAAAATTGTTTTATTTAAGAAAAAAATATTAATAGTATGGTAATCTCAAAGGTTTAAACAATTTTTCTCTTTAACATATTTTGTAATCAGATCTTTTTTCTTAGACTGTCTAATTTTTAACTTGAACTGAAATTTTTAATTAGAAATTTGTGATTTGCCATAGTTCCTAAAATATGTACGAAGTTGACAAAATATGCATTTTTTAATTGGTCTATTTTAATCAAAAAACATCAGTTATGCATAGAAAACTAATTTTGTTGATATACCTCTTAATAACAAATATGCATTTTGCATATAATTCAAGCCTTATTTATGAATAACCATGTATAATGTAACAAGAAAAATCAGTGTAATTTAAATAGATATCGCTGTATAATTATTGTAGTGCGGAAAAAACATTAAAAACAAGTGTAATTTGTTCTTAACAAATGGGGAGTTTTACTATTTTTTGGGAAAAATGTTCATCTTTCCGCCACTGTAACTCGTTAACCACTAAACTTACAAAAAAATGTTGATACAAAAAATGTGAGAAATTTTGTCTTCTTTAACTTTCATCTGAACACTTTTGCCGTAGAATCAACCGCTGCGGAGTTATTTTGGAAAAACAAATTTTTTTGTATTTTTCATCCAAATTCTAAGATTTAAGATGTTTTCTGGTTGCATTGTGTTACTCAAAATGTAATAAATTGTGGTTACCGTATTTTTCATGCCAGTTATTATTGTTTCGAGCAAAAAACATAGTTTGAAAAACTAAATTTGGTAGTATTTCCGGCAACACCGGATGTGCTAAAAAAATGATACATTTAAAAGTCAAGAATGAATATTATTACTTAAATATTTACTTTTTGAAAAAAAGAAGTAAGTTTAGGTGTTATCAGCCGGGGCGACTTGGACCGAACACCCTGTATTTTCGATTTTTTTTTATTTAGGTGTGTTTCTAGATCCATCTAGTAGATTTAGCAGGTAGTGAAAGAGCCGACGCGACTGGCGCAACCGGTCAGAGATTAAAAGAAGGGGCCCACATTAATAAATCTCTTGTGACTCTTGGTTCTGTGATATCGGCTTTGGCTGAATTATCAGTGGAAAATAGTGGCCAAAGAAAATCATTTTTTATACCATATCGAGATTCTGTACTCACTTGGCTCTTAAAAGATAGCTTAGGTGGTAATTCTAAAACTATAATGATAGCAACAATTAGTCCTGCTGGTATTTTGTTTAATGTTTTTTTATTTGATAATAAACTGATGAGTATTTTTAGATTGCAATTATGGTGAAACTTTGAGTACACTAAGATACGCAAATCGCGCTAAGAATATTATTAATAAACCGACTGTTAATGAAGATCCTAACGTTAAATTAATTAGGGAATTACGAGATGAGATTAGTAAATTAAAAGCGCTTATGTTTAGTGAGCAAAGGTCGGATATGTTGGCACAACTGCATGAAAAAGAAGCTAGAGAAAAAGTACGTTGGAGTTAAAATTGGAAAATATTTTTATTGTGAATTTAAGGAATTGACAGAGGAGTGGGCTGGTAAATGGCGAGAAGCTCAAGCTATTCTCAAGGAACAAAGGGCATTGGGGTTGCGTAAAGCAGGTCCTGGGGTTGTTTTAGACTCAGACAGGCCACATCTAGTGGCAATTGATGACGATCCTCTTAGTACAGGTGTAACCTTATACCATCTCAAGGAGGGAAAAACTACAATTGGAACGGAAGATTCTGACGTAAAACAGGATATAGAACTAAAAGGGGCCGGTATGGAGCCCCAACATTGTACAATAAGTTTTGAAAATGGTATCGCAACACTTACCCCAAATCCGGGTGCTTATGTCATGTTGAATAATGTGCTTATTGAGGCTCCTGCTAGACTTTCCCAAGGTTGCATTATTTTCCTCGGAAAAGCTCACGTCTTTCGGTATGGATTTAATTAATATTAGTTTTGTTTGAAAATCGTTTTTTTTTTTTTTTTGTAGTTTTAATGACCCTGCCGAAGCTGCAGAATTGCGTAAAGGCGAACGCACTTATAATTTGTCGCGTTTGAGTTTATTGAGTTGGTCAACTCCTGATTTGGCTGTGTCTATGGAGAATTTGCAACCGTGAGTGTGTAAAATGAATAAAATTAATTTTTCCTACGACCATATACGAAAGTCGATCATAACGCACAATTACATATGCGCGAAAATTTGCAATATCGTACCAGGTCAGAAACCTGTGCGATTTATTTTCGCGCTGTGTGTTAGAAATCTAACGCACAATTCACACTCAAATGTTTTGTATTTTTTCATTTAACGTATTTTTTTTTTGTATCCATTATAAAAAATAAATCGTTATTCAACGTATTTTTGTATCCATTATAAAAAATAAATTCTTATGAAAAAAAATATGTTTGTAAGAAAAAAATTATTTATGGTCGTAGGAAAAATAGTGTACAAAACTTGCAGGAAAGTGTCTAACGCACTCGCGGTATTGCCTACACTCGGCTAATGCCTCGTGCGCATCTTTCCCGCTTGTGCGTTATTTATCACTTTCCGTACTCGTTATGTAATATACATTTAACATTTTGGTTTTTAACAGAAGTCAAGATGATGAAAAAAGTGAAATAGAGATTCAAAGACTTAATTTAGAAAAGGAAAAAGAGGTGTTTGAGAAGGAACAAGAAGCGTTTGAGAGGAAACGAAAAACTTTAGAAGAGGCTCAAGCGAAATTAGAGGCCGAGAAAGCATTGATGCATCAAGAACATGCTCGTCAGGTGTGTATCACAGACTAATAAAGTATAAAGACGGTTAAAGCCTATACAAGGTGCGCCAGAACTCGCGCCCCAGAGAAAAATTTCAAATAACATAAGATACCAGGAACATGAAAGAAATGTTTAAAAAATTCTATCTGTCAAAAAATTTTGACATTTATTTTTTGACATTTGACATTTTTTTATGTCTATTTAATGATACTGATGATCTTGTATATGTTTTTTACAATTATTTAGTAAAGGGACAAAAATTTTGACAATAAAAGCCACAAATGACATTGAACAAAGTTACAATTTAGGATACAGCTTCCTTGTTTCCTCTTTTAATAGCCTATAGCAAAAAAACTTGAAAAATTATTTTTCCAACAGAAATAAATAAAGGCAAAATGCAAAATTTAAACTCTCATAACTTCGAAATTTTCATAGATAAAATTTTTTTAACATTTTTTCCTGGTATCTTACCTTATATGGCATTTTTCTCTGGGGCGCGAGTTCAAAAAGAAAAAAACGAAGATGAATAAACAAGAAACAATCTAATATAAAATGGGAAATAAAACAACAACAAACATAAAATTAACTAGAACCGGGTATATTTCGGAAGATGTTCAATCGCCTTTGATACTTTTTTGCACTAATTTCGTCTTGAAATTTTCTCTAGACATCTTGTAATTTTTTTGTAATTATTAATTTTACAGTAATATTTATAATATCATTTTGAAGTGCACTTTTGTGTGCGGCACAAGTGATCCAGTTGAAATTTACTGCTTTTTAAAGAACAATTTTAAGTTTATGTGTTATGTTGTCAACTCGACGAATTTGTCTATATAAAATATAACAGCATCAAAAATTTCAGCAACACAAAAGCATAAATCTTTGCTGGTTTATTGTAGTCTCAGTTTCTTGTTGTCGTATGTAAAGTGAAAATATGACATTGATCTAACTTTTCTGTTATTAGATTATTTATGCAATTATCACAGTGTAATTTTTTTCTTAATTTTCGAGTCAAAAAAACACAAACATTAAAAATCATATTCATCAGAAAAAGCCTCGTTTTTATGCCGCACAAGTTAATAGTTCGTTTGAATTATCTGGAACATGTGGAAGAGGTATTGGTTCATTTTCTATTAGAAATTCTCTCAAATTATCTAAGATCTTGCCTTCATCTCCTTCACAATTTTCGGAGCAATTTTTATTCGAAATCAAATTATTTAAAATACTCGTTTTAAACTAAACAGTCTGGATTAATGTTGCCAGATCCATGTTGTCTAATTATTCCAAATAAATTTTCAATTGGGTCTTGATTGAGCATTTGTATTCGTAAAAATTTGAATCCTTCTTTGCAACAATTAAAAAGAATTTTTATGGCTTCAATATTATTAAGCCATCTACATTTGAATGGCATATCTTCTTTATCTGGCCACTTTCTTCATGTAAAATTTCCAACTTCTAATTTTAGTTTTGATTGATTCCCAAAAGCTCCAATGACAAGATGTAGATGTTAATGCTCGTCTCAAAGGTGTATCACATTTTTCATTTTTAAAAGACGATAAAGATAACATTCTCTAATTTTGCGTAATGTTTGAAAGCGCCTATTTTTGTCATATTCATAAGCTTTCCTTAAAAACAAAAATTTCGCTTTTCTCGTCTCTTCAAAAAAAATTGTGTACTTCAGCAATGAATTGCGAGAGGATTTTAACAAATGTCGTAAAAACTGACAATTTGTTGGGAATTCATAAAAAATATGGTTTTGAAATGTCCATTTAAAGAATTAATCGCTTTTACATTTGTCGTCACACTGTACAAGCCACTTTTAAATCAATATTTTGTAGTGCCAAAATAACTTCTGAGATTAAAAGCTTTAACTTTTCACTTTTTGTTGTATCTTTTATGAAATAGTCCTTTTGAATATGTCAAGTTTGTACTGAGGGCAATTTCATCAAACATCACTTTACAAACTTTATCTTTATTATTAATTTTTGTCACTCTTTTTCGAAGTTTTTCAAATAAAAATTGTTTAGGGTTGATTTTGAAGGTAAACTCAAAAAACGTCGCAAAAATCTGTATGGCTTTGGTCCCTACTTGTATAACGCTAAAGCAAAAACTTTATTTTTAATGGATCAGGATGGATTCAGTTTTCTTAATATTTCTAATCTGAGATTTTATAAACTCCATTCCTACAGAATTGAAATTGGACTCTAAATTATCAATTAATTGATCTTGTGTTAATTTTTTTAATTTTCTTAACACACTCTTCGAATCTTGCAACAACGACTTCAATTTTGAATTTTTTTTTGTTTTTTCTGTCAATAAAATAAATTTTTCGTTCTTTATGTTTAAGTTCACTGACTGTACTGGATTTTAAAATACTATTTGCAATTATTGATGGACCTTTATCTAAAATTTTGGTAGAATTTTTCGAAACTTCGATAACCGTTGCTACATTTTCACAAAATTCATTTTGTCTCTCATTAATACTTGTGCATGATGAACGACACATTCATGTAGTCTATTTTTTTTAATACTTAAATAACTGTGATTAAAATGGTCTTCACAAATAAATACATTTTTTAAATTTTGAAAGTTTTCGTTAACTTCACTTCTTATAGCATCTAAAAAAATGTTTGCTTTTAATAGCGCCGAGCTTGTATTTTGATGTGTAGTTCCGAAAGACTCATTTCTGTTTTGTTTTCCCCATTACATAAATAAACTAAGAAAATAAATATTTTTAGACTTTGTCGAGACAACAATTATGACCTACCACAAAGCTAATATTATATTAGAACAATTGTTATTATGTTTAAAAACAAAAAAGGCAGTTACTGCAAAAATAAATACAGTTTTAAAATTTTTGAAAGAGTTTATTAATTATTTTTGACTTTTTAATTTATCCGCTTTACGATAATTGCCGAAATAAAAATTACGAAAAAACCGACTACTTAGTTTGATTTATGATTTATATAGGTTTTAACCGTCTTTATACTTTATTGGTTTGTGGTGTGTATCAAATTACAGTTTTCTGTAATTTCTAAATCGTCCATAGACTCGTCGCTTGCAGGAAGATTGGCATCATTTAACACTCGAGCAAAAACAACGCGAATTTCAATTAAAGGAGAAAGAAAAGGAATTAATAGCACGAAGAGAGGAATTGGAACGTGAACGGCATAAAATCTGGGGCGAAGTGAGCAAAAATCGTTTTTTGAATTTTTTTATTTTATTTTGATTTTTTTCTTAGATAAACCACGAATTTGAACAATTGCAAGATTTTAAGTCTAATGTTGTCATTAAATTGAATAATGCTTGCCAGTTTATTACGTCACATGCCAATGATTTTACCTTTCCTAATCCTCAAATTAAAAAAATGTTTCAGGTATTTTTTAGTTTTATTTTATTTCAATTAAAATTACGGTTGTGATGAGTAACAAAATTAAACAATTGTTTTCAGGAATTAGTACTGAAAAGTGAGAACAACTCATTGACTGATGCCGAGTCTGATATTCTAATTGATGCTTTAAATAATGTTAAGGGCCCTTCACTTATTCAGGAGTTAGTTATTCAACATGTACGTAATTTTTAATGGGGGAACAAATTTAAAAAAAATTTTTTAGAGAAAAGAATTAGCCGAGCTTCAAGCTGAATTAAATAAACGAGTTGATGCACTCTCGGAACAACGAAAGACTGTAGAAATACTCGATAAAAAATTACTAGATTTAGTTGATCAGCAAGCATCACTTGATATTAATCCAGAAGATCTTGTCGATCTTAAGCAATCTTTAGCTTCACGCACGAAAGAAGAGCTTGATAAAATTGAGAAGAAGAAGCAAGGGTTTGTATTTTCATGTTTTTTTTCCGTTATCACTTACTTAAATTGTGTAGATTGAAATTGAATTTGAAAAAAATTAATTCTGTTGACGAACCAAATTCTTGCGAAACCAACTATACCAGTAGTTTAGAAAAAGGCAGTACTTTGAGCAGCGACACTTATCATACCGCTGCAAGTGTTTGTTCACCTGTTTTAAACAATTTAGATTGTCTTATGAGCGACAGTGGGGTCGAATTACGACCCTCGCCACAAATTCAAGACGAAAGCGATTTATCAAGTAACGAGGAATACAAGGTGAATCATTTATTAATCTTTATCTTATCTAATTTTTTGTTTTATGAAATAGGTGATTAGTGATTCGCAATCGACAAGTTCGATTGAGAATCATTCACCTGTCATTCGAAAAAAACGGAAAGATATCGAAGTGTTGCGAAGATTGAGTCAGAAAATCTTACAACAAAAACAAAGTATTTTGCGGAGCTTGGATTCGGGATACGCGAAGGCTCAAATCGATTCGCAAATTGCGGTGAGTTGAGGTTTGGATTCCCAAGCATGTTTTTGTGTAGGTTTTACAGGAATTACAAAGGCAATATATGGCGATCAAGTGTGGAACTACTTCGGTTTTGTCTCCTGCAACCGAACATCCGTTGCAGGATGTGGATAGTGCGAGTCCAAGTCCGGTTAAACCGTTTCATACCGGGTCTACTTCAGCATTGTATTCGCCGAATTTACAGGTACAGTGAATTGAATGGTTTATTTTTGCACGCGATTTTGAGAAAAAGAAAAACATGTGTCATGATATAGTTGGTACAGATTTGTACCAAATGCAGTTAACATTGTTGATTGCATGCATTTTTTTTTAAATAATTGGGTGACCTCAGCTTTGTTAGTTTTAAGGGGAAGAAGGGACTGAGAATTTTATTCACCTCTCGTTATTTATATTAGAAATAACTCTACTTTGAGAAAAAGGACGCTTCCATCGAATTGAAAATACACTTTATTGCATAAAATACAGTTTTATTAAAAAGTGGAAAAAGTTTTAAAAATATAGCAATTTTATGTGTTGTGTTGAGTGACACAAAGTTTTATTTCAACAATCTAAACAAATAAAAACTATCAGTGATTTTTTGTATTGAAAAAATTTTGTACAAATTGTTTACTTGTGCTTTTTTACTGTTGGATAAGTTCAAAATTTTCTTCAGTATGAAAGTTGTTCTATAACAACTTAACAAGTTATAAAAAAGATATGAAAATGATTTTATTTCTTTTGGAAATCTAATTTTCCATGTTTTGCTGTAGGCTATTAGAAGAAGAAACAAAGAAGCTGTACTCAGAATTGTAATTTATGTTTAACGTTCTTTGTGGTTTTTATTGGCAAAGTATTTGTATCTTTATTGACTAAATATGAAATAGTATATTAAGCATCAAGAACGGTAAGGATATTTTACTGATCGAAGACAATTATTATTGTCTGAGATCGGTAAGTCTTTAACGTTCGTGATACTTATGACATTTTTTGTGCGATTGATTTTCGTTAGTTTTTTTTTAATTGAATTGAATTTGGTCAAGACTGAAAAATCGGGAAAGTCATATTTTTTAAAAACTCAGTAAAACTTGATGAAAATAATTATTGAAAATCTCTGAAATTGAAACTTTTGATCACTAACTACATCGGAAGAGATTTGCTTCATTTTCAAACTTCAGTAGTAGAAAAATTCAAAACTTAGCAACCGTTCTAATTTTTATTATTGAAATTATAATTACTTATTAAAAATTTTTGAAAAACTAGAATTATAAAATTAGGAAAACAAGTTTTAATAAAAATAAAATAAAGCCAGTTTTTAGAAAACAAAAAAAATTTAAGTAACATTCAAATATAAAATTGGAAAACTCAAACCTCTTAATTTTTTATTTGTAGAAGTGAACTTATTAATTATTCACAATAAAAAAAAAAACAGAAAAAAATCGCAACTAAATTTTTATTTGAAATAACTCGCTTTTTCAGAAACAGATTTTAAAAATAATAAAACAAAAATGATAATTTGGATGTTTGACACTTTCATTTTTCTTGACGAAGTCAAATACAAATTGAATTTTGGAGAGGACTAAATGAAAAACAATTTAATTTAAATCAAATTTTGGAACTAATTATAAAATATCTAAAAAATGCTTACCGATGAGTTTAGGATAGCAACGAGTAAATACAACTTACTGTCTTGGAAACAGACGTAGTAAACAATCGAATAGAGTTTAATCGTGCAAAAAAACATACAGGGTTATTCATAAATATGAAGCAATATTTGAACCTCAAAAATGAGCTATAAAATGATGTTAATTTTAATAGTAACTCGTGTCCTATCTCTACTGATAAGAATTTTACAGCCCTCGGAATGTGGGTATGAAAATTTGATTTTTTTGTAATAACTTTGGAACTATTTGACCAAATATTATAAAATTTGGAATAGTTACTTGCCACAACATACCTTTTAAACTAGTAATTACGAAAACCGGATACATCTACTCAATTTCCGGTTCCAGCAATTGTAGGTCATATGTGTTTTTTCGTTTTTTTGGCCTCCTAAGATTATTTTTTTTTTTGTCAAAACAATAGAGTAATCAATTTTGAATAAAAAACGCATAATCTTTAATACCTTTAAAATGGACCATTTAAAGATGATAAAAAATTAGTGTTAAGAGGAAAAAAAAAAACGGAAAAACACAGAAAATGTAATCTGCAACTGCTGAAATCGGAAATTGAGTAGATGTATTCGTAGATGTTTTCGTAATTTTATAATATTTGGTCAAATGGTTCCAAAGTTATTACAAAAAAAATAAATTTCCATTTCAAGGGCTGTAAAGTTCTTATCAATAGAGATCGGACACGAATTATTATTTAAATTAAAATCATTTTATAGCTTATTTTTGAGGTTCAAATATTGCTTCATATTTATGAATAACCCTGTAGGTACAAGATCATCGGTATCAATAAATAGACATAAAAAATGTCATACATATGCCAAAAAATAAATGCCAAAATTTTGAACACATTTTTTCGAATTCTTGATATTTTATCTTATACAGGGACATTTTTTATTAGTATACATAGTATAAAGTAAAATCGTTTTCCTAAGACCTACTAAAGATTTTATCGCTTTTAAGTTAAATGCGGTATTGTTTGCTAATAATAAACCAGAAAGTAAACAAATCATAAATTAGTGGAAGCCACCCGGACCCAGAAACCAAGGAAACAGGTCAGTTTTTAACAGGGCCGGATTACTTACTTTCTTTTTTTCGTCTAAAATACTTGAAGTGTTTTAATCGTTTTTGATGTAGTTTTTATTAAAGTCAAGTATTTTAAGAAATTTAAAAAAGCCAGGTGGTTATTAACAAGCTATTACTAAATAAGGCTGGTTTTTTTAATACCACTACTTTGGTTTTAAATACGGCCCTGTTTTATTCTAGTGGATGCAGCAACACTTGCAAAGGAACGTGCCATTTATGGAGGGTTACAAATTCAAGACATTGTTTATACTGTGGCATAAAATTTTTAGTAGGTTTTATGAAAACGATTTTACTATACATAACCGGGTCAATTTCATAGGGTAGGCAACCAACATTTCAAGCTTCAAGCATTCAAAGGTAAAATTTTGTGTCAAGTTTGTCAAGTGTCAGTCTTGAAACTTAAAGCGCAGCTTTAAAAAGTTAATACCATTTGTAGTACCATGTACACCAAAGTAGGTCGGGAGATATGGTGTCCTCGCATGGCCCCCACAGTCGCCAGACTTGGCACCTAACGATTTTTTTCTTTGGGGATATGTATTTAAAAACAAAAATTTATACTAATGTTCCAATGCAAAATGTAGAAGAGCTGAAAGAACGTATTCCTACAGAATGTAATAATATAGATCCTGAATTTATCAGGAATGCAGTGGCGGGGTTTTCAAAATCGCTTAAGTTATTGTTAGAACTGCAAGGAAAGCATTTTGAACACTTGCTTTAATTATTTAATATTGTTCTTGTTTTGATGGGTTTTAATTTTTTTATTTTAATTACATTTACTTTGTTGTTTTTTAAAGTTTGTCTTTTATTTATCGATATTAGAGCCTTTGTAATATTGGTTGCCTATGTCTAGACTAACGGCTAATCGTAATATTGAAATTGACAGTTTTTTTTAAATGTATACATAGGGCTGGCTATGTACACTAATAAAAAATGCCCCTGTATATTTACTTGACATTTTTTACTGGGACACGAGTTCTGAAACACCCTGTATTTAAAAAAAATATTAAAAATGCCTAGTTATTATCAAAAAGTGGTAGATATTATATAAAAATCGATTTACTTGAGAATTTTAGTAATTTTTTATTTAATTTTTTTACGTTACATACAGGGCGAGTCATATATAATAAAGACCCTAACCGACTTTCAGACGCAACCCAAAATACATTATGAGATACTACTATGCGTTAATTGATGTTCTGTTTAAAAATTTTCAAAGATATAAACATAGTTACCTTTGACAATTTTTATAAATTTGAATCCTACGGAGTACCTTTGATGGTACAAATTCAGCCACAACATTTTGTAGCATTCCCCATTTGTCAAGATCATATCAATTTTTTCGTCGTTTGAGTACTTTTTCAAGGGGAAAAAATGTGGAATTGATGACACTGTCAAATTTAACTAATGACATGTCAACAAGTACCTACTTTGATTTGAATTCAATAAACTACAGATTTGTCAACAATAAATTACCACCTAGGATTTGTATTTTTAGGAAAATTACGTTTTTCATGTTGTTTGTAACTAGAATTTTAAGAAGTAATTTTGAATGCCTAGGGTTGGTTACCCCTTGTTGTTGACGGTTGACGTTTTGTGTCAACCTGCTGTCAACTATCAATTGAGTTATCTACACAAGCTGACAGGTGACTTAACCTAAATTTTGACACTAGTTACGATATCTTTTGTTTGTCACTACACACCAACCTAACCAAATTTATGGCAACCTATTCACGAATATCCCTAAATCCTAGACAGTAATTTCTTGTTGATACGATAACAAATTTTTCAAACGTACAAAAAGCAAAGTTGGCTGTGAGAATGTATTTTGGGTTGCGTCTAAAAATCGGTCAGGTTCTTTATTACAAGTGACTCAGCCTGTATGTCTGCCAAATATCTAATAAGATACCTAATTTGGTATAAAGTGTTATGTCTTTTTCTTATTTGTGTGACTTAAAAAAAGCTAAAAACACGAAAAAAGCAAAATCCTTTTTATTAGTATAATTCTGAATTCTGAATAACTCCTTGAGTCACAACCTTGATTTTTTTTATTGTCACTGTTATAATTTTAAGAAAAAGTGACAGTATTTTTATAGAATTGCACTAAAATTCTGCACTAAAATATATTTTTTAAACGCACAACCAATAATAAGATGTTAAAAGTTTGACTCGATTTTTTGACAGGTCCAAAGCCATAGACTGTCCTCATACAACTACAACCTCCACCGATCGATGCCTTCAATCGCTTCAGGTAAAAAACTACCCGTTTCCACAAATCAATCTCTCAAACTTAAATTTTAGAAGCCGATAATGACTCAGTCGTTACAATCAGCAGTTACTGTATTCGAGGTGCCGGTACGAAAACTCACTACGAGTACGAAGTTCGAATTTGTACATCAGACGAACGTTGGAGCATCCTTCGGCGTTACAGCCGTTTCAGAGACCTTCATATTGCAATGAAAGCACGATATGGTGAAAAAGTTGCATCGATTCCATTTCCGGCCAAACAACTTTTCGCAAACAGCGAAACTGTTGCTAAATCACGCAAACGACAATTGGAATTTTATTTACGAAGATTGATCGAAACGTGCAAAAATCTACCGGCGTGTCCTTTGGCATACGGTGGTCCAGTTACCAAAGCGGCCTTAATTAGTTTTTCACCGTTTTTCAGAAAGGGGGTTTTCGAGAATGGAAAATATGGGACTTCCTGAAACAGTTTTACGTCCAGTTTATTTATTCGTAGGATTAGAGAAATGGGCAATAGCTAATAGTGTATTATTTATTTTTATTTAACAACACGACAGGTTGTTGTGACACAATTAGGTAATAGAAGTGGTTGGGTCTTAAGCTTTAAAACACCAAAATTGTTTTGTCATAGTAGTAAACATAAAAAACGGGTTCATACATTTCCTGCAATAAATGGGTCAGTGAAGTTAACTTAGAATTTTTAAATATAAATAATACCATAATTTTGCACACTAAGTTTCGAATTTTGCACACCTATGATAGGTGCATCCTATGATTGAAACATATGTTTAAAAATTTTGTGTCAATTTTATTATTGAATTTTGCACAATTTTGCACACTTTTTATAAAATTTTGCACACCCTTACTTTACGAGTAATTACTAATTAAAAAAATTTTCAGTACCCCTAATTTAGCATAAACGCATAATTTTTATACAATGAAATCATTTAATTTTGCACATCTTTTACTTAATTTTGTTGGTCCATGAAAATGAAATGAAAAAAGATGGATTAAAAAGCAAAATCTCTAAGTACACGTTTCTATTTTAAATTGAAATAAGAGATCCTAATTAAACATAAAAAATACAAATTAACTCACAAAAGTAACAAAAAATTAAATAAATTTTTAATACTTTTTATTGTTACAAATTTAAACAGGATATAGAATATTCACTTTTATAACAAAAATTTTCTATGAACATATATCGAAAAATGCTACGCAAGGGGTGCGTTTTTTAATAGTTTTTTTTTTTTTTCAATATTCCCAAAATCATTTTAGAAAAAAAATTCAAAATTTGGTACATATGATAACTTTTACACACCTAAACAAGTACAAAAATAAAATGTTGAAATTTTTAATTAGGGGCTTCCTAAACTAGATGGGATTAGGGTACAAATTTACTCTAACTATTTTGTCTGTGGTTTCTTGCCACTTTCAGCAACAAAATTTCATATTTTTTCATAAAAAAAGGTCTTTTGTGTTTTTCCGATACAATTTACGGATTTTTAGTAAAAATCAGTGTAAAAATTTATGTTACAGACCATAAACAGCATAACAATTAAAAATTAAATTTGTTTTACCGTTTAGGACGCCCCTGATTAAAAATTTTGTTATTTGACATTTGTTTAGGTGTACATATAAAGGTACCAAATTTTGTAATTTTATCGATTCTGAATTATTAGGAAAAACCCTTTAAAAACGTACCTTTTTTAGGGGGTGTTGCTCACTTTCATAGCATTTTTCGAAACACTTTTGACTTAAAATTAAATATTCTATCAACTATTTAAATTTGTATCTATCAATAAAAATCAAACAGTGTATAATTAACACATGAAAAATTAATTCACAAAAATTTAAAATTAACTCACTAAAATAACAAAAAAACTAAATTTTTAACACTATATAAACCCCCTAATAGTCGGCACTGCATTTTTTTCTTCAAAAGTCATCTTTGGCGACGACTCGTGATAACTGATGATACTGATAATACGCTAGAGGTAATAAAAAATGCGTTATAACTATACAGCGTATCCCAAGTTTTAGGGCCGGCTCAAAAACAAATATTTCTAATTGATTAAAAAAAAAAATTTTTGCTAGAGCAAACGATAGAGGATTATACAGACTTCAATTGAGTGCTTTGATATTATTCAAAATTTTTAGCATATGACAGTGAGATCATAAAAACCAAATTTGAAAAAAAAATACTTAATTGGAATAATTTCTACATAAAAATTCCTTGATTTTTTTCTAGTAATAATTGTGAAAATAAAATAATGCAAAAGTTGATAGGTTTTGAGTAATTAACATTTTAATATTGAAAATCTGAAAGTTAATAATTTATGGTTGGGTTTGTGGTAATTGGTGATCAGGCCAGAATTTCTTAACAAAAGAACGTAATATTAAACTTACCTTTTGTAGAACCAGAAAATGTTGATAAAACGTATATAGTCTTTAAACATCCACTTCTTAAAAATTTATACTAAATACTTAAAAAAAATACGTCTTTACCTCTTACAGTCTACAAGAGATACTGTAAAAATAAATTTACAAATTTCGAACAGCTAAATATGAGTGGTCAACATTACCAAGAAATATTATTTTAAAGTACTCCTATGAAATCCTGATTTTGGGATTTTTAGTTTTTTAGTAAACAGAGTCATGCTGTTCTCTCTTATTTGTAGAAGTACTATAAGAGTAAATTCTCATGAAAGTAGTGCAATACTGCGAATTCCGTATAGGATTATGCTACGGTTTTTTTAATGGTAATTACTCGTAAAGACGAACTGTGCAAAATCGTGCAAAATTTAATGATTTTATTGGTATAAAAATTATGCGTTTACGCTAAATTGGGGGTGCTGAAATTAGTAATTGTGCAAAATTTAATAAAAAGTGTGCAAAACATAAAAAATTATGGTATTATTTATATTTAAGAATCCTTAAGTGGGGGTGCTAACTTCACTGACCCGCAATAAATGATAGAAAATATTAAGGTTAAGGCTTGAAGTAACTCAGATCAAATGAATTCTAATGTGATAATTGTTGTTAGTGTGATAAAATTGCAATTTCTCAAAAATGAGTATTATATGCTGTTGTTTCAGATTTGTTATTATATTTTTTTAATGTAAAGTCTTTTGTAACCAATAAAGTTTGAAAAACCTCAATTAATGTGGGGTAAGGTCAAGTTTAGTGTCCTTACTGTCCTGGTACGGGATCGCGTGCGCCCTTGCCACAAGATAAAATATTTGCGGATGTTTTATATCGACTAATATAACAAAATTCTCCAAGTCGAATTCCACCCCTAGTGGCTTTGTTTCACTGAATTTTCTTGTGTTTGAGATAACGAAGTGATTAATTGAAATAGGTGCACACGCAAAGTTTTGATTAAAACCCGCAATTCGATTGATTCAAGTGTTGCATTCACCCTTTCGTGCGCCAGGTAATTACATCGCACATACATTATGTGTTGCGTTGCTGGTTAAACCACCGCAAAATCGCTTGGAGTTTTTTGAAATTGTCAAAAATGTCGTTTCGAACTGAGGAATACTACAAGAGATTTATCGAGTTGCAAGAAAAACTCCGCAAAAGGTGAGTAAACACTCCTTTGTTTGTTTGTTTGTATTGTAGTTAAATTGGGTCAAACAATTTCAGCGAGGAGGAACGCCTCAAACTTGAAATGAAATTTAACGAAATGGTTCAAGTTACACGAGAGGAGTAAGTATAACAAGTTATTGCGAATTTAATGATTTTTGTTTTAAAGGGAGCAAATGCATTATCGGAAATTGAGGGCTAAATACACGCGGTTTTTGGAGGAAGACAGGCGGAGACAGGAACGAAATGAGCGCATTTTACGGAGTTTGGAAAGGATCGAAAGTCGGGTTGCGATGCTAGTGGCAAAAACTGAACGATTTAAGTTGTTGAGACAGCAGTACCAACATTTCTTGGACCGTATTTATCGCACAAAACAGGAGAAATTTGAAATTGAGAAGCCGAAAACTGATGATATTGTGCAAAGTTATATTCAGAATTTGTCGTCGAATAAATTGAGGGAAATGTTGAGGAAAGAGGAGAGGTTGGATTCGGAATTTTACCCTTTTGAGGGAGACTCTAGACCGAATTATGCAAATTCTATTGCTGATGATATCATGAGCTCGATTTATAGTAAACCTAGTAAAGGGGACGATTCGAAACGGCTCTCCAGGGAGTTTAATAATAATATTTGGAGTTTGTATGGTGTGAAAGAACCCGAATTTGCAAATAATGCTAAGAGTAGTACTGATGATGGATCTGATATTGATGAAATTCCATACAAGAGTGGTGTTAGTGACGCAGTGAAAAATTTTGTTAGAATGGGAAAAAGAGACAGTTTGGTTGAACAACAAACGAAAATTGGTGATTCGGTGCCGCGAGAAGAAACTGAACAAAAAATATCACTTGAAGAAATTGAAGAAAACATTAAGAAAGCGAATATGATTGATCATTTTGAAAGTCCAAGAGAAAAAGAAGATGTTTCAAAGTCCACAAGTAAATCAAGTAGTCATCTTCAACCCGAACAACAACAAGAAGAAATTGACAAAGTTGATCAAATTGATCAAGTTCGACCTGAACAACAAAACTATGAACAAAGAGAGGAAATTGTTGAAGAGAAAGAACCAGTACAAGTCGTTGAAAATGAACCAAAACAGTCTGTTGTTGATGAAAGTAAACAACAATACGATAATGAACAACCTATTCAAGCAATTCTTGAACAACACTATACTGATCAAGGTCAGTTTGATCAGCAACAAGAACAACAGTATGTCGATAAAGAACTTGAACTTGAAAAACAGCAGGACGAAAATAGTTCTTATCCAGTAGCTGAACAACAATATGATGAAAGTGGGCAACCAATCCCAACACAACAGTATGACGATCAAGACCCTTTTGTACAACAATACGAAAATGGTCAAGATATTCAAGAACAACAGTATAATGAAGGTGGACAACAATATGGTGACCAAGGACAATTTATGCAACAATATGACGAGAATGGACAACCTGTAGAACAGTACTATGAAAGTGGACAACCCATTCAACAATATGATACAAATGGACAACTTATACAACAAAACAATGAACAAGGTCAGTTTGTGCAACAGTATGGTGACAGTGGACAACCTGTACAACAGTACGATGAAAATGGACAACTTATACAACAATATGATRMAAATGGACAACTTATACAACAAAACAATGAWCAAGGTCAGTTTGTGCAACAGTACGGTGACAGTGGACAACCTGTACAACAGTACGATGAAAATGGACAACTTATACAACAATATGATGAAAATGGACAACTTATACAACAAAACAATGATCAAGGTCAGTTTGTGCAACAGTATGGTGACAGTGGACAACCTATTCAACAATATGATGAAAATGGACAACTTATACAAGAAAGCAATGAACAAGGTCAGTCTGTGCAACAATACGATGAGAGTGGACAACCTGTACAACAGTACGATGAACATGGACAACTTATACAACACAACAATGACCAAGGTCAGTTTATACAACAATACGATGAGAGTGGACAACAGTATGATGAATCCGGCCAGCCTTTGGAACAACCTATTCAACAGTACGATGAACAATATGGACAACAGTACGATCAACACGGTCAATATCTCCAGCAATATGACGAAAGTGGACAACCTATTCAACAGTACGATGAAAATGGACAACCTGTTCAACAATACGACGAAACTGGACAATATATGCAACAGTATGATGAAAACGGACAACCGATACAACAGTATGATGAAAATGCACAATACTATGCCGACCAAAGTAATGTACAATATGGCGAAAACGTTGAACAACAGCAGCCTATAGAAGAAGCAAAAGGAAACAATCAGGATATTCCATCAGAAGCGAAAAAAAGTAACATTTTGGAATTGTTAGATACTGACACTGAGAGTGTGAAACAGGAGTCGAAAGTTTCACACGATAGTGATTTTGATTTTAGTAATGAATAAATTTTAGTAGTTTAGTTGTAGAAATGTAATGACACTTGATTTAGGCCTGTGATTCATTTCTTTTTTTAATACAACACTAAAAATAATCGGTGTATGATTTTTTACTCCCTAAACTTGTGTCTAATTCGCCATTAAATTGAAGGTCATACAGTTCCAGAGAAAATTTATATTTTTAGTTTTTCATATTTATATTCACTCATTAAATTACCGCTGTCTGATTAATAGCCCTCGCTAAAAATAAATTGCATTTCCTTTCATTAGAAGCAATGAATGTGGTATGCAGGTATGGATAAATTATACCATTACCAACATCTTCCATCGTAATTAAGTATGTCATTGAGTAACAATAAGCACAATTACAATGCCCACCCGAATAATTAATTTCAATAAGCCGTATTTGTTTAAACTTAGTGGGTTTATTTTTAGTATTTGAACGAGATAAGTGCCCACCTACGTTTTCTCAACACATGTGCTTAAAAAATATTTAATCATTTCTGCTTTATGAGTTATCTATTCCGACGTATCGAAAGTACACACACATATCGTGAAAATCTTCCGCTGCGCGTTTGCTGGAGGCGTCCTTATGCGGTGCCAAAATCAATATTTCCTCCACGAACTTGTGTCGATGCAAACACGTACAGTGTGTGCTCTTTTTAATACATCTGACGTGGTTTTTTATATTAGTAAAAGACTGTTGAAGTGGGATTCTAGTGCCAGTTATGGCGGATTTGTACACCAATAATTTGAGCAAACCCAAGTGTTCTATGACTTTTTATTCAGATTTTGGAGATGGGGAGACTGAGTCTGATATTCTTCAACAAAGAGAAGGTGGGTATAATTAGTATTTTGATAGGTGTAGGTTATGTTTACTGAGACATTGGCTTTTAGGCCATAACCGGATAATAATTAATCACACTGTATTTCTTGTAAGAGGAAAAGTTACAATTATTACAATATTTATGATTTAAAATATAGTTTTGCTCGAATTTAATGAGTACCGACTTATTACGTGCAGTACTGATCATTTATTCATAAAATATTAATACTCATTGACTGGAACTAACAAATGAATAAATTTTACGCATATTTAATTTTTTAAATAATTAGAAATGTAAATATGAATAATTAGATCACAGATTTGAGACATCTTTAAACAAATTAGATCAAATTGTACAATGTAAAAATTGGCAAAAATAATTTGGAAAAGTCATTGATTGTAATTTATAATAAAACACTTATAATTTGACCTTGAATAATCGATTTGTTCTCATTTTTTAGAGTTGAGATTTATTTTTACGAGATATTGTTTTTAAGAAACATCAAAATATCTAAAAATAAAATGCTTATTTATTGTAACGAGTGGCTATTGTTTATATTTACAATCGACCTTAAAAATGCTGATGTTATTTTGTAGTGGCTACTTTCTTTGATGACCTCGTTTTTTAATGTGTCAAGAATTTTATTTTCAAAAAAATTGTTCGAAAAAAATTTTGGTTTGTCTTAATAACTTTTCCAAGACTATCGAAAAAAGGAAGATAAAACACTTAAACATATTTGCTCAAAATAGATACAGATAAGTAAAGATCATAAAAAAATTAAATCAAGGTGAATGAAATTTAATCATAGAAAAATTTAAAGAATTTTGTTTTAATAAATTCTAGGAATAATGAACAAAATATAATATGGAGAGCTGATCAGAAGCCAATCAATGTAAGTCAAGTAATGTGAAAAATTAGATAATGACACATTTTAAAAATTTGTTGTATAAAAAAAGCTTGCAAAGGTGAACAACAAAATCTTTATTGATACAGATTTGTCAACAAGAAATTACCAATCCCTGGTGACTTAACCTAAATTTTGACACTCGTTGCGATATCTTTTATTTGTCACCAAAAACTAACCTAACCAAATTTATGGCAACCTATTCACGAATATCCCTAAATCCTAAGGAGTAATTTCTTGTTGAAACGACAATAGGGTGGGTGCATCCATCGGAATTTTTGTGTTCTTTTTTACTTTTATACGTTGTAAACAAAGAAGCGATCCATCAATAAAATTAACTTGGAAAAGTTTGAAATGCCATAATTTCGATTATTAAGTTTGTGGTAGAATTTAAACCAGAGATAAATTCCCGCTTTACTACGTAACAATCCCAAAAGCACTGGCAAGTGGATTAATATGGCGGATGTTTAATCAAAACGTTTAAATGTACTCATTTTTTGCATCATAACTATTATTGTATACTTAGATATTAAAATAAACACCAAAATATAACCTTAAAACAGATCTACAATCTGCATTACTGACATTCAAACAGCCAATGAGCGCAAATCTGGATTATTACCTCACAGTAAATAAAACGCGCGCGTTTTGAATTTATTTCATTTTACGAGTTCTTAATATATTTTTTTGTACTAAGATTTAAAAAAATAAACAAAAACATGGGTCAATTATAATAATAAAGATTCAGAAAATGCAATAAAAAAGAATGTGCAACAACACCACTGATAAAAAAAGATACTTTAAAGTATACAGAATGATTTTGAAATATGTGCAAATATTTTAACGGGCGATAGTAAAGCTCAAAAAAGCAAAAATAACTCAACTTGTCTTATCCGAATGTTTATAGTTTCTGACATACAGGGGTGCGCCAGAACTCGCGCCCCAGAGAAAATTTTCAAGTAAGGTAAGATACCAGGAACATGAAAAAAATGTTTAAAAAATTCTATCTGTCAAAAAATTTTACGATTATTTTTTGACATTTGACATTTTTTTATATCTATTTAATGATACTGATGATCGTGTATATGTTTTTTTACAGTTATTTAGTAAACGGACAAAAATTTTACCAATAAAAGCCACAAATAACATTGAACAGAGTTACAATTTAACATACAGCTTCCTTGTTTCCTCTTTTAATAGCCTATAGCAAAAAAACTTTGAAAATTATTTTTCCAACAGGAATAAATAGAGTCAAAATGCAAAATTTAAACTCTCATAATTTCGAAATTTTTATAGATAATTTTTTTTTAAACATTTTTTCCATGTCTTATTTTCCATATCTTACTTGAAATTTTTCTCTGAGGTGCGAGTTCTGGCGCACCCTGTAATAAAATAAATAAAAAATTAATAATCAACTAACATAAAGAACATAACATGAAGAAAAGTTAATAAGAAGATAAAATAATAAAAAATTCATGGATTAATATCCGATTTATAATTTTGAGCAGTTTAATAATTATGCAAATATTTACATGGTTTTAAATGGTTTAAAAATGTACAGGTTAGAAAAATTGGTCTCAGTTGTCAAGCAATCACATATTCATGAAGTGAAAGGCATTATTTATTTTTGTTTTAATTTAAAAAGAAGCTGAGTCGTCTTAGTGATATTTTCAGTGAGATTGATCATTGAAATATCCTTAACTTTTACATCATTTAATAAATAAAATAATAATAATAACTATTTATTTATGTTTTTTTAATCGCAAAACACTTAAAAAAGCCGTTTATGTAATAGCAGATAATTTTATATGTGACAACCAAAGACTAATTAAAACAGAGCTTTGTAATAAGCAAATCTTATTATCCGGTTCTTGGGTCTGTCCTTGAATAATTTCTTGGTATTATTTCCAATTTCAAGATTTCCCAAAAATTAGAAAATGGTTGAATTTGTGTAAAAATTGATCATTAGTTTATAAAAAAAAAACATTACACAATGATTCGAAATCAATATTCAATTACTGAAATGATGTTTTTTAGTTAAAATCCAATTATAACTTTGATATAAAATTAGCAATGATTTTATTTTTCCGTTGTTGAAAATTGTTCAAAAAGTATGATTTGTGTACCAGGAGTTATTTTTTTAATTATGGAAATCTCATGACTAAGCTAATGATACAACAACAATTATGTTAATAAAAATTGGATAATCGATCAAGTTGTTCTAGACGCAAATCCACTCAACAAAACTTACCTTATATATCTCATCAAAACTAAAAACTACTTTTCCAACAGAAATAAATAGAGTCAAACCCTCATAACTTCGAAATTTTTATAGATAAAATTTTTTTAACATTATTTCCATGTTCCTGGTATCTTACCTTATATGACATTTTTCTCTGGGGCGCGAGTTCTGGCACACCCTGTATAGAGGCGTTGAAAATAATGCAATATAAATGAATTTTGAACATTTTGAGTACTTGAAATTGGGTGATATCTTCAACAACAAAAATTGATTCAAAATTTTTACCCTTTTATGATTTTTTAGATGAGGACACTTTTTACTGTGCCTGTTTTTGCTAGTTTTGACTATTTTTTTTTAAACAATGTTATAGATTTTGAAGAACTAACCTCAGAGATCATATTTGTTTACAATATGAGTTGGTGAAGTTCAAGGTTACGCCGCAAATTTAAATTTATTTGATGAACAACATCCTTTGTATCTCAAAAACACTACAAAAATTCGGATAGGGCAAGATGAGTTGTTTTGACTTCTTTTGAGTTCTACTGCACATACTTCAAAATCACCCTGTATACATGGTAACTTAGGTACATTTCCAACTAAAGGATTTAAGATTTGGGGTTGAGTTGAGTAGCCTTCGGCTAGCCTTTGCCCCACAGAATTTTTATTTGTTATTTTATTTATTTATTTATTTTCTAATAAGGGCCTATTATTATTAACAATACAGTGATGTCTTCTGAATCACATAAATCATTTTGAGAAAAATTGTGACTTACACTAATTGCTTTTTTTCAAATGACTTTTTTATAGGATTAAGAAAAAAACTGTTAAAGTTTGGTAGAGTTAGAGCTTTAAGTCAAAATTGTGTTAATTTTACAACATTCTTCATATTCAGTTGTTTTTAATTATTATCATTTTATTTTTATTTGTATTTTACTTAGGTAAAATATTGTTGTAAAAGTGTTAATTTACTTGTTGTTAACAATTGTTGACTTATATTATTTTAAAACAATGATTGCATTATCAAATATATTTATCGACTATTTAGTATCAAATAATTTATTGGTTTGTCTTTTAACTGTTGAAGCACATAAAATGATTACTGGGGACCGGAAGTACAGGAAGTTCATATCAAGTTTCAGTTGATTAATCCTCCCTGTATTTTAGTAATTTAAATTGTCATTTATGACAATTTTCAAACTGTCACGATACTGAATCTGAATTAATCGTTTTTTAAGTTAAAGTTGAGTGTTTCGTTCTTGAATTTCCTGGAAATGTAATACATTACTTTACAAAAAAAATCTGGGTTTTAATGAGTACCAGAGGCTTTCCTTCTCCAGATTCTCCACATAGCAGTAGTTCAAATTCTATCCAAGGTAGGAATAAACCTTATCGCATTATTTAAATACACCAATTGTGCTAATTAAACCATTATCACAACCTTGAGCAAAATTTATTGTGCTAAAACGTTTCGTACAAAATAAAATTGTTACTTAGTACAGCGCCTAGTACTCTTCCTAGTTTATTTTCGTCGTTAGAATTTATTGTTGGAAAATTGTGTTCGTATTTTTGGGTTGTACATGTGCCAGGCTGTTCGTGGTTTAGTTTTTATCGAATTGTTCGCTTGTAAAGGCACGAAACGAAAATGTGTTCTCGAGGTGTCAATTACCGAAATTCGGTCGATTTACAGGTGGTTAATGCACCGGCGTTTTTAAGGGTTAATTCGTTTGTGGATGAAGATAAACCAGCATCAGGTATTTGTTAAATAAACTCAATTGCAATCTAAAATAAAATCACTTATTTCGATGTAATTAATACTTAGATTAGATTGAAAGCAATACATTATGGAATTTTTTTAGTTATAATATGTAGATACGTAATATAAAGCCCTTGCGTGTTTGTTTTTTATTTAGTAGGGGCTGTAGGTAGGTAATCATTATGTTATCGGAGGTAATTTGATAGGTAGCTGCATGAAATAAAATTTCTGTCCTTAATTTTCCATCGAATAAAAAATATTCAAGGTTTCAAAGTATGTAAACTGAAAGATTTACTTTTTTTTTTATAAAATAAGGTGTTGTATTTTGCTACAATCTTCTAAAATAAGTTCTTAGGAAAATTCGACAAGTAATAGTATATTAGAAAACAAGTTTCATAAGACCAGTCTTGAAGCACGAGTTCAAATTTAAAAAACGAGTGGAACCACGAGTTATTTTAAAGAATGAGTTCTTCAAGGTCTTATGAAACGAGTTTTTTATTTAATGTTTGTGATTTGCTCACTTTATGCCGTGTTTAAACAATTTCTTGTTACTTTAATCGATTTAGGGATATTGTTGTCTTTTGACTATTAACGCATCGCACGCGTTTTTTTAATACAGGCTGGATTATAAAAAAAACGCCCCAATTTCATGACTTTTAAAAGCGTTACAATACTTCTATGATCAAAATTAAACAGTTTTTTTTCAGTCTATTTATTTTCAAATTGCCTAAAACGAAAGTTTAGTGATGTTTCGGTGAAACAAGAAGCAGTATTGATTTTAAACAATACAGGGTGTTCTAGCGATTTGAAAAATTCTATTAGTGAGTTTTAAATGGTAAAATTAAAAAATATATATATAGGACATTGATAGATACAAATCTAATCCATCGCCTAAAATTATTTTCAACTATACAGCGTGTCTCAAAAATAAGTTACAATACAAACTTGTGTTTTTTTAAATAAAAAATCATGTTTTTTAGTGTTTTTGGATGTGGATTTTTATGACAATGTTTTTAAGCTAAACTTTTATTGGTCGATTTTGCTTAGTTTGAAAAATAAGACGTTTTTTTTGACGAAAACATGCACTTTTTAAAAATTTATTACACAAAAACTAAGACATCTAAAAATATTTTTTTACTACCGCAAAGAAGAAGGTACAAGCTATAAGGTTGTAACATTTTTTTATTGAGTTGCATTTGCAAAGATAAAAAAATGAAGGCGTTTGTTAAAAGTTCAATAACTTAAAAAATTTTAATGGAACACCCTATTTATTGTTTTTGCATTTAGAAGATTATTAAATTGTCTTTCTAAAAGTATTTACTTTTAGGTGTTATAATCAATGACTAAAAAGATATTTAACGTTAAACATTAAAAAAAAAAAAAACTATTGTTTCAGTAGCCAAAAAGTGCACAGTTGCACAAGAGATGGAAGAAATATCACTTAATAATCACATTTGTGTTAAACTGAATCCATTATTCTTTATTTTTACAATAAAATAATTCGAATTTCAGTATTTATAACTTTTACAATCTCTGGATAAATCAACAAATGGTTGCCATAGTATCCACAATGCTCAGATATTGATAGGCATTGTTGCTATATAATTAATATTGAATGTTAAGTATCTTTTTATTTATCAATTCTAGACATTAAATGTTTATTTTTTTAGATAGACAATTTATCAATCTATTAGATGTAAAAATAAAAAATAAGGTGTTCCATTTAATTTTTTTAAGTTATTTAACTTTTAACAAACTTTTTACAAATGCAAAACACTAAAAAATGGCTAGAGTTTTAATTTCTGTATTTTCTTTATTGCTCAAGTAAGAAAAATTTTTATTTTAGCTGTCTTAGTTTTTGTGTAATAAATTTTTAAAAAGTGCATGTTTTCGTCAGAAAAAACGTCTTATTTATAAAACTAAGCGAAATCGACTAATAAAAGTTTAGCATAAAAATATTGTTTTGAAAGGCTACATCCAAAAATGCAAAGAAACATACGGTGTTTCATTTAAAAAACCATAAGTTTGTAACGTAACTTACTTTTGGGACATGCTGTATGGTTGAAAATAATTTTAGGTGATGCACTAGATTAGTATTTATCAATGTCCTATAGAATTTTTTTTAATATCACCATTAAAGGTCACTAATGGACTTTTTCAACTGGCTGGGATACCCTGTAGATAACATTAAACTGTACCACTTTGTTTTAAGAAATATCTTTAAAAATGGCTTGGGGTGTTTTTTATATTAAAGAATCAAAATGGAAGCGAATTACAAAAAGTACAATTCAGAGGCTTAAAAACATGGACCTAATATAGTAAATACTACCTCCATTAAAAGTATTTTTTTAGGTAATGACATTTTTCTATACAATTTTCCATTACAAATTCCAATAATTCCAGGAGTTCTTGTTTGAACCTCTTGTTGAAAAATTTAAATAATTTATTTTGTCATTTACCTTTGTAATTAAATAGGAGAAATATGTTTTTTGATAAATTACAATGTAAAATGATTGGAATTTTATTTACCTCTGGTATACCGGGTGGGGCATCGGTTACGCGGACTTGATAAATCGCGACTTCAAATTAATTAAAACTGGCGATATTTCATATACCTATATAATTATTGATAGGATATAATTTGAGAATTTTTCTATTTTTTTTTGGATAATAAATGAGTCCGTAATAGTTTTGTGTGTTTTATGAATACTTTCTGTTAATTTACCTACAAAGTTTTTACACTAAATGAATCTGTACCTGTCAGCGAATCAAACTTTGATATCACAATTTTAAATTTTGACTTGGTTAGCCAAATAATCGCTTTTTTTATTTAAACACAAACCAGACCCGCGATTTATGACAAAATGGTATAATTTGCCAACAAAAGAATCATTTACTGGTAGCCCACCGCTTTAAAGGTTCTTTTTTGTTGTAATCCCCAATTGCAGTTCCCCATTGTCACCTAAATTTACGATGGCACAAGTAGCATGTCATAAATAAAAATGATTTTCAAAGTTAAGATGGAAAATTTCGTTTAATTCAAAATCTAATTGGTATTTTTTTTCTGATTTTGTAAACAATTGTAGGAAGTGAATCTGCGTAGGTCAGTATAAAAACTAGAATTAAATTTTTTGGGAGAAAATTACTTTTTATTTTTATTTTGGCTTTGTTTGTGAATGAAAAATTACCAAAAAATTAGAGAATATACCTTACTAATGCCCAAATAAGTGTGAAAAAATTCAACAATTTTATTTAATTAGAAGTGGGGATTTTCTTTTTGGGCGTAACGGATGCCCCACCCGGTACAATAACACTACCCAACATTTTTTTTTTAATGTGATTGATCTATTGACACGTGTATCAGGGTACATTAACATCCCTAATTACGAATTTCATAAGAAAAATTCTCCATCACGTACAGATTTCAAGTTACAAGAAAATACCTAGTTTTCTCAGATTTTATCGTAAAAATTGTTCATTTTAAATAGAAATTAATTAAATAGACGACGAAAGAAATTAATTTATTCACTAAACAAGAACAATGTTGAAAGATGTATAAGATTCTAACATAAATCTGTTGTAGATGAGTTTTTTGCAAAAGCAAAAGCTTAAAATGCCTAACTTTAAAATCTGACGTGCTATAGAATTTTCTACATAGGATTGAACAAAAAATAACTGGTTTCTTCTGTCACAAAATGTTTGTTGGCTAGTGTAATTATCCAGTAATGTTTTCTAATTAAACAAACTACAAAATCAAGGATTCGAAAATTTGCGTGTACTGAAACATCGTTGACTTATAGCCAAAACTTCTCAAAACAAGAAATAAATTAAACGCAAATGTTTTGCCGAAAATACCCCTCTTCGCCTATTTATAATTTAGACATATCACTGTTTACTATGACTCATAAATTTCCCCCCAGTTTTCTACTAAAAAAGAAATTTCTATTTCAGCTAGGAGGGAATTTTAGCAAGTCATTATCAATTCGAGTTTTACTAATTAGTTACAATTAGTGTTTGAAAATTGTAACGGAATTTACTACTGTGTAGTAATGTTAAAAGTGTTATTATTGACGATAAGACAAGATCTGTTTTCATATAATTTCGTTAAATATTGCAACAGTTCTCAGTAGTTAGCTCATCAGTGGTGTTGATTGGTTCAGAATTATGTTCTTTAACTCGTGTTCTAGTGCTAATGATAGTTTGAAAAGCGAAGATAACAAGAGCAAAAAAAGTGGTTCAAAATCTGGTATTCATGTTTAAAATTTTTATTTAAATTCGTACATAATTTTTTATTTGTAATTAAACAGCTGTTACATACTCAGTACCATTGAAAAAGATAAGACTATTTTTAGAACAAAGAGTTCAAAGATTTAAAAAATGAAACGCGAAACAAAATTAGAAACAGAGTAAACAAATGTCTTTCTAGAATTGTTCACCTTTTCAAATATTTTGGCACCTAAACCCATGACAATGACCTAACTCAAGTGAACTTATTTTCGTAAATCATTTATTTACTTGACACGTGTAAACTTGTTCAATATTGATTGATTTTTCAGGCAATGAAAGCCCATCATTTTTGGGCAATTCGCAATTCAGCGGAAATCAACAAGAACTTCCTAATGAACTTTCAGCCCCATATGAAGTCCCACAGTTTCCAATCGAACAAATCGAGAAGAAATTGGCCATTCAGAGGCAGCTGAATGTGAAGTGAGTTTTAAATTATATTTTTGTTATTATGTAAGGGTGAGAACAAAGTTCTCCAACGTCCGAGTCTAAAGGTTGGCACATTTTCTTCACACTTAATGAAATTATTGTCCATACACTTGCTATACAAAAATTCTTTTTCCTTTCAGAAAATAATAATAAATCAACTTTTTCTAATTAAACTAATTGTAAAAAATCGTTAAACAGTACATTTTGTCCAGTTTCTACGATTTTTTGCCGATGGTGTTTTTGGATATCAAAATTTCTAGTTAAATCTTTGTCGTTTATTTTTAATTAGCATTTTAACATATTTTATGATAGAAACGTAAAAAATTCTTCCAAAAAGTATGAAAAATTCTCAAAATTTATTACCTATTTGTCCTAAAACTGCTGACGTTTCGGGATTGGTGTAGCTGGAAGAATCCTCCAGACTCAAGACTATTTTCGATTACAAATATATTTGACACGTATTTTTTTCCTATTCTAATCCTGGATTTTAAACCAACCGCTGAGGCTGTGCAAAATTTATTACCACTCCAACTTAGCAAAGCATAAATTTGACTGAAATTCACGATGAATAATAAAAAATTAATTTAATTTAAATTGAAACATGTTTTTGCATTTTCTACACACCTACAGTATGTCGCCGGATTGAGTTTCCAAGAGGAAAAAAATTATCTTTGATTTTACGCCAAAACTGAAGAGAAAAAACATTTTTTGCTTTATGTGAAACGAGCAAATCTGTAATTAAAACTTCATTATTCTGATTCAGTGAAAAGAAAAGTTTATTTTTCTCTTAATTTTGGACAATGATGTCAGTTTGACAAATGAGTTTACACAAGTTAAATAACAAAAATGTTTAATTTTAATAAATATCAACTCTAATAAACAACTTTAAGATAAAAAATATAAAGTCATTTTTAACAAGAACTATCATTATTTAATTAATAAATTAATTGTCAAAGTGACTTATAGTTTTCAAATAAATAAAAAAAGCAGAGAAAAATCAAGAGACAAATTAACTTTTCTTTTCATGAATCAGAATAGTTAAGTTTTAAATACAGATTTGCTCGTTTTAGGTGAAGCAAAAAATGTTTTTCTTTTGCAGTTTTGGCGTAGAATCAAAAAAAAAATTTTTTCTCTTGTAAACTCAATCCGGGGACATACTGTGTATTGATTTTGTCGATATAAAAACTAGGCAAGGTTTTTGTTGAAAATATTTTTTTTGTGTTTTCTGAATTGCGGATGAAACGTGGTTCACTTTGTATATTTTTGTAAATCGAGAGGAAAACAATATTATTGTTATGCTCTAAGTATTTCAATAAGTTTCGTTTAATTTATGTCAGTTTTTAATTGATTTTAATTCACATATGTACTTTGTGACAGGAGTTGTTAATCCATTACTGTGTATACTTTTGTATAATTAATTAATATATGATGTTTTACAACTCGCACCCCAGAAAAAAATGCCAAGAAGGGACATAGAATAGACCAGGGACATATAATAGTATATTATAATACAGAGTGGTTATAAATGATTTTCATCTAGCCAGCTTTGGAATTTTTTTGGATGTAACTTTATTTGTGCCGCTCTACTTTTTTGAAAGCTCTAGTTCTGTCATTAGTGTCACTTATTAATTAATAATAAATGGTTGTTAATTAAACTTTTATTGTTTCAACTAATTTCCAATAATAATTGATAATGATGTATACTTTGGAAGAAAACAAGTTTATAATTGAAGTCTATTTTCGAAGTGGACGCTTAGTAAACGACGATTTTTTAATTTTGAGTTAAAACAAGTAGGTGCCCCTATTTTCGTAAAGCGGCATTTTTTATTTTACATGGAAAATTGACAGCTGGCTAGATGAAAATCATTTATAACCACTCTGTACTAGTTTATAAGTAAGCCTTTAAAACACGCGTAAGTGTTTTAAAGGCGCTTATACGCTATTTTTTATTACACGATCTTTTATGAGCATTGAAAAAAAATGTGAATTTTATGTGTTTATAATCAATAACTAAAAAGATATTTAACGTTAACATTTAAAATAATAATTACTATTGTTTCAGTAGCCAAAAAGTGCATAGTTGCACAAGAGATGGAAGAAATATTACTTAATAATCACATTTGTGTTAAACTGAATCCATTATTCTTTATTTTTGCAATAAAATAATTCGAATTTCAGTATTTATAACGACTTTTACAATCTCTGGATAAATCAACGGATCCCTTAAATATCTTTTCATTTATCAATTCTAAACATTAAAAGTTTATTTTTTAGATAGACAATTTATCAATCAATATATGCCAAAATAAAAAATAGAGTGTTCCATAAATTTTTTTTAAGTTATTTAACTTTTAACAAACTTCTCCATTTTTTAATATTTACAAATACAAAACACTAAAAAATTGCTACTGCTTTAAATTCTGTACTTTCCTCTTTGCAGAAGTAGGAAAAAATTTGTTCTAGCTGTCTTTGTTTTTGTGTAATAAATTTTTAAAAAGTGATGCATGTTTTCGTCAAAAAAACGTCTTATTTTTAAAACTAAGCAAAATCGACTAATAAAAGTTTAGCGTAAAAACATTGTCATAAAGACCTTCATCCAAAAATGTGTTTCATTTAAAAACACAAGTTTGTATCGTAACTTATTTTTGGAACATGGTGTATGGATGAAAATAATTTTAGGTCATGCACTTAGTTATAATTTCGAAATTTTATAGATAGGATCTTTTTAAACATCCATTTTGTCTGGGACTCGATTTCTCAAGACTGTGTGTATTAATATTTTTTTTTAATTAAACAAACATATTGAATGTTTTAAATTAATTTAAATTAAATATGAGATGTTGGAAAACAACCTCATCTTGCAGTTTATCAGTATCGTAAAATAATGAAGAAATATAACTTGCACTTTAATTATACCTAAACCTAGCAAATGCGTGTTTTTCCGCAATTACCTATATTTTCTCCAAAGACGGTAAATGAAAAGTGTTTGTCTAGGATTGTTTGCATTGCCATAATTCACTTTTCCCAATATACTTCATTAGAAAATTAAAACCATTCATTTAAGTAAACTCATTACCACCAAACAAACGAAAAGCCCTTAGTCCAAATTTTGCAAAACCATTTTTTTTCCGTCTTTTTCAATGAATATAAGGGGCGAGGGTTATTATTGGTTGATGTGTTCTACTTGTCACACTTTAGATTAGTTCGTTATGTCCGGTGTTGAGGTGTGGTTGTTTCCACTCGTCATCAAGCCCTTGATAAAATAATTGTGACCCTTCAATGTTTGGGCCCGCTTCAGAATGTCGTAGATTCGAGCCTTACTACCAGTAGGAGTAATTTAGGGGCATTAAATTAAAATTAATGTTACTATTACAGAGTTTTGAGTGATAGACGTAGTCATTACGAGCCTTCGGTCCCCGGAGAAGAGCAATGTTATCCAACATTAGATGAACAAGATTTATATGTCCCGCATTTCCAGAGGGTGTCAATTTCGGGGGAAGACACCAGTGGGGTGAGTAATTTTCACAACTGTCTCAACCTTGAGTCAAACCCTTGAAAGGTTTCACCGATCTATAAAAATGTGTGTGAATTTTGCGATTTTTGGGTGTTTTTAAAGGTTCCATTGGAGGATTTGGAAAGGGCTTCCCGTCTCATTGTTCAAGCCTTACAGATTCGCAAACGTTATATGAAACTCTCGCATCAGAGCTTCTCGGCGACTGCGGCCCGGTTTCTCGATCCTCATAACAAACAACAGCAACAACAACACGACGAAAAACAAACAATAGAAGGTAATTAATTGATAACACAGGGCGACAAAAAAAAGTCATGTCGTGACAACTTGACAAATTTTGTTCATTTTGTTCGTCTCAGTGAGACAAATCAAATGCACTAAAAAAAATTTAAAAAGTCCACACACTTTCAACAAAAATAATTTTTTTCTAATTTAAATGAATTTCAAATACTTTAAATTTAAAAAATCATTACTCAATTACTATTAGGCCTATTTCCTTCAAATAAAGACCATTCTAAAGGGATGGCCTTGCCCTTTAGAATGATATGAAATTTGAAATTGAATCAATATGCAAGTTCGAAGTAAATCTAAGTTATCTAAGAAAAACCCTACAAGTATTTTTTTTCTTCGTAACCATCGTGTAGAGCATCTTTTTATTAGTAAGAATCCAAATTTTTAAAATAATATACCGAAAAGTTTTTAAGATATGATTTTTTGAAGTTAAGGTTTGCTAATCAAGCATTGCTCCATATAGGAGAAATGCATGTTAATCTTATTTAAAATTGCATTTTTATGCAAGTATTTGTTTTAAGACTCTTCTTTTGCTTAAAAATGGTCAATTGCATCTTCTTTGTACTAATTACAATATACAAAAACTGTTTGTTTACTTAAAACAAACAAAAAGTACCTGCGTACTAATTAAAGCAAATAAAGAGTTTTTTTTTTGTAAAAATGACCACTGATCATTGAGCAAAGAGAATCTAGAAGTTTAAGACACGAGTCTTAAATATAAGGGCAAATCTTTTTGAAATCAAATCACTTTCCATTCAGATTTCGACTTCACTTTTTTCACTTTTTTTGAAAATGTTCTGAACAAATGCTTTCGAGTGATGTTAAATGCAATAAGTCACCTGATTTATTTTGTTTGTACACTCAGAAAAGTTGAAAATGACGTGTCCATAAACCGACCCTCATTATTTGGGTCCTCCTACCTAATGCGAGGGGAAAGTAATAAAAATGCATTTGCATTTAGCCTCAACATTTCTTTTAAGTAAATCTTGTTAGGTGATATTATTTCATTAATGATAGTTGTTACAATTAAACGTGTGTAAAGTGTGTTATACTGAAACGAGCAAATTTGTAATTTTAAAACCTCATTATTCTGAAAAGAAAAGTAATTTTTTTCTTGATTTTGGGATTTTTCTCTGCATTTTAAATCCCACCATAATGGCGGTTTTATTTTTTTGACAGAATTGTAACTTTGGCAATTAATTATTTAATTATTATAATTGTTATTATCGACAGAATAACATTCTGAAAAGATTTGTCGCTCTCATTTATGAAAAATAATAACACTTCAAAGCATGAGATATTATATTATTAATGATTATTATAATTAAAGACAAAAATTGTTTTAAATTTAAATAATTAATTTTATTTATTTCAACAAAAGGCAAAAATTATAGATTTTACAAATATTTTATTTATCGTAATCACTAATTAATATCAGTAATGTGTATCACATCCATTGTTGGCTAAACATTGATGAAGTCGTCCATGAAGTAGTCCACCAAATTTTGGCAAATTGGTGAATAGTGGAAATGGTCTCAAACGTTATTAAGGTGCTGCGCCAATTTTTTTATTTTAAATTTCGTTCGCAAACTTTGGGTTGAAAATTTGGCCAGTCTAGTTGAAATAATTTAAATATAATTCTAGGAAGGATCGCTTTGAAGCTTTATTATTAAGGCTCGGATTATATGCACGAAAAATTCGTAAAATATGCGCATATATATGCACGTATTTTCACAAAAATATGCACAAAATATTAAGAATTATGCTCAAATATATGCCAAATATGCATCGATATGCAAAACTTTTAACAATAAAAAATCAAAGTTGGAATACATTTTTATCCTCGAATACAATAAAGTTTGTATTTTCGTAATCTTGAAACGCACACGATGAAGGATATATTCCTTTTATACCAGGTGAATAAAAAGCATGGAACCAAACATTTTTTGCTTAAACTATTTATTTTTTTAAAAACTATTGATGATGAATTAAATGTTTTATCAAAAATAAAATTTTTCGAATTTTTTGTTTTTGTTTTTGAGTTCTACAAAAATTTTATTTTTTTTAAATGGCAACCCACTAAAAAAAAATGTTTTCTATACTCTCCCAAAAACAACTGTGTTGAAGACTATCTACTTTTTATCAATTTAAAAAAATACATAAATTAGAATTTTGACAAAAAAATCGCATAACTCAAATCAAAACAAAATTTTATTTTGAAAATACGATCAGATATTTTATATTACTTTATTTTATATTAATTATTATTTTCCAGAGGTAAATAATTAAAAAAAAACCGTTTGGTTTTAAACTTCATATTCACCATGTATAAAATCAATTGAAAAAGGAAAAACTCAGCAGGATACTAATTCTTTAAGTTCGGCTTACAAATTACTGGTTGTTTTCTCTTTAACATATTTTGTAATCGGATCATTTTTCTTAAACTCGTCAATTTTTAACTTGAACTAAAATTTATAATTGAAAATTTGCGATTTGAAGAAAATATGCACAAATATGCATTATTTCCTAAAATATGCACGAAGTTGCCAAACAATGCAAAATATGCATTTTTTAATTGGCTTATTTTAATAAAAAAACATTAGATATACATGGAAAACTTACAATTTTGTTGATATACCTCTTAATAGAACTTATTCCAAATCTGGTGGCGAACTGACGTTGTCAAAAAGGACTGAATTTTGACGCTAAACATATGTTTACTATTAAAAAAAATATTGTTCATAGGCGTTGTATGAAATAGTACTTCAAAACCACTGTTATTCTTTAAAAAAATATAATAAGTAGGTACTCATACATAAGATGAAGAATGATGAACAAATTATTAAATTGTTAACGCATGAAAAGAATTTTCAAAAATGATATTCCTAACAATCTTTGTTTTCAAAATTTTTAGAGAAAAAAAAGTAAGTATTCTTTTATCTTAACCAAGTGGGCGCACTCCAAGTGTCTTTTTTGTCACTGTCAGTTCGCCACCACATTTGGAATAATCTCTAACAAATATGCATTTTGCATATAATCCGAGCCTTATTTATTATAGTTCACAGAAATACCAACTAATGTTTAGGTTCGGGATTGTAAGAACCAAAATGAAAACAACAAAAATAATCAATAAAATGTCTATTCTATAAATGTCAGTTCTATTCATTATCAACTGTATAAATGAACGGGAAGTAGTAAAACTAATTTACAATTCGTTGAAGTAGTGAATCCCAATTAAAAGTGTTGAAAAACAATTAATATTCAGTTATAATGAGAGCAACAAATCTTTGCAGCATTTTATTGTTTTGCAGCTAATACCGGTTACAATAATTAATTAATTGTCAAAGTTACATTTTTGTCAAAAAATTAAAACCGCCATTGTCATGAAACTTAAAAAGCAGAAAAAAATCCCAGAAGTAAGAGAAAATTTACTTTTCTTTCCATTGAGACAGAATAATGACGTTTTAAAGTTACAAATTTGCTCGTTTTAGTGTAACACACCGTATGACATATTTTACACACCCTTAATTATAATAATCATTATTAATGAAATAAAATCCCATAACAAGATTTACTTAAAAGAAATGTTGAGGCTAAATGCAAAAACATTTTTATTACAACTGCGGTTAGGTAAAGCTACTGTTTTAAAGTTCTAGATCCTTTTTGCTCAATACTGAGTGATCATTTTTAGAACAAAAAAACTCTTTATTTGCTTAAATTAATACGCAGGTAGTCTTTATTTGTTTTAAGTAATAAACAAACAGTTTTTGTTTATTCTAATTAGAACAAAGAAGGTGCAATTGACCATTTTTAAGCAAAAGAAGAGTTTTAAAACAAATACTTTTATAAAAATGCAATTTTAAGTAAGATTAACATGCATTTCTCCTATAAGGAGCAATACCTGAACAGCAAACCTTAACTTCAAAAAATCATATCTTAAAAACTTCTCGGTATATTATTTTAAAAATTTGGATTCTGACTAATAAAAAGATGCTCTACACGATGGTGACAAAGAAAAAAAATTACTCGTATGGTTTTTCTTAGATTATTTCGATTTACTTCGAATTTCTTCAAACACTGTTCAAAGAAAAGTTTGCCAATATTCAATTTCAAATTGGATATCATTCTAAAGGGCAAGTCCATCCCTTTAGAATGGTCTTTATTTGAAGGAAATCGGCCGCCTAATAGTTATTGAGTAATGATTTTTTAAAGTTAAAGTATTTTATATTCAATTAAATTAGAAAAAAAATATTTTGTTGAAAGTGTGTGGATTTTTAATTTTTTTTTTTTTGATTTGTCTCACTGAGACGAACAAAATGAACAAAATTTGTCAAGTTGTCACAACATGACTTTTTTGTCGCCCACACGTGTGGTCAATTTCTGAGTTTTTCTTATTGTTTTCTCGATTGCGAAACTCCAATTTGAGTAATTGCAATGAAATTTTGAGTTTCGAGGATTTTTTTTTTAAATAAAATTTGCATGTACTGTAGCCGAAAGTGCTGCTTCTTCGACAGCAACAACGTCAAGATCTTCAGCTGATTTGTGTATGACTGAGTCGATGACCGACGCTGTTCTCGATTGTATTTTAAATGATGGGGTGCAGCAAGGTAAATTTTGTAAATAAAGCAGTAACATACATTTTTACAAAGTGCACCACCCTACAGAACAGGTAGTTTTATAGTTGTCGCATTTTTATAATTATTGACAACACGGTGAAATGCTAGAACGGTGTTTTCAATTAACGTTCATCTATTTTATTGACTATCAGATATCATAATATTTTTAATATTTAATTTATATGTTGTTTGGTTTTTTAATTTATACCTTGTTTAAGATTTTTATTTTATGTCTCGTAAAAAATAAACGTCCCGTTTTGGGGCTTAAGAAACATGTTTTTTTTTTCTTCTCAAACTTTTTTTTTTGTACATTTTTTTGTTTTTCATTTATATTTTAATTTTAAAGAAAGAATCACTTAAGATATGCGTTGTCAATAATCATAATTTTGATGTTGAAATAAGGTCTCACCAGAAAAAAATACACTATCTTTAACTTTGAAGTAAAAATCAATATAAATAAAAAAAATAATGAATTTACCATAGATATGAACAAGTTTTCTAACGTATTTATTTTCAGTTTATATTTTTTTGAATGAACGCAATAAATGTCAAAGTTTCATTCTTTGGCTTTTATTTTTACCCCTGATTTTCTTTTTTTGAAAATGAGGAAAGTTTGAGTGAAATAAAAAAAAAAGATTTTTGGATTATGCGATTTTTATTCTATACAGGCTGCGCCAGAACTCGCGCCCTAGAGAAAAATGACATAAGGTAAGTTACCAGGAACATGGAAAAAATTAAAAAAACAAATATCTATAAACATTTCGAAGTTATGAGAGTTTAAATTTTACACTTTGACTTTATTTATTTCTGTTGGAAAAATAATTTTCCAAGTTTTTTTGCTATAGGCAAGAGGTGTTATTTGTGGCTTTTATTGACAAAATTTTTGTACCTTTACTAAATAAAAAATGTCAAATGTCAAAAAATAAATGTCAAAGTTTTTTGAACATTTTTTCCATGTTCCTGGTATCTTATCTTACTTGAAATTTTTCTCTTAGAATTTTTCACATTAGAAGTATTTGGAGTTCTAACAGTGATATTTATCAAAAAAATTTATTATAGTTTAGATCCTGTCCAATGAAAATATTTTCAAGGTAGCAGCACTTCCGGTTACACCGGAAATAGGTATTAACTTCGTTATTTTAAATAGAAAGTTATGTTTTTTATTGCGTTTTTGGATTACTCAAGTGATTTTGAGAGAGTTTTTATTAGACTTTCCTATACCTAAATTTAACTGTTTTTGAAATGTTTAGACTTTTTTGATTTTTTTTTAATTTGCACCTTCCTCTCCAAATATTGATAACTCTACTATTTTTAATTATTTTGAAATCGTATTTGGGCATATGAAAAAGAAGGGTTAGCTCTTTTCTTATAATTGGAAAAATAATTAACAAACCTCCAAAATTTATACCTTGTTTAAGATTTTCATTTCATGTCTCGTAAAAAATAAACGTTCCATTTTGGGGCTTAAGAAACATGTTTTTTTTCTTCTCAAACTTTTTTTTGTGAATTTTTTGTTTTTCATTTATTTTTTAATTTTAAAGAAAGAATCACTTAAGATATACGTTGTCAATAATCATAATTTTGATTATTTACAGATTGATGCAGAATTAAATTTATCTTTCATTTAGTGAAGAAAAAATTGGGGGTTCCATTTGAAAAATTACGGGTATTTGAAGTTTCCTAAACGTAACTTTACATTTTGTTGGTTTGTAAATTATTTCTCTAATTATGAATACATCAAAGGAAAGATCTAACTTTTCTCTCTCAATATATACCTAAATACGGTTTCAATATTCATAAAAAATGGCAGAGTTATCGATTTTTGATTAGCAAGATTCAGATCTAAAAAAAATTAAAAAGGTCTAAATATTTCGAAAACGGTTAAACTTAGGTATAGGGAAGGCTAATAAAAACTCTCTCAAAATCACTTGGTAATCCAAAAACGCAATAAAAAACATAACTTTCTATTTAAAATAACGAAGTTAATACCCATTTCCATCTTGAAAATATTTTCATTTAGCAGGATCTACACGATTAAAATTTTAGATAAATATCATTGTTATTGTCCCAATACCTCAAATGTGGGGTTTAGTCGGAACGGCCTGTATTTTGTTTGCTTAAAAAAACCAAATTAGTTTTTGACATTTGATGAAAAACATTATCGGTTAGAATTGTCCAATTTGAGCCCTCGGGGTAGTGACATATTCTTCAACTCTGATGTAGGTAAACAGCAATTTTCATACTTGATTCAAAAATTTAGTCGAAAAAGCACTTGATTATTTTAATTTAGTTTCACAATGTTTTTTGAAACCGTAATTTTAGGACATTACACGTACAAAAAATGCACTTTAGCTTTTTTCAAAACACTGTAGATTGTAAATAGTAAATTATAGTAATTATATGATTCCAAAATTTTTTTAATATTTTTTGAATCGTATTGTATTCCTAGTTAGAAATTACACTTCCACTACTTCACTCCAAAAATTAATTTTATCGAATCTTAAACAAGGATTTTGCTTGTTTTAATGACTCTACCATACTAATCCTAGCAAATCCTAAATTATTTTGTGTAAATAGTTTTATTATTATTAAAACAGAACATGGCATTCACCCGCCAACCCACCACCCCTGGGAACCCCGAAACATCCCTGACACTACTCACGTATTCAAGTCGAAAAATGGCGTTTATGAAGTTTATCTCAACGAAGAAGATCTTCAAAATGGAAAAACTTGCGATTATCCATATCCAGACATTGCAACTTTTTCCGCTGATATGACTACGATGTGTAACATGATCGCAGATGGACCATTGTGAGCCAATCAAATTTTCACAAAATATTAAATTACATGATTTTTCTTTTTTAGAAAATCATTTTGTTATCGCCGTTTGAGTTATTTATCTTCCAAATTTCAATTGCATGTACTTTTGAATGAATTAAGAGAGTTAGCATCGCAAAAAGCGGTGCCTCATAGAGATTTTTACAATATAAGAAAAGTCGATACTCATATCCATGCCGCGTCTTGTATGAACCAAAAACATTTGCTACGTTTTATAAAAAAGACGTTGAAAAATCACGCTGATGAGATTGTGACGGTGACTAATGGCAAACCAATGTCCTTGAAGGAAGTGTTTCAGGTATTAATTAAAAATGTTAATTAAGATAATGTCAATTAGATAATTCTCTAATCGAATGAAATTTCTAGTCCATGAACTTGACTACATATGATTTAACTGTGGACATGCTTGACGTTCATGCTGATCGAAATACTTTTCACCGATTCGACAAATTCAATGCAAAATATAATCCAATTGGTGAAAGTCGACTCAGGGAAGTGTTTCTGAAAACTGACAATTATCTAAACGGGAAATATTACGCTAGGATTATTAAAGAAGTTTGTAGCGATTTGGAGGAATCGAAATATCAAAATGCTGAGCTCCGTTTGAGCATCTATGGTAAAAGTAGGGATGAATGGGACAAATTAGCCAAATGGGCTATTGATTCAAATGTTTACTCGGACAATGTTCGTTGGTTAATCCAAGTTCCACGACTTTTGTAAGTATTTTAAATTCAAAGCCCGAATTTTGTAACCGAATTTTTCCCCTAGCGACATTTTTAAGTTAAACAAACTCCTCCAAAACTTCCAACAAGTCATCGATAATATTTTCCTCCCTCTACTCGAAGTAACAGCTCGTCCAAGTTCCCACCCGGAATTGCACCGTTTTCTGGAATATGTCATAGGTTTTGATTCAGTCGATGATGAAAGCAAACCTGAAAAAAACCCACTTTTCGATAAGGACCTTCCAAAGCCTGAAAACTGGCATGATGACGAAAACCCCAACTACGCCTACTACCAATACTATATGTACGCCAATATGGCGGTATTAAACCACTTCCGGGCCGAGAAAGGGCTCCCGACTTTTGTCCTGCGCCCCCATTGTGGCGAAGCCGGTCCTGTGCAACACTTGGTATGTGGGTACATGCTATCCGAGAATATTTCCCACGGATTGTTGCTCCGGAAAGTTCCGGTTTTGCAATATTTGTACTACTTGGCCCAAATCGGGATTGCGATGAGTCCATTGTCGAATAATAGTCTGTTTTTGAATTATCACCGGAATCCACTCCCGGAGTATTTATCACGGGGTTTGGTGGTGTCGTTGTCGACCGATGATCCGTTGCAGTTTCACTTTACTAAAGAGCCCCTCATGGAGGAGTATAGTATTGCGGCACAAGTGTGGAAACTCTCCAGTTGCGATATGTGCGAATTGGCACGGAATAGTGTGTTAATGTCAGGTTTTTCGCACAAGGTCAAGCAATACTGGCTAGGGCCGAATTACACCAAGGAGGGGGTGGCCGGAAATGATATCGCCAGGACCAATGTACCGGATATAAGGGTTGCATTTAGGTACGAGACCTTGATTGATGAACTGTCGAATATTTTTAAAGCTCAGCCGGAACCAAATTCTGATTGAATGAATTGTTTTAAATTAGTTTTCGGTTAAGTTTTTATATTTTATAAATTATTTTTAATATTTAATAATGTTTCTTGTAAGTAGAAAAAGTTGTTAATAGGGTCCGGGATGAGGCCCTAGTAATAAAATTTCGAGTTGTGATGAAGATACGCCTTATGAGTATAACAGTTTCTTATATTTTTATAAAGAGTTTAACAAGTGATTGTTTTGCTGACACTAGTCGATGTTATTAATTAAAATCATTGTTAATTCTCGCCGAAATTTTATTTCCTGTCCTTGAAATGGAATGGAATAAGTCTTCTTATTATGTTTGTAGTAATTAAGTATTATTTTAATAAGTCTTATTAATATGCGTAATTATAACAATTCAAATTTAATTGCACGTAGAGTAAAATTCTGCATTTTGGCTGTTTAATCGTATATCTTTAGCCATCCATTATTGACTGACTTGAAGATTATTAAATAAAAAGCCAAATAATTTAAAATGACCAATAACTTAGAATTTGTGCCCTGTTGTTAAATGTATAACCGATTATATTGTATTCTAAAATGAGAATAAAGTTATCGAAGCAATTGTAAATTTATGTTCATGCCCCAACACTTATTTATTGCACAGCATTTTGGATTAAGAAGGAAAATATAAGTTAAAGTTCAAAAATATCTCTTGAATTAAAAAAAAGCAGACAAAAATTTAAATTACAACATACACTACTCCAAAAAATTAAAGAAACAAAAAATTTTCATAAATTTCTTGGTGATTTTTGAAAAAAATGGTCGTATCTAGATTAAAAAAAAATTTGAAGGTTCAAGTTTTTAGTTTTGAGACCTTTTGGCAAATATGTTTTGTGTGCTACGGTTATCAATTCTAAGTAATAGCGCGCGAAAAAAAATATTTTTTTTTGTTTTTGGTCCACGGACATGAGGATTTTTTTTAGATAAGTCATTGCATAGGCCGGATAGCATGTTTGTTTACCTTTAATATGCTTTTTTCATATTCTCTTTACGTTAATTTGTTTAATTCAAAAAAAAATAATCAGTATTGTGTCTTGAATTTTTTTACAAATTCAATTTTTTTGTCAAAAATTAAGCAGTTCATTGTTTTTTAAATGTTTTTACAAATCTTCAAAAAAATAATCAAAAAACAAATTTTGTTTATTTTTTTTTAGTTTTAGCAAATAACTAATGCAAAATTGTTACAAAGTCGAAAAAAATTGTTTTTTTTTTCATTTTAATGAAGATTAGACGATATTCAGAAACAATATGTGCAATTGTTCCTTTAATTCTTTTGCAAAACTTTGATCAATCGGTCCGAGAAAACGGTTTGATGGATCGATTTAAAAATTTACAGGGATATGGGGGATATTTTAAGCTGTAAAACACCTAAAAACATTAGTTTCCCCATCAATATTAGTAAATACGCGGTAGATTTACTAAAACAACGCAAAGAGTTACTCTTTTCTTTAAGTCAATGTTAAAGGTGAAAAAAAAATTGTTTTCTAAAAAATCATATAAGGATCTTATAAAGACATTTATTCCAGTTTTTGACACTACCCTTATATTCTCTGTGTAGTTATTGGTTGCTGAGATATCGATGATCAAAAACAGGATGATCCTTTTTCATTAAAAGTCAGATATCTCAGCGACAAATTGTCGCAAAGAGAATATGAAAAAAGCATATTAAAGGTAAACAAACATGATATCCGGCCTATGAATTCTCTATTACTCCAAAAACATAAATCCGAGACAACAGAAAACTATTTCATTATCTTAAATAGATGTGTCCGAGTAATATAGGCACTATATATCATAGTAGTAATAGTTTTTCATTTTATCATTAATTATCACGGGATTTGCGAAAATTGTCTTTCATTGGTTGGAATTTTTTCAGAGATTTATTGATTTTTTTAGAAATTCAAAGTTGCTAATAAATTATAGTACTAATAAGAGCGGCAAAAATGAAAAACCAAAAGTTTTCTCTGTAAACCACTATTGAATAACTATTCAAAATTTTTAAAATTTAACATTTATCTATTTGCTATAAAAATATTTTACCGAATGAATTATCTATTACTAAAACGTGATAGCTCCAACTCTCCAACCCATGTCAATTTTGTTAGACACTATAGCAAAAAATATCAAACTTTAGACAATTATTTCAGAACCAAGTTTTCAAATTTGAATCAAATTTTTCAAATTTAGTGATTTTCTTGGTGAAAAACTCTTTAAACAGATAGAAATAAATGTGGTCAAATCCTATCGGATTTGATTAAGAGTTTCATTTTTATTTAGTAAAGTGTCTTTTAGATTGTAAAAAATGTTTGGGTCACTTCCAGTAGCTTCAGGTCGGTTCAGGCCACTTTAGGCCACTTCGGATTGAAGTAAAAAGGAAGTATTAAATGTACTGACTTTTTGATTTTCAAAAGAAGAAAAATTCTTAAGGAAATATTTAAATTTAGTAGTAAAAATGCCAATCGAGACGTTTCAAAACATCGTGCTACAAAAGACAGTTGGGGAGACTAAGAAAGTGTCAGATGTACTGGACTAAAAAATTTTTAGACTTGCAAAAAAACCTTTAAAAATTTTCATGATAATAACGATGATGAAAAATTAAAATTCAATCCAACTATACTGCAACGAATGGGTGATTTTTGAATATAATAACTTGAGACGGTATTTTCTGTGGTGTTAGTGACGGTCAAACTGTGCAAATATGATAATAATTGCTGGAAAAAATAAAATTGTATCATCAATAATATTAACCAACCAAAAATATTGTTGAAAATATTTATTCGATTGTATTGCACCTTCAAAAGTTTAATATTTTTGGACAGATTTTCAACTCCGTTCAGTATCGGTTTCAAAAATACATCAATTTAATTATAACTAAAGCACAGGAACTTTCGGGGTGAAAGCGGGGTGGACCAAAAACAAAACCATAAAAATTTAGAATTTTTTTTTTCTTGCGCTATTACTTAGAATTGGGTGATAGAAAAAATATTTGCCAAAATATCTCAAAACTAGAAATCTAAAGCTTCAAAATAGTTACAGCCTTTAAAAAATCACCAAAAAATTTTCCTAAATTTTTTGTTCCTTTAGTTTTTATAATTCATTAAATAAACAAAAGCCTGAAATTTTGTGTCAGTTTTTGGCACGCAGCAGTGTTATTCATGAAGAAAATTCAACTCAACAACAAATTCAACAACATTGTGCTTAATCTGGAAATGAATTCTAAGATTCTTCATGTCGGGAAATTGTGAAAATATTGAAAGCAATTTACTTCCAACGGCATTGTCACCAACATAAGAAGCTTTTAACGCAGCTGTTAGCGTTGATAAAGACGCAAAATAGAAGAAACACGGTAAGTTAAAAAACTTTATTTTTGTTACTGACTGAAATTTCTCATAGAAAATTAAAGTACACATAATCTAACATTAAATACTACTGGTTATGATAAATTAATTCGATGAGAAAAGTTGAGTTCCTATAACCTACTATCCGTAACACCATTGCTGACATTTTCTCTCGACTCTGCTTTTGTTTCTGGTGGACTGACTCTGTTTGGCATTAAGAGTTGTCTGAAAATCTTCCTAAAAGGTGCTTCAACCAATAAATATAACGCAATTGCGGCCAAAAAAGACAAAAGTGTGTCACCCACAGACAGACAAATCTAAAAAAAAATACTATATACAGGATGTTCCGTCTAAACCCCACATTAGAAGTATTGGGAGTTGAAATAATCGTATTTATTTGAAAATTGGTACATAGCCATAAACCATTAAGTTCTCCTAAATGAAAATATTTTTAAGATGGCGGCATTTCCGGTTATACCGGAAGTCGGTGTCAACTTTCTTATTTTAAATAGAAAGGTATATTTTTTATTGCGTTTTTGGATTAATCGGGTTATTTTAAGAGAGTTTTCATCAGCTTTCCCTATACCTAAATTTAGCCGTTTATGAGATATTTGAAGCTTTTTTAAAAATTTTTGGATTTGCACCTTCCACTTTAAAAATCGGTAACTCTGCCATTTTTTAAGATTTTTAATTCGTTTTTTTGGCGTTTGAAAGAGAAAGCTTAGGTCCTTTTTCTGGTGTTTTCAAATTTTGAAAAAAAAACATATCCCAAAATTTTAAGGTTACTTTTGTAATAATTCAAATATTCATAACTTAATTTTTTCAAATGAAATACCCCAATTTTTATTTTACTAAATAGAAGAGAATTTAATTGTGCATTGTATTGACATTCTCTATACCTAAATTTAAGACTACAGAAAATTTATTACTAGCCACACCCGTTTTCACATAGTTTGCTATGGAAATCAAAAATGTCAAAATTTTCTATAAACAAACGTCAACAGTAAATTACTATTTGACAAATAGTGCCAAAATGTGGAGAATCAAAGTTATACAAAAAAAATTGTTTAAGGAACGACATCATAATTTTGTTACACTCTACATAAGTACAAAATAAATAAATTAAATCTAAGTTTGAGTAGCTTTGACTCTCCATATTTTGGCACTATTTGTAAAATAAGTCACTGTCGACGTTTATTGAGAAACAATTTCGACATTTTTTATTTCTATGGCAAAGTATACGAAAACGGATGTGGCTAGTAATAGATTTTCGGCAGTCTTAACAAAAAGTCACCATAACTTAAAAATTATTAAATTTAGGTATAGGGAATGTTAATACAGGTCGATGCAGAATTAAATTCTTTTCCATTTAGTAAAATAAAAATTGGGGTATTTCATTTGGAAAAATTGAGTTATGGGTATTTCAATTATTACAAAAGTAACCTTAAAATTTTATGGTTTGTTAATTTTTTCTCAAAATTTGAAAACACCGGAAGAAAGATCTAAACTTTCTCTTTCAAACCCAAAAAAAAACGAATTCAAAATTTTAAAAAATAGCAGAGTTACCGATTTTTAAAGTGGAAGGTGCAGATCCAAAAATTTTTGAAAAACTCCAAATATTTCAAAAACGGCTAAATTTAGGTATAGGGAAAGGAAAGCTGATGAAAACTCCCTTAAAATAACCCGATTAATCCAAAAACGCAGTAAAAAATATACCTTTCCATTTAAAATAAGAAAGTTGAGACCGACTTCCGGTATAACCGGAAATGCCGCCATCTTGAAAATATTTTCATTTAGGAGAACATAATGGTTTATGGCTATGTACCAATTTTCAAATAAATACGATTACTCCAACTCCCAATACTTCTAATGTGGGGTTTAGACGGAACAGCCCGTATATTTAAAAAATTCTTTATTTTCTAAATTTTCCACTTACCACATCAAAATAAGAAAACTGTCTCGGATTCATAAACTTGGATGCAGCTCTTAACTGGAATTGCATGTGGATGAGGTAAACACCATAAACCAATTTACTTAGAGGAATCCAAGGGGACCAACAAAGAATTTTATTAATGAAAGTAGCGTGACCATAACTGGAAACGTAGATTATTCCTACAGTACCAATAGCGAACGCTGGCCGGTGTAAAGCCGCATATACGCTAGATTCAAGGGCGTTGTATTTGTGATACGGATCGTAAAAAACAGCACCCCCGACGATGCAAACTAAAATCATTATGAGCGAGAGCAGCATCAGGAAGTGTGACCTGATCTGAAATTTTTTTCAATTAATGAAAATATAAAAAAATGCAAGAATTTTGCCATATTTTAGACGATTGTCAGCTTCTTTCAAAACTTTTGATATTTTTTTCATAAGCTGAAAATCGAATCGCATTTGAGTAATTCCATGCCAAAACGATCACTTTTAAAACTCATCGTTTCTGATTTTTGTAAATTTGAGATGTGTTATAGAACGTGTAAAAATAAGTGACACGTATTTCACCGTTTTGTATGAAAAACAGGGATGAACAAAATGAAGTACCTTGTAGAAAAAAGAATTTTTATGTAAAGAACAAATCAACATATTGAGACGATTTTTTTTAAATAATAGATATAAGTAGGTACACTACGGACGTGATAATACATGTATTCTAAAAATTTGTTGTTAACAAATAATTTAAAAATGTATTGTTTAAACAAAAGAATAAACAATTACGCAGGTTTTTTAAATTCTCAAAAAAGTTATGTAAAATCTCTCATATTTTTACTATGTCTTCACATAAGTTTCAAGACAGATGTTTTAAAAATGGCTGAAATTTTTTTTTGAGGGCGCTGCATAGTGCATGATCCCCTAAGATCGCCTGAAAGTAGCGTTTCTTTGGAAATTAAATAGAAAAATTACCAATTACCGTCACTAATAAACAGTTCTAAAAAAACACAATTTCCAATAACTTATTATTTTTCAAAAAATATCAATTATAAAAAACAAATTCTTCGGTTGAGGAAGAGTACTCTCTATACAGGCTGTGCCAGAACTCGCGCTCCAGAGAAAAATTCCATATAAGGTAAGATACTAGGAACATGGAAAAAATGTTAAAAAAAATTTATCTATAAAAATTTCGAAGTTACAAGGGTTTAAAGTTTGCACTTTGACTCTATTTATTTCTATTGTAAAAATAATTTGTTTTTTGCTATAGGCTATTAAAATAGGAAACAAAGAAGCTGTATCCTAAATTGTAACTCTGTTCAATGTTATTTGTGGCTTTTATTGGCAAAACTTTTGTCCCTTTACTAAATAATTGTAAAAAAACATATACAAGATCATCAGTATCATTAAATAGATATAAAAAAATGTCAAATGTCAAAAAATAAATGTCAAAATTTTTTGACAGATAGAATTTTTTAAACATTTTTTTCATGTTCCTAGTATCTTACCTTACTTGAAAATTTTCTCTGGGGCGCGAGTTCTAGCGCACCTGTATTTTATTTTATTTTCTGATTGGAATAAAAGTATGTAGATTTCGCGAACCTTTTATGGGTTTCGCTCGACGAAAACGATCAATTAAAAAATTGCAATGTTTTTCAAATTGTCTATTAGATAAACAGGGTGACCAAGGGGTGCGTGCAAACTTTTTTGTATTCAACTAATCGGCATGTTTTTTTTTTTTTAGGCGATAGCTCCCACAATAGGCACATTATAAAAATATTTGTATTCATATACAAGTGTCCCAAAATAAGATACACAACTAAGTTCTGTTTTTTAAATGAAAACCCTAAATTTTTGTTACTTTTTTGTAAATTGCCAATATAACGCACCTAGGTTTCTTAGACTTATCTGCCATAGTTTTTGACTTATGCCAATTTAGGTGTCAAAATTGCGTCGTGCGTAGACCCACAAAAAAATTCATAACTTCAAAACTATGCAAGATAACTTAACCAACTTTTTTCCAGTCGATTACTTAATTTTCTATTTTTTTTTCATACAAATGGTAATTACTCGTTTTTTTAAATACAACACTTTATATTTTATTGCATCCTTGCATGGTATTTTTTATAAGCTTTCTGTCCGATATAAGTTTTATGGGGTCTACTTTATAAAATTTGGAACATCGACTCCAAGTTTGCCTTTATCTCAAAAAATACGCTAAAGCTTAGAGAATCAACCGAAAAAAAGTTGGTTAAGTTATCTTGAATAGTTTTGAAGTTATGAAGTTTTTCGTCGGTCTACGCACGACGCAATTTTGACACATAAATTGGCATAAGTCAAAAACTATGGCAGATAAGTCTAGGAAACGTAGGTGCGTTATAGTAGCAATTTAGTGGCGAATCTGAAAATGTAAAAAAAAATTGGCCTTTTTTAATTAATAACAGAACTTAGGTGTGTATCTTATTTTGGGACACCCTGTATATGAATAAAAACATTTGTATAATATGTCTCATTGTTGGCTCTATTACCTAAAAAAAATCATGTCGATAACTTAAATAGAAAAAAAGTTATGGAGCTTGCACGCAGCCTTGCGTCATCCTGTATATCTAATAGACAATTTGAAAAACATTGCGATTTTTTAAATGATCGTTTGAAGAATTTGTTTTTTATTGATAGTTTTTGAAAAATAAATATTAGTAAGTTGTTGGAAATTAGGTGTTTTCTTTAGAACAGTTTATTAGTGACGGTAATTGGTAATTTTTCTATTTAATTTCCAAGGAAACTCTACTTTCAGGCGATCTTAGGTGATCATACACTATGCGGCGCTCTCAAAAAAAATTTTTTTCAGAAATTTTTAAAACGTCCGTCTCAAAACTTATGTGAAGACATAGTAAAAATATATGAAAGTTTTTGCATAAATTTTTGAGAATTTTAAAATCTGCGTAATTGTTTATTTTTTTTGTTTAAATAATATATTTTTAAATTATTTGTTAATAACAAATTTTTAGAATGCATGCATTATCACGTCGGTAGTGTACGTACTTATATCTACTATTAAAAAAATCGTTTCAATATGTTGATTTGTTCTTTAGATAAAAATTCTTTTTGTTACGAGGTACTTAATTTTGGACAACCCCGTTTTTCGACATACATTGAAAAAATAAAAAACGGTGAAATACGTGCCACTTATTTTTAAACGTTCTATACAGGGTTTTTGAGGATTGTGAGCAAATATTTTAACCACTAATAGAACTCGGCAAAAGAAATAACTTTCGTTATTCCAACTTTTATCGAAAGCACGTCATTTTTGAGTTAAAATTAAAAATAAATTGAGGCTGAAAACCCGTCCCCGCCGATGTCTTAATACGATGTTTACGTTCATTCATAAGAAAAAACTTTGGAACGTAAACAGCGTAAAGACAAAAAAATAATCGCTACATTAGGGTAGATTAGTGTCAATGTTAGTGGGTCAATACTTGCTATTATAAAAAATTGCTCGAAATGTGGTCATTCGTTGGCAATGCACAGTTCTTGCACTCTCGGGCTAGGGAACCTTGCGTTCGCACATACAGCCCTTCGAAGGTATAAATTTGAGCTGCGTACACTAATTCACTAATTGTCTCATGTGAACCCCCAAAAAACACACGTATTCAAATCTGGTGACCGCGGTGGTCATTGGCGACCAATCCATCTCTAGGGAAAATGATTGTTCAATCCATTGGTGACGATCTTTTACGATTTAAGGTAAATTGACTATTTTTACGATTTTACTACCGCTCACCTTCAAAAACTCAAAAAATTCAAAATTTTTGAAACTTGACCCAATGTCGTTTTATGCACTTATTTGAGTCCTTAAGACCTCTAGAAATGTAAAAAAAACGTAAAATAGATCAATTTTAAAGATAATTTTTTTTTTGATTTTTGTCGAGATTTTGGTCGATTTTTGGCACCCCGAGCGGTCTAATGGCAATAACTCCGGACTTATTAGAGATAACCTCTTATATTTGGTACCGTTGGATAKAAWATTRAATTTTCTATYATATATTAAAAATTTCAGTGCTCTACGATGAATAGTTATCGAGAAAATTTCTGATAAAGTCAAAAATATCGAGAATTTAAATCCGACTATAACTTCAAAACTACTACGAATTTTGCAGTTTAATTGACGCCAATCGATTCCCCGGAACNAAAATATCGAGAATTTAAATCCGACTATAACTTCAAAACTACTACGAATTTTGCAGTTTAATTGACGCCAATCGATTCCCCGGAACATTTTACATAGGTATAGGTCAAAATATTATGTCATTGAGACACAGTTTTGCCGCAATTTACAAAATAATAAAAAGTATGATGGAGCTGTAAGGTCCAATTTGGTGATCTTCAATGATCGCTCCCCAAACATTTAGTGAAAATCGGTCTTGGAAATGCGATGTCCGTACACTAATACGGCGTTTGAGTAGTTGGCCATAATGACTTTATTGACAATTTGATTTCAAATCGATGTGCACAATTCACCCGAAAGCGCATTAACGACTAACTAAACTGACACGTGTAAACAAGTGATAATTTTTTTGGACAAAAAGTTTCCTTTTTTCTGTGTAAAAACTAAAAAGGACAGACACACTGAACGGCTCGTGAAAATCATAGGGGAGAAATTGTAAAAATAAAATTTGGATACGGAATTTGTTTGGTCTTCAATTCGACTTTTCATAACAAATTCTCTTAGTGGTTAAAATATTTGCTCGCAATCCACAAACACCCTGTATGTTGATTTTAGACAAAAATTCTTTTTGCTACGAGGTACTTAATTTTGTACATCACTGTTTTTCCAACATACATTGAAAAAATAAAAACGGTGAAATACGTGTCTCTTAACATATCTCAAATTTACAAAAATCAGAAACAATGAGTTTTAAAAGTGATGGAATTACTCATTTTGGAATTTTGTAGTGAATTTCCGTACCCGACAAACATGCGTGTTTTTTCCTTGTAATTTGTAGTAGACATAGCCGGCAAACATTCCGATGAAATATGGTGTAGCCCTCGTGTGCGACTTGATATAAGTTAGGAGAAAATCGTAATGGCTTTTTGGTCCTGTTAAAAACTCGGGATAAAAGTGCAGCAAAGCCGGTCGTTGATACACCAAAGTAATGGCAAACGGGATCAATGTTGAAACAACAACGAGGAGTAGCAGCGTGCCGAGCCCAAACTTCTTGTCTTTTTTGATCAAAAGACACACAAAAATGGCTATGATGAAGTAATGAAAGTCACACGGGAGATACCATGAATGGGCCATACACTAGAACCGATCATTTGTAAAATGTTGAGTCATGTTACACTTTTACGTGCAAAAACCTTGACAAAGTAAAAATCTCTTTATAAACGATTTTCTTTGAATGGTTGATAGTTCATAAACGTACTCACTTACCACGTGATCGGCTTTAACGTAATTGCTGAGATAGAGGAGATTGATCCACCAGTGGTCTTTGCAGTCTTGGGAATCTTGACCGGCGATTAATTTCCATAAAGGCCCCGAACCCGTGTAATTGAAAACCGTGGCATAATAGAAAATAACGAAAGCATAAACGGGTGTTAATCTAAAAATCAGTGCAGTTAAATAATTGTAACCTTGAACTAGTGAGAGGAAATTTATTCACACTTCAACAACTGCATCTCAATTTACGTGGTTTGCACAAAAAATGGATTTTTTAATTGAATTATGACTTCATAGTTTAGCGGACGTGATGCAATAATGAAGAACGCGAGGAAAAGAGAAGATGAACACAACAATTGCAGCTTTTTTTATTATTATTATTATTGAAATGAGAAATGCACATTTATAACAATTATCTCCCGCATAGTTTTTGCGTATTGGAATAATAAAAATACAAACGTAGATTGTTATAAATTCATTATTTATGTTCATTTAATAAGAATAATGTTAATAAAGAGACGGAAATAAACAATTATTTTTTGTTATTTATTGACCGCTGTTATTAACATTCTTTACGCCTAATTACTCCTGTACTTTTTTATTTTATTTTTGAAGATAAATAACTATTTCTTTATCGTGTAAAAATTACTAAGTTCATCAATTTCCGGCTGAATATTTTTATTAAAAAGCAAACCATTCTAATTTATTACAAATCTTTATGTACTTTTACAGAATTTAATCAAATTTTAGGATTTATTTACAATGATTAAAATTTTTAATATTTCCCAACAGACATTACAGGTGTACAGGCTGTGCCAGAACTCGCACCCCAGAGGAAAATATCAATCATGGGGAAAATTAAAAAAATTATCTATAAAAATTTCAAAGTTATGAGAGTTTAAATTTTGCATTTCGACTATTTATTTCTGTTGCAAAAATAATTTTCCAAGTTTTTTTTGCTACAGATTACTTATTAGAAGAGGAAACAAGGAGGCTGTATCCTAATGTTATTTGTGGCTTTTATAGGTAAAATTTTGTACCTTTACTAAATAATTGTAAAAAAAACATACAGAGTCCAGAGAAAAATTTCAAGTAAGATAAGATACCAGGAACATGGAAAACATGTTTAAAAAATTCTATCTGTCAAAAAATTTTGACATTTATTTTTTGACATTTGACATTTTTTTATATCAATTTAATGATACTAATGATCTTGTATATGCTTCTTTACAATTATTTAGTAAAGGTATAAAAATTTTGCCAATAAAAGTTACAAATAACATTGAACAGAGTTACAAGTTAGGATACAGCTTCCTTATTTCCTCTTCTAATAGCCTTTAGCAAAAAAACTTGGAAAATTATTTTTCCAACAGGAATAAATAGAGTCAAAATGCAAAATTTAAACTCTCATAATTTCGAAATTTTTATAGATAATTTTTTTTAAACATTTTTTCCATGTCTTATTTTCCATATCTTACTTGAAATTTTTCTCTGGGGTGCGAGTTCTGGCGCACCTTGTATAAAAAATTAATGAGCAACTAACATAAAGAACATAACATCAAAGAAAAGTCAATAATAAGATAAAATAATAAAAATTCTAATAACCCTAAACTGTTTCATGGATTAATTTCCGATTTTCTTATTTTGAGCAGTTTAATAATTATGCAGATATTTACATGGTTTTAAATGGTTTAAAAATGTACAGCTTAGAAAAATTGGTCTCAGTTGACAAGCAAATGTATTGTAATCACATATTCATGAAGTGAAAGGCATTATTTATTTTTGTTTTAATTTAAAAAGAAGCTGAGTCGTCTTAGTGATATTTTCAGTGGGATTGATCATTGTAATATCCTCAATTTTTACATCATTTAATAAATCAAGTAATAATAATAATAATTTATTTATGTTTTTTTAATCGCAAAACACTTAAAAAAGCCGTTTATGTAATGGCAGATAATTTTATATGTGACAACCAAAGACTAATTAAAACAGAGCTTTGTAATAAGCAAGTCTTATTATCCGGTTCTTGGCTCTGTCCTTGAATAATTTCTTGGTTTTATTTCCAATTTCCAAGATTTCCCAAAAATTAGAAAATGGTTGAATTTGTGTAAAAATCATTAGTTTATAAAAAAAAAACATTACACAATGATTCGAAATAAATATTCAATTACTGAAATGATGTTTTTTAGTTAAAATCCAATTATAACTTTGATGTAAAATTAGCAATGATTTTATTTTTCCGTTGTTGAAAATTGTTCAAAAAGTATGATTTGTGTACAGGAGTAATTTTTTTAATTATGGAAATCTCATGACTAAGCTAATGACACAACAACAATTATGTTAATAATAATTGGATAATCGATCGAGTTGTTCTAGACGCAAATCCACTCAACAAAACTTACCTTATATATCTCATCAAAATAATGAATGCGGGATTAACTTTTTTCTTATCATATTGATTCAACAATCCGTAACACACCAAAAGTCCACCCAAGACAAAAAATGTATCTACGAATAAATCCCCATGAAATAAAAACGGGGCTAGTGGTGCTCTGTATTGCTAAAAATGTGTTCATTACATTAAAAGTTAAACAACAATAAACTTACTGTTTCCACATAGTCGAAATTTAGTAAAGCTGCGGATGTAAAAGTGCCAAAACGGTGATCCAAAATAATGCAAAAAATGCAAAGTGTGCGAATTCCGTATAAGAGTCGCAAGGCACTATTAGATTCGTCGATTTTTGTCAATTCGTTGAAATTCTTCCTTGCGGAAAAGGCCATCAAATAGCTATACAAAGATGATTCTATACATGTGTTAATAAACGTGATTTTTTTGTTAAAACTGCTTACTTTTAGCCGGCTTTTCGTCTTTTTCCTCACTTGCGTTGAAATCACAAAGTGTTGACACTATTACTAATAAACAAAGGAGAGTGGCTAGTGTGCTGAAATTAAAAGTCAGTTTATTTTTTATAATATTTTTGGGTGATACTTCAATTTTACCAGAAGCAGTAGTCAGCAGGAAGGAATCGTGAATTTTCGAGCTTAGTGTGACAAGTTATTTCGGAAATGTGTGCGTTGTATGTTACATTGTTTTGTAAAAGAGGTAAATCGATGTCATTTATGTAAGAATTAAGGAACTTTTCTGACTCTTCAGGGGAGCAGGACGCAGGGATGCACCATCCGACTTGGATTATGTTTCGGGGTTGTTGGGACTTGTCTTTGTAGGGCTAAAAACGGTTCAGGGTGAAAATTTATATCAGGCGAGAAGTTTTTTGCTTAAACTAATTATACAGAGTGCGCCAGAACTCGCGCCCCAGAGCAAAATGCCATATAAGGTAGGATACCAGGAAAAACAAACAAAACAAAAAAAAATTGTCTAAAAATTTCGACATTATGAGAGTTTAAATTTTGCACTTTGACTCTATTTATTTCTGTTGGGAAAATAATTTTCCAAGTTTTTTTGCTACAAGCTATTAAAAAAGGAAACAAGGAAGCTGTATCCTAAATTGTAACTCTGTTTAATGTTATTTGTGGGGTTTGTTATCAAAATTGTTGTACCTTTATTAAATAATTGTAAAAAAAAATATACAAGATCATCAGTATCCTTAAATAGATATAAAAACTGTCAAATGTGAAAAAATAAAAGTCATTTTTTTAAAAAAAAAGGGATTTTTTAAACATTTTTTTAATGTCTTGATATTTACCTTACTTGAAAATTTTCTCTAGGGCGCGAGTTCTGGCGCACCCAGTATTTTGAAAACACTAATTGATGAACAATAAAGTAATGTAAAGTAAAGTAATGATAAATTTTTAAGTTTCTCACAAATAAAGTACACATATTTTAATTTTTTTAAATAGCCACTCACTATAAAACCTTTTTTTACAAAAACTATGATCTAAGGATTACAGTTATCTACATTTTTATCAAAAAAAAATTCATATAGATAAGTTGCAATTAAAAAAATTACATAATTCAAAAACAAAACAAAATTTCATTCTCAAAACACGAACACATTTTATTAGCACTTATTTGTTATTAATTAATATATTCTGAAGGTTAATGATTAAACAAAACCGCTTGGTTCCAGACTTTTTTTTTAATTATGTGAGAATTTACAATTTTAAGTGAAAATGAATAGTCCTCCTAGGACTCCTTTCGGGAATCACTACATAATAATACGAAAGTTTTCTCATTTAGTAATCTTACATTCTTAGAAATAAACCAATTATTTTAATATTCTGAAAAACACACGTCCCAACTAAGAAAACATGAAAAAGGAAAATTTATCCTTAAAATAATATGGTTAAAACTTTATTTTCAAATAAATTCAAAATATCAAATAATAAAATATTTCATAAACCAATGTTAATAAAGAATCATGAAAAGTTTATTTTTCAGGTGAAAAAAAATGCGAAAACTGCAATAAAAAATTAAAATATCAATAAAAATATAAAAGTTTTATTAAAAAGTAATTTTTTCTTTGATTTCATTCATTTGGATTACAAACACAATTCTTCTTTTCTAACTTATTTTAAATAGAATGCGATTTTTAATTCGAAACACAGGTACACTTCACCAACTTATGTAATTTTAATAGACTTCAAACTGGCCTATATTAAAACATTAAACACTTCTTTCAAGAAGTTTTGATTTAACGCCTACATTTTTTCATAAAAATAAAAAGATTTAAAATGCATTTCAAAATGTATCTACCATTTTTATTACTCTATTATTATTATTGTTTCTCTGTAGTAAATTTGCATGATAAATAATCATCAAGTTTTAGTTTCCAAAGGGTTTATATGTAGTTTTTTTTTCATTTTTCAGATTACCTATAGAAAAAATATTGGGAATCGAATTAATTTTTTAAATTATTAATAATGAAATGAAAAAACTAGGAAAAAGGAGGAATTCTCTAAAAAATATTTCAATTAATATGTATTACATACAGGGTGTCCCAGCGAGTTGAAAAAGTCCATTAGTGACCTTTAAATGGCAAAATAGATACTAATCTAGTCCATCACCTAAAATTACTTTCAACTATACAGAGTATCTCAAAAATAAGTTACAATACAAACTTGCGTTTTTGGATGTACTTACATTTTTATGACAATGTTTTTAAATTAAACTTTTAATGGTCGATTTTGCCTAGTTTCAAAAATAAGACGGTTTTTTTGACGAAAACATGCACATTTTAAAAATTTATTACACAAAAACTAAGACATCTAGAAATATTTTTTTACTACCGCAAAGAAGAAGGTACAAGCTATAAGGTTGTAAAATCATTTTTTTAGTTTGTTGCATTAGCAAAGATATAAAAAAATGGAGGCGTTTGTTAAAAGTTCAATAACTTAAAAAATTTAAATGGAACACCCTATTTATTGTTTTTGCATTTAGTCCATCGCATAAAATTATTTTCAACTATACAGCGTGTCTCGGATGTATATTTTTACGACAATGTTATTAACCTAAACTTTTATTCGTCGATTTTGTTTAGTTTTAAAAATAAGATAAATAAATACAATAAAAAAAATAAAATAATTAAAGTTTCACTTGCATCGTGGTTTCCTAAAACCACACCAGTTTTTTAAAAATAGTTTTTGAAGGAAACGGTTTACAGGTTAGTCCAAAACTTTCTAATGACATTTTTTGAAACCTTTTTAGATTTGATTTTATTTAGTTATTTGTACCTACCAATTGTTACCAGTAAAGCGCATTCCAAATCAAGGTAAAAAATTTAACATAAAAGTCAAAAATGACGTCAAGGATAGTTGCAGTTCAGAATACAGCTTCTTTGTTAATATTTCACACATTTCAATCATATGAAATTATTTTACAAACTGAAATAAATACAGTCAAATGTACAAACTTTAAACTTCTATATTTTTATAGGGATTTTTAAAAATTTTTGCAAATCATTGTACAAGGTGTCCCAGCGAGTTGAAAAAGTTCATTAGTCACCTTTAAATAGTACAATTTATAAAAAATTATATAGGACATTGATAGATTCTAATCTAGTCTATCACATAAAATTATTTGCACCTATAAAGCGTGTCTCAAAAATAAGTTACAATGCAAACTTGTGTTTTTTTAAATGAAACACCGTATTTTTTTAGTGTGTTGCATTTGTGAAGATAAGAAAATGAAAACGTTTCTTAAAAGTTCAACAACTTAAAAAATTCAATTGGAACACCCTATTTATTGTTTTTGCATTTAAAAGATTATTAAATTGTTTTTCTAAAATCATTTACTTTTAGGTGTTTATAATCAATAACTAAAAAGATAGTTAACGTTAAACATAAAAAAATAATTACTATTGTTTCAGTAGCCAAAAAGTGCACAGTTACACAAGAGATATATCACTTAATAATCACATTTGTGTTGGAATGAATCCATTATTCTTTATTTTTACAATAAAATAATTTGAATTTCATTGTTTATAACGACTTTTACAATCTCTGGATAAACCAAGGGATAAATGATCCGTGGTGGAATTACTATGGTTAACAATGCTTAGATAATGATAGGCATTGTTGCTACAATTAATATTGAATGTTAAATATCTTTTCATTTATCAATTCTAGACATTAAAAGTTTATTTTTTTAGCTAGACAATTTATTAATAAATTATAATAATAGACTATTAGATGCAAAAATAAAAAAATTTGTTGTTCCATTTAATTTTTTTAAGTTATTTAACTTTTAACCATCGCCGTCTCCATAGAAATAATCTTTTTCTCGCCTGGGCATTTTGTAAGTTCAACTGATTCCCGTTGGCGCTTTAATCTGGGGAAATTTTTTGACAAATCCAGTTTTATCAATTCTCCCTGGCGTATCTTGTTTTGTTGTATCCTTCCTTCCCAGCATTTATTAATTGCGTTATTTTTCGTTAATAATTAAAAATCATTCAGTTTTTTCTTAGTAACCCCCGTAACTAAGAAAAAATTGGAATCACTGCTCCAATGCATTTTTTACGAAATGCCCAGGCGGGATATTGATACATTTGATTAAGGAGGCGGTGCTTTTAACAAACTTCTTAATTTATTAATCTTTACAAATGCAAAACACTAAAAAATTGCTACAGTTTTACATTCTGTACTTTCTTCATTACAGAAGTAAGAAAAAAATTGTTTTAGCTGTCTTAGTTTTTGTGTAATAAGTTTTTAAAAAGTGCATATTATCGTCAAAAAACGTCTTATTTTTAAAACTAAGCGGAATCGACTAATAAAAGTTTCGCGTAAAAACATTGTTTTAGAAGGCGACATCTAAAAATGCCTCGAAACATACGGTGTTTTATTTAAAAAAACACAAATTTGTATCGTAACTTATTTTTGGGACATGCTGTATGGTTGAAAATAATTTTAGATGATGCACTAGATTAGTATCTATCAATGTCTTGCACATTTTTTTTAATTTTACTATTTAAACGTCACTAATGGACTTTTTCAACTTGCTGGGACAGCCTGTATGTAGTTTTTTTTCACTTTTCCGATTACAGAAAAAATTGAGAGATATTGAGAATGCAATGAATTTTTAAAATTATTAAAATGAAATGAAAAAACTAGGAAAAAGAAGGAATTCTCGAAAAATCATTTCAATTAATATGTATTACATATTTATTGAAATCTGATTAGAAATAATAATAGTACAGCCTATTGCGTTTTCCCCCAACATTCTATATAATATGACATTTATCTCAAAATTTAAAAAAGAAGAAATTTTTAAGGTCATAGACTGAAATTTAACTACAACTGAAACGTTTAAAAAATTTGTTTCGCACCTTTTTACTGTTAATATACAATGAGTAAACTACTTACATAAAGTCTTTCTGAAACATGTTCGTATGGGTCATGGTAGAGCGAAATGGGGTCCGTGTGGTGCCTCGGATTGGGCACATTTGCCGTCAATTGAGTCAAGCAGTATTTGGTCAAAAAGGGCGCTTTAGCTGTTAGACATTCCTCAAAATGCCCCATTTGGAAAATGCTTCCTCGCAGCACTCCCGTCGCCGATTTTGCAGTCGCGTCCCACACTGGAATTTGTTTTTGGAAAACTTGAAATCTGCCCACTTTAACTTACTTTCGTGTGCCCACAACGTAAAGTTTTCTAAATTTTGGATATACATTTCACTTTGTCTTTTACATAATGAGTTGTTCGTTTCTAACACAGCCACCGGTAACGAGGGAAAAACGGTATTTTCGGAAATTTCACCTTTTATTACTAAGATCATAGCCGAAGCACTTAGAAGCGAAAGAAGTGTTTTCCGCATCGTGTCACGTTATTGATTCATAAAAAAAGTTGCATTCTATGTGTATGGCTCTAAGCATGGAAATGTGTAAATAAATAAGAGCAAAAAGCTTTTATAACTTTTACAATGTGCGCAATGCTGCTTTGTCCTTCATTGCACAGACTTTTTAAACCGCTTTTAAATCGAGAAATGTTACGTGAATGGGAAGTTTCTTCTGTCTCTGTAGTGTAATAACATTTTTTTATTTAATAAAAGTCTGTTAATTAGTCTACAGTAGCAGAAAATTGAGTTTTTGGCTTCTTATTGGAAGACCTCATAAGCACAATTACCTATAATCTCCTAATTACGATTATTTTTAATAAAAATTGTTCACATTATAGCTGACACCTAATGAAATCGTCACAATTTCCAGATATTTATCACGCAAATGTTATTATTTTCTATTGTGAAGATAAATCAGTGAAAATATTTTTTAATAAGTAATTAAGATATTTTTCTACTTTGCGTTTCAAGGTTTTTTGATGATGTTAGGTTTAACGCTTGATTTAGATTATGATGCAACAATTAATGATAATTGGTAATTAGAATATTTACCTAAACTCATTTCAATTTTCTTGAAAATTCACTTGAAGGCAGTGAAAAAATAAAAAAAATATCACATTTTTTTACAAATCAAATTTTATGTATGTAAATAATGTAATGATACAATTAAGAAGAGGAATTATTAATTATAAAATCAGTTTCTAATGAATCGTTTAATATTTATAAAGAAACACGCGAAAAGCAAAAATTGCATGTTAATAGCAATAAACCAAAAAAATTGTTTACGTTTTTTACACCTTTAACAACAATTTGTTTATCTTGTGGATAACAACATGATAAGTAATAATTTCGAGGAGAAATCTTTTAATTAGCATTTATTTGTTCTTGTTATGATTTGTTTCACAACTGCAAAAAGTTTTTGATAATTTGAAATTTGCTGCAATTTTGGCGGATGCGCCAGGTTAAAGTATTACCAAAATGTTCAAAAATTTGTTCAGTATTAATTCTGAAAATTTAATTTAATTAATTTCATATACAAATTTTGAGAAGTAATTTTAGTGCCTACCAATAAAAAAATGGTTACTTAAATAACCTTCATTAAATATGACATAAAAAAGGACCACATAAAAAGACCAACAAAAATAAATTTCCTCATTATACAGGGTGTCCCAGTGAGTTGAAAAAGTCCACTAGTGACCTTTAAATGGTAAAATTAAAAAAAAATGAATAGGACATACTAATCTAGTGCATCACCCAAAATTATTTTCAACTACAGAGCATGTCTCAAAAATAAGTTACGATACAAACTTGTATTTTTTTAAATAAAACACCGTATGTTTCTAGGCATTTTTGGATGTACTCTTTTAAAACAATGTTTTTACGCGAAACTTTTATTAGTCGTTTTCACTTAGTTTAAGAAATAAAACTTTTTTTGACGAAAACATGCACTTTTTAAGAATTTATTACACAAAAACTAAGACAGCTTAAACACATTTTTTCTTACTTCTGCTATGAAGAAAGTACAGAATTGAAAGCTGTAGCAATTTTTTAGTGTTTTGCATTTGCAAAGATTAATAAATTAAGAAGTTTCTTAAAAGTTAAATAACTTAAAAAATTTAAATGGAACATCCTATCTATTTTTATTTTTGCATCTAATAGATTGATAAATTGTCTATCTAATAAATAAACTTTTAATGACTAGAATTGATAAATAAAAAGATATTTAACATTCAATATTAATTGTAACAACAATGTCTATCAATATTTGGGCATACTATGGCAACCATAGTAATTCCACCACAGATCCACTTATTCGTTGATTTATCCAGAGATTGTAAAAGTCGTTATAAATTCTGAAATTCGAATTATCTTATTGTAAAAATAAAGAATAATGGATTCAGTTTAACACAAATGTGATTATTAAGTGATATTTCTTCCATCTCTTATGCAACTGTGCACTTTTTTGCTACTGAAACAATAGTAATTATTTTTTTTAATGTTTAACGTTAAATAGCTTTTTAGTTATTGATTATAAACACAAGTAAATAATTTTAGAAAGACAATTAATAATCTATTATATGCAAAATCAATAAATAGGGTGTTCCATTAAATTTTTTTAAGTTATTGAACTTTTAAAAAACGCCTTCATTTTTTTTATCTTTGCAAATGTCTAGATGCCTTAATTTTTGTGTAATAAATTTTTAAAAAGTGCATGTTTTCGTCAAAAAACCGTCTTAACTTAAAAATTTAGCTTAAGAACAATGTTATAAAAATCTCCAACAATAGGGTGTTTCATTTAGAAAAACACAAGTTTGTATCGTAACTTATTTTTGAGACACTCTGTATAGTTGAAAATAATTTTAGACGATGGACTAGATTAGTATCTAACAATATATTTTTTTTAATTTTACCATTTAAAGGTCACTAATGGACTTTTTCAACTCGCTGGGACACCCTGTATAAATTAGTAAAAACAATTAGGAAAAAACAAATGTCCCTGATCTTTTGATAAGAATGTTAGCAAATTTTAAGTAAAAAGTCCAGCTTAATTTACGACAAAACCCATCATTTTCTAAGCCACAAAGTAATTTACTAAAATTAGTAATGTCTGGAATATTTTTAATGAATAAAGTCATGCATTATATTCAATAAATTCGACATTCAAATAATAAAATTTTATTCTTAGAATAACTGTTAAGAATAGTTTTTAAAAACTTCCAATTTTTATAGCTACAGCATGTTTGTCTAATAATAAACAAGAAGCGATGAAGTGGTATGCATTACAGCAAAATCCTTCGAGAATTTGAACTAGAAAGTGTCAATTCATACTAATTAGAATTTATTAACCTTCAACATAAGCTCGTCATTTTGACGTTTCTTTTTTACTGTTAACTGGGTATAAGAAGTGCAAATTAAATTATCTACGCCGATAAAAATTACACTAAACATTAAACAACTCAAAGTGATTGTTCTTTTATATTAATAAAAAACACACTAGTCATTAATAGTTATTTATTCGATTCTCTATATTCAAATTGAATTTTATCTACTCTTTTCTTCATGTTAAAATGAAATTTTATCGTCTAGATGATGAAAAAATGCATCCATTGTTGTATATCTGTGGTTGTTAGTTGCTAACGATCTTTGACATTAGATTTCATTGTTGAATTTTACTTTAGACATTTTTAAATATCGACCAAATTGACTACAAAATTAGTAGGGATTGAATAAAATTTTATAATGTACACGACGCTAAATTGCTCTCAACGATAAAATTGAATTTTATCGTCTCGTATAATAAATAACTATTATTATACAAGACGATAAAGACATTGGTTATCTGGGACTTCTGGGAGTGAAAAGGTTAAGTTCACGAGTGACGAAGTCATGAGTGGACTTATTTCACGAGTAGATAAACAATCTTTATCGTCGTGTATAATACAACATTGTTTTCTATAGCAGGACTTAAAATTTAAAAGAAAAAATAAAAATTAAAAAAAATACAATTTTTGGCATTTTTCAATACGAAGCGTCAGATTATTTTTAATAGATTTAAAGCAAGTTTAAACCTTGTTCAGTATAATTCGAAGAATAAAATGTTGTATTCAACTCATTTGAGTGTAAATCCGCTTTATTCCACCTCGTGAATGATAAAATTTGTAAATTTAAATGAATAAGTTAAAACATTTTATCTACCCTTGCTGTTAAAAGTGTTACTTTATCTACCCTTGCGGTTAAAGTGCTACTTTATCTACTCAAAAAAGTTGATTTGCTATAGAAAAAAAATCTTTAAACCCGAATTTTGCAACATCAAATAAAAATCAACTGGCATGCTTTCGTGTCAAAACTGACAGTCTTGTTATAAAAGAAATAAGAAAACAATACGATCCATAATGATTAATGATGTAAATAATTTAGGTTCTATTATCGAAATAAATGCAGAAGAACAAGATCTCAGACTAGTTGGTTTACCAAATGAGGAAAATGAATTTGTCTACGCAAAAACTTTCTTACAAAAAAGCAGTACTGACACTGGAGCAAATTTGTAAGAAAATCTTTCAAACTATTCCAGCTTCATATGTATGTTTTTAGATACGACCATCTATCAGAAGTTTTGAATAAAATCTTATCCGAACGCCCGGAAAATGTCGTCGACTTTTTCGAAGAATACAGTCGCAAAATTAAAGAAAAACGATTCAAACCACTCACTGATCATTTGGAAGACATTTACGTGGAACCTGGACGATATCGTCAGGCTAATAGATTGATGCCTTTACTCAAAGTATTTTGTTTTGTACAGGGTGTTTGTGGATTGCGAGCAAATATTTTAACCACTAAGAGAATTTGTTATGAAAAGTCGAATTGAAGACCAAACAAATTCTGTATAAAAATTTAATTTTTGCAATTTCCCCTCTATGATTTTCACGAGCCGTTCAGTGTGTCTGTCCTTGTTAGTTGGAAGTAAAAATATCAATGAAAATAAATTGCATTGAATATTGACCGTGAAAGTTTTTATACAGAAAAAAGGAAACTTTTTGTCCAAAAAAATTATCACTTGTTTACACATGTCAGTTTAGTTAGTCGTTAATGCGCTTTCGGGTGAATTATGCACATCGATTTGAAATCAAATTGTCAATCAAGTCATTATGGCCAACTATTCAAACGCCAAATTAACTAGTATGCAGACATCGCACTTCCAAAACCGATTTTCACTAAATGTTTCGGCAGCGATCATTGAAGATCACCAAATTGGACCCCACATATTACCTCAACGTTTAACTAGTGAATAATCATTTTCCCTAGAGATGGTTTGGTCGCCAATGACCACCGCGGTCACCAGATTTAAATACGTGTGTTTTTTTGGGGGTTCACATGAAACAATTAGTGAATTAGTGTACGCAGCTCAAATTTATACCTTCGAGGGCTGTGTGTGCAAACGCAAGCTTCCCTAGCCCGAAGAGTACAAGAAGTGTGCATTGCCAACGAATGACCACATTTCGAGCAATTTTTTATAATAGCAAGAATTGACCCACTAATATTGACCCTAATGTAGCGATAATTTTTTTGTCTTTACGCTGTTTACGTTCCAAAGTTTTTTCTTATGAATGATTGTAAACATCGTATTAAGACATAGGCGGGGACAGGTTTTCAGCCTTAATTTATTTTTAATTTTAACTCAGAAATGACGTGCTTTCTTTTGACGAGTCCTATTAGTGGTTAAAATATTTGCTTGCAATCCTCAAACACCCTGCATTTTAAATTTAATTAAATTTCTGGTAGCCTTTACCACCTGAGGAACCTTCAACCCTCGACCCGGAAGACCTGGAACGTGCTGACATGACCAAAAACAATATGCTTGACCTTTTGTCCTACTTCGAACTTGCCGGTCTTGGTCTACCCCGAACCGAAATGTTTTGCCTGACTATGTCCATGAGACAATTAATCCGAGTCGAACCAATTGCAAAAATACGATTTTGGGGGAAAATTTTCGGAATGAACAAAAATTATATCATTGTCGAGACGGAATTGAAAGATGAAGAGTATTCCAAAAGAAATGAAAATTACACCGGGTTACCAGATACCAAAATCGAGGACATAGTCGCCAACCAATTGGATGATATAACAAAAGCACAACTTGTGGGTGAAGGCGAGCCACCTAAACCATGGGAGGTCCTGCCTCCAATTCCCCAAATTCAATATGAGGAGCCTCCAGAACCACCATCGGAACCCTCAGGTGTTGGAGTCAACAAGAACGTTTATTACGTTTGTAACGAAATAGGAGATCCTTGGGTACAACTTCCCGATATAACTCCAAAGCAAATTCGAGTGGCTCGTCAAATTTATAAGACTTTTACCGGCGATTTAGACCAACCAATTGTCTCATATCCGTTTTTCCCAGGAACTGAACGAAATTTTTTGAGGGCACAAATCGCACGGATTTCTGCAGGTAACATTTTGTCTGAAAGAAAGTGACACATTTGGGGTTTTTAGGAACACACATTTCGCCCTTGGGATTTTATACGTTCGGTGGTGAGGGAATTGGTGAAGGAGGGGAAGCGGATGAAGAAGAAGAGGAAGGGAATAAAGGCGAAATCAAAGAAAATCCCAAATATGATTCAGTGCCTATCAAAGACCTAACTGACAGATCTATGATGTTTTGGGTTCATCATAACCACCACATATTGAACCAAGGTTTTATTAATTACACAAGGCGACAAAAAAAGTCATGTCGTGACAACTTGACAAATTTTATATCATTTTGTTCGTCTCAGTAAGACAAATCAAATGCACTAAAAAAAATTTCAAAAAGTCCACACATTTTTTTCTAATTTAAATGAATTTAAAATACTTTAACTTTAAAAAATCATTACTCAATAACTATTAAGCCGATTTCCTTCAAATAAAGACTATTCTAAAGGGATGGACTAGCCCCTTTAGTACGATATGCAATTTGAAATTAAATGTTGGCAAACTTTTCTTCGAACAGTGTTCGAAGAAGTTCGAAGTAAATCGAAGTAATCTAAGAAAAACCCTACGAATAATTTTTTTTTCTTCGCCACCATCGTGAAGAACATCTTTTTATTAGTGAGAATCCAAATTTTTAAAATAATATACCAAGAAGTTTTTAAGATATGATTTTTTGAAGTTAAGGTTTGCATTGCGCCATATAGGAGAAATGCATGTTAATCTTACTTAAAGTTACATTTTTATAAAAGTATTTGTTTTCAGACTCTTCTTTTGCTTAAAAATGGTCAATTGCACCTTCTTTGTTCTAATTAGAATAAACAAAAACTATTTGTTTACTTAAAACAAACAAAGAGTACCTGCGTACTAATTAAAACAAATAAAGAGTTTTTTTGTTCTAAAAATGATCACTCAGCATTGAGCAAAAAGGATCTAGAAGTTTAAAGCAGTAGCTTTAAATATAAGAACAAATCTTTTTCAAATTAAATCACTTTCGGATTCCAACTTTGTTCACTTTGTTCTAGCTTTCTGAACTTTTTTTGAAAATGTTTCCAGCAAATGCTTTCTCATCACTTTCTACTGATGTTGAATGCAATAAGTCAGTTGCTTCGTGTGCAACTGTCAGCCTAATAGTAATTGAGTAATGATTTTTTAAAGTTAAAGTATTTTAAATTCATTTAAATTAGAAAAAAAATATTTAGTTCAAAGTGTGTGGACTTTTTAAAATTTTTTTAGTGCATTTGATTTGTCTCACTGAGACGAACAGAATGATATAAAATTTGTCAAGTTGTCACGACATGACTTTTTTTGTCGCCTTGTGTTATCAGTGACATTGAAATGATTGCTTCAGGTCGTACGACGTGGTGGAACCCGAATCCTTTACCAGAAACAGGACCAGATGAAGAATTGGGAGAGGAGGAAGAAGAAGCTAAACCGGTAGTGATGGGTCCGGAACCGGAAACAGGACCTCCACTACTGACTCCGTGTTCTGAAGATGTAACTTTAGACGCAATTCCTGCATGGTCTGTGCGAAGTTCTTCAGGAGTAGCAGAAGAGTTCGCTGTTGCTATAGTCCGGTCAAATTTTTGGCCTGGGGCTTACTCTTTTGCCACACAAGGCAAAATGTTTCATAATGTTTATTTTGGTACTGGTCTTAAAACCATGGTCCCAAATTTCTCACCCATGCCTTTACCACCGGTCGAGCAAGACTATCCTACAGGACCGGAAATAATGGAAATTGTGGATCCAACAGGAGCCGAAGAGGAAGCTTGGAGAATAGCGCATTTGCCGAAAGAAAAACCGCCGAAATTGGTCGGCGAAGAGGAGATCGGAGAGGAGGAGGAGGAAGAAGAGGAAGATGAAGATGAAGACGAAGACGAATAATTAAAGTTATATTAACCTTTGAAAATTTCAAAAATATAAATTATTTCCGAAGAGTTTGAAGTTTGGGTGCTGAAAGTTTGACTTTTCCAGGCAGATTTCGTGGAAGTTGTTCGTCTTTGACAGCCTTTAGTAGATCTTTCTCACGGGGGGTTATACTCCTGTCTTTGAGGAACATGTTGACAGCGGTGCGTGCTGCTTTGCCTCTTCGACTGGTTCCAGGGGTTATCTTAATCTTAAATCTAACACAGAAAATTATAAAGTCAAAAGTGACACTAATTCGTACTTATAATTAGTCAAAGCGTTGTATGGGGCCACTACTGGTACCGCAAATAATAATTCATCATCGGCAAAAGGAATACCCGTCAGAGAATTAATCATATCAAGCTCAGCTTGAACGACAGGTTCCTCATCTTCAACTCCTCCATCGTCGATCACTTCGGACTTTTGTATTGATAGTATTTTTTCTTTGATTATTTTGGGTTGATCAGGCTTTTTGACTTTGTTGGAATTTTTGTTTTTCTTATTTTTCTTTGGCTCTTTTTGCGTTCCAGCCGATTGAAGGATTTCCATTCGTAATTTGCGTTCTTCCTCGTCTTGGTCTTTATACTTTTCCTTTATTTTTTTCAATTTGCTTTTTTGTCCTCTTTTAGTTTGTTTGTTATTTGCTTCTTCTTTGCGTTCACCTAAAAATCATTTTTAATGTAGAGAATCATACAAAGCAAAGCACTACTTTTAGAGTCATTTTTCTGTTGTTTCGTTTTAGATTCACTGGTATTTCTTGATCTTTGATTAAGCTTAATCACAACCGGTTTATTGTCTCCTAAATATACAACAGTTTCATTCTCATCGGCTTCATCATTGTTTATCACAGGCTCTGTTAATATGTTTATTCTGAAATCAAAAGTGGTGGCACTATTCGACAAGAGTCTAGTTTCTTGGTACACCCGAGGAAAAAACTATTCACCAGTCTAACTTTGTACTCGTTTCAGACTAACTAGTTGAGAGCAGGTTGTAATATGTCGTAAAACCCTTAAAATGTCTTTTTGTGAAAATTACTACAATGAGCATAGATTATAACGTATATTTTACATTAAATTGTAATTATAATAAACAAGCTTGCTCAAATTATCAAATTACAAATACATAAATTTATTTAAGAAATGTATTTTGCAAGTATACAGTATGTTTCCGGATTAAGTTTACAAGAGAAAAAAAAAATACCTTTGATTTTACGCCAAAACTTCAAAGGAAAAACATTTTTAGCTTGACTTGACTTTTAATGTTCTTTATCTACAGCTTTCAAAAATCAAGATTGTAGGATTAGTTTTGAATGCCAGAATTTTTTAAAAATCTGTGAATTTTGCCAATTTCTATCAAGTTATTTCTTTATAATCAAAATTCTAAACTTAATAATACATTTTATAATAGCCAGTCAAAAGGAAACAAATTTTTACCTTTGATTTTACGCCAAACAACAAAGGAAATCCTTTTTTTTCTATAGCAGATGTTAAACTATTTCTTTGAAAACTCTTTAGTAGATAAAGTAACACTTTAACAGCAAGGGTTGTTTTTGCTTTATCTAAATCTGTAATTAAAACTTCATTATTTTGACTCAGTAGAAAGAAAAGTTAATTTATTTCTTACTTTTGGACTTGTAATAATACCTAATCTTTCTTTGCTTTTTTTTTGACAACGATGTCACTTTGACAATTAATTAATTAATTGAATAATGTTTGTTTTTGTTAAAAATGAATAATGTTTTTTTCAGAAGCTGTTTTTTTGACTTGCCATTTATTAAAATTATGTTTTTTTGTTTTTTTACAAACATTTTTGTTATTTAACTCATTTAACTCATCTGTCAAAGCGATGTCATATTTATGTCATTTTGACTTATTTACTTTCAAAAATAGTGATTTGTGGCATAATAACGGGTAGGCAGCAGATCAAAGCGATGATTTAATAACACTTAGTTCAATTAATAAATTTCCTAAGGCAGACAAATTGTTTAATTAACAAATTTAACAACAAATAAAAATAAATTTAATTGTCAAATGTCAGTCATGATGACAGTAAAAGGTAGTTTACAGTGAACTTTTTAAAGTGACAGAAAAATAGGTACTGCTCGAATTTTTAATTCCGCAACTGTACGTATGTCTGTTTTTGAACTAACTACACGTGAAATGTCAAATAAAATGACAAGTCGAAAACGGCAAAATGGGCTGGAATTAGTCGCCGACGTATAATAATAAGACCGTTCTTTTTGAAGGTAAATCATAAATTTAGTTATCTTTTTGATCATGGGATATTACCTTTCCACTTGTCATTTTATTTGACGTTTCACAGACATACGCACAGCACATACGTTTTCGGATACAAGGACAAATTATCTTGATCTCTCGATACTTACTTAGTTTTTACTAATTTAAAAAAAATCATCAATTGTAATTGTCATTGGGCCACATCTTAGGTATCTAATTAAATTAAGTTTATATCTGTTTGAATAATGAACTTTACCAACTCGCTAGAATACCTTATACACAATTTTCAACTTGTTTTAAAATTCTACACTTTTTGGTTTTTGGGTAATGACGCAGCGACATTTTTTTTTTTAATGAAACCCTTATTTTTTAGCGAATTCGATAGATTTTTTTAATTGTCGAAATGGCAACACCAAAATATTATGTATTACATAAAGTTTTCAAAAAAAAATTATCCAAAAAGCGAAATAATATCAATAAAAAACAAAGATAGAATTTTAAATCAAATGAAAAATTTTGTATTAAAAAAAATTGACCTGTTGGAGCATTTTTCCAAAACAAAATATTTTCAGTTTTAATAAATAAGATTATTCCATAATTTTGCCGCTCACTGTATACCCTCATCATTCTAAAAATTTTTTAGATAGACCCCCCCCCCCAAAATTAATTCCTGGATGCGCCCCTGGCTGAAAGTTAGATTTTCTTATAAATTTTGAGGCACTGAGTTCAAAAAAAAACTATTCAAAAAAGTTCACCACTTTAGGTTTAAGAAATATATAATTAACAAAAATACAAAAACCGCCAAAGAACAAATTAAAAATGAGTTATTTTACTTTTTTTATTATACTTTTTTGGATCAGTTTTCTTTATAACAATCCAACAGTAATCTACTAACATATTTTCATCCCAAAAACCTTCGTGTCGATCTTTGAAAACCCTTCAGATCTTGATGAAAACGCTCGTCTTGTTTGTAACTCATGCTCCCAAAATTTTTAGAAAACTATTTCAAATACGAGTAAAATGTTTTTAAGACCTTCTTAGACCCATATGGTAATAATTTTGCAATAATTCAGCAACAATTTGAATTTAAATAAATTTTAAATCGGAGGCATTTGTGCAGAAAGCAGGAAAATTATCGTCTGTAACAAAAAAGTGTGACGTGATAGAAAAATTTAACAATTGTTTTTGTTTAATTAAAGGTAAGTTAACATAAAAATAATAATTCGATTCAAGGTCGTATTGTTTGTAGACTATAGTGTTATTAGTTATTCAAGCTCAAAATCAAGAAAAATTAAATTTTCTTTCCACAGAGTGAAAATAATGAACTTTTAAAAATACAGACTTACTGGTTTCAGGTGAAGCAAAAAACGTTTTTCTTTTGCAGTGTTAGCGTAAAATAAAAAAATCCGGGGTACTGTATCATATTAGTTATTATTATTATTACGGCATTAAATTTACCACTTTGGGTTTTTTGCTTTGTTTAGAAGTAATAAAAATAAATATAAAAACGGAAGAAACTAGCTATTTGTTAAAAAAATTAAAAGTAAATCACATAAAAAGGTAATGAAAAACATGGGCATGCATTTTTCTCTCTAAAATTTGCTTAGTGTCATTTTGCAAATTATTATAATCACCATTTAATAATCTATTGAAGAAATTTTCAGAAAAAGACCGTTTTGAAGACCTGCTCCCCAACTAGTTAGTCGGAAACCCTATTGCAACAAAGCGCAGTGGAGCAGAAAGTTAAACTGGTGAATAGTTTTTTTCCCGGGTGTACATACTTGGTTCCCTCAAAATGTTGAATTTTGATTTGAGTATCTGGAAACTTGGAAGTTTCCTCATCCTCGGACGAGCTACTATTTTCCTCATTTTCAACATCCTTTTGATCCTCTGATACACCTTGCACTTCTTCCTTATTTTCCTCATCACTTTCATCAACCACTTCCACTTCTACTTCTTCCTTACTTTCACTCTCTATAAAATCATCTTCACCAGGTGCGATGACTCTTCTTTCATCCTTATGTTTTTCGATGCAACTCTCTTCCAATTTAAATAAAAAACTTAGACCTAAGATCAAATGGGACAGAGGCAGAAAGTTTTTCTTGCCCCTAATCATGAAACTACCGGAACTTAAATACTCTCCAGTTGGTGCTGTTTTACTAACTTGCTCTCCCCACACCCAATAAGCGTTCGTTACGACTTTAGCGTCCCAAGCGACACTAACAAATTCAAAACATCAGTACAACTAAATAAATAAATAAAAAAAAGATCAACCTGTAACAAATAGCCATAGTTCCAGCTTCATTCAAGGTTTTAGGTGGAACTGCTTGACCCGATGGATTTTTTATAACAACACTACTAGCACCATGGACATCAGCATGCACATAGACATCAGTAGACTTCATGTATCGTTTGACAATCAACTCGTTTTGTTGCTGGTCTCGCCCAGCTATAACCAAGTAATTTTCCGAGCTTATAAACCAGAAAAATTTTTCAAACCAATACACTTTACGAGCTTTATTGATATTTGTTATTGTTTGCACCTGAAGAAGACAATTAATAATGACCTAATCCAACTATAATAATGATTATTTTTACATCTTTCAGAGTTTGTTTGGTTTTCTTTTCAGCCGACTTAAATGCCTTACTTTGTGACTCTATTGTTTTTTGTTGTTTTTTAGCCGCATTTCGTTTTTGGTCATAATATCGTCTTCCGTTGGCAAAAGCCGACAAAGCTAAATCTACATCGACCACCATTGGTGGTATTTTATAGTCGTCAGTTGTTTCTTCGTCTAACTCACTATTATCTTCAGCGTAAGGGTCAGTAAGATACAAGCTAATATGATTAGTTTCCAGTTTTAATTTTTTGATACGTTGCGCGATTTCATCGCCTTGTGACGCAGCTTCTTTGATCAAATCAGCCAAATCAGACCACGAAATCTATAAATATAATAATAATAATAATAAAGGTCTTTATTAATAAATTAAAAGTAATACAAAGATGCGGAGGCGAAGTCTAGCTTGAAGCTATTCAACTTAACCTCAAAAGAAAATTAATAGAAAAAAAAAACAATTATAACATAAAAATAAAAATAATTATTATAAACAATATAAAATTTAAATAAAAATAAATTCGGAAGTTACTTAATAACTAAAAGTAAAGAAAGAAACAAAAAGAAAAAAACAAGAAAGAATTCTTTAAGAAATGAAAAAAAAAAATTGAACAGAAATAAATTCTTTTGCATTTATTTTTAACATTAGTTATCCAACTCAGTTTACTCAGTTGAACAAAGTTAATTATTCAAAAGCAAGTCCTTAATTTGACTCTTGAAATAATAAAAAAAAAAAGTAATCAACACATAGCCCGGCCAAATTAGTCATAAAAATAGTGGTCAAATAACGAAAATTCCGACAGAGCTAAATTTTGGTGGAGACCTTGGGTACACCAGTACAAATAAAGTGTCAAAAGTCCCCATCGATCCCATGTGTGCTAAAAAAGTTATTCGGGGTCAAAGGTCAAAATTTGAGGTTTTTTTAATTTTTTTCGAAAACGGTAAGTTTTATCAAAAAGTAGCCCAGACAAAAATTATAGATCTTAAAATTATCTACAAAAATGGTCTTTATACTTTTTTTCTAAGAATCACCATTCCTGAGATATCGCGATTTTAAAAGTTGAAGGAGTAACGTTCTACATCATATGCACATACAGAGTGCGCCAGAACTCGCGCCCCAAAGACAAATGTAAGGTACCAGGAACAGAAAAATTAAAAAAAATTCTATCTATAAAAATTTCAAAGTTATGAGAGTTTAAATTTTGCACTTTAACTCTTATTTACTTCTGTAGGATAAATAATTTTCCACGTTTTTTTGCTACAGGCTATTAGAAGCGGAAACAAGGAAGCTGTATCCTAAGCTGTAACTAATATTATTTGTGGCTTTTATTGACAAAATTTTTGTACCTTTATTAAATAATTATAGAAAAAACATATACAAGATCAGTATTATTAAATTTTTTAAACATTTTTTGAGGACTCTGGGGACTACCCAATTACTCCCTTTCAAAAAAATGCGCGATTTTTTAAACACCCTGTATGTATTACCAAATAAATTCTTTTTAATTCTAATGGAATCGAGATATTTATAAGTTTAATGAAGTAGAAGAAAAATTTCAAGTAAGATAAGATACCAGAAACATGGAAAAAATGTTTAAAAAATTATCTGTCAAAAAATTTTGACATTTATTTTTTGACATTGGACATTTTTCATGTCTATTTAATGATACTGATTTTGTATGTTTTTTTTACAATTATTTAGTGAAGGTACAAAACTTTTGTCAACAAAAGCCACAAATGACATTAAACAGTTATAATTTAGAATACAGCTTCCTTGCTTTCTCTTCTAATAGTCTGTAGCAAAAAAACTTGGAAAATTATTTATTCTACAGAAATAAATAGAGTCAAAGTGCAAAATTTAAACTCTCATAATTTCGAAATTTTTATAGATAGAATTTTTTTTTTAATTTTTTTCATGTTCCTGGTACCTACAGAAGTAAATAAGAGTTAAAGTGCAAAATTTAAACTCTCATAACTTTGAAATTTTTATACATAGAATTTTTTTTAATTTTTCTGTTCCTGGTACCTTACATTTTTCTTTGGAGCGCGAGTTCTGGCGCACTCTGTATGTGCATATCATGTAGAATGTGACTCCTTCAACTTTTAAAATCGCGATATGTCAGGAATGGTGATTCTTAGAAAAAAAGTATAAGGACCATTTTTGTAGATAATTTTAAGATCTATAATTTTTGTCTGGGCAATTTCTTTGATAAAACTTACCGTTTTCGAAAAAAATCTAAAAAACGTCAAATTTAAACCTTTATTTAAATTTAGACATTTTATTCCTAATGGTGTACCCAAGATCTCCACAAAAATTTAGCTCTGTCGGAATTTTAGTTATTTGAAATGTCTATTTTGACCAGACTAACAGTTGTTTTACATACCTGGGTGGCCAAAGCCGTCTGGACTGCCAAAATAGCCTTATCAACAAGTTCTTGATTCCTCGTAATAAGTTCAGCTTTTTGTTTATCAATTTCTTGTGTTTTTTCTAGGACACGTAACCTCTGACTGTGATCCTTTTTCACATTTTCCAATTTTTTCAAAGCTTCCCGTTCTTGTTGCAGTGCTTTTAGTTCCAGTTTTTGACTTTCCAAAGATGAAAAAAATTCGTCAACAGCTGAGTTAAATGAAGGAAATTCTTTGAAAATTGACGACTTATGTTGTTCATACTGTATTGGGTGAAACTCCTGATTTGAATAATAATACTCTTTTTCAGGGTTGTCAGCACTGACTATTCTTTCTTCCTTTTTTTGAATTACATAACCCTGAATGTATTTTACTCTTAGACATTAGTTAAAATTGTTTTATTTCATTACCTTAAAAGCTGTTTTTTTGGCGTCTGTGAAAAGATTTTCAGCTTCTTCAAGCGCGCATAAAACCTTATCAACATCACTTTCAATCGAAAATGTTTTTCCAATTTTAGTGCTATTTGAAAAACCTTGTTTAAGTAAAAGGTGCTCAATAAGAGGAGGGCCATATTCTAGAAATAAAACAATTATAAAAAAACATTAAAAACAAACCAATCTACCTAAATTAGGAACGAGAACTTTTTTTAATTGATCTCCACTTTTTGCTGTCTTCAAAAGTTGAACCAGTTCATCTCTTGTGATCAAACTACTCTGTCTGGCTCTATCTTGTGGGTATTTTTCCCTCACCACAAACTTAAACCTATCGCCCTCAGTATGTGGCCGTAGAACATTTAATATCGTAAATTCGAAATCAGTTAATATGATATTTCCCTTATCATACAATTCTAAAATAACATGATACGCAGCTTCACCTGAACCAAATTGAAAATCAACAATTCTGTCTGTTCCAAGTTGAATTAAGGACTCTAAACGTTTATTTTTCAAATGCTTCCTCAACTTCATACTGAATCCTGAAGGTGCGACATTCTTAGGCCATTCAAATCCAGTCTCGTGAAACCTATTTCCAGATTCGAGCAAAATCACCGCTTTTTCCTCACTTCTTTGGAGTCTTATGAGATAAGTCTTATTGTCAATATCGTAGACGTTGTTTACTCGCATACCGACACATCTACAAAACAGAAATAAAAGTAAACAAGTAAAAATTGCAGAAAAAGTACTTTTGGAGTTCTGTGACGGTGCAAATAATATCAAAGGTGTTGAACCGTGTTTTCATTTTAAAAATAAACTGCACGTTTTTATCTAGAGAAAATTTTACCACGTTGTGTAATTCTAGCACGAAAAATAAAAACACTCAGCTGGGTTTGACGTTTGACAGGTGGTGCGACACTAGCGCCACCAACAGAGTGAGGTTATACTAACTTGTAAAACCATAAAACACGTTTCCGGTAATTTTGAAGCAAGCACATGAAAAAAGGACTTGAGGAAATAAATAAAAATCCCGCTTACAAAACTTTTACAGTTTCATTTGTGGTTATTTCAGGGTAGTTTCCTACTTCACCGACTTGTTTTCATTTGTTTGGCGCTGCTGTCGCAAAGCACCCTTGCTTGATTTTTTCCTTTCCAGTTCCAGTTCTCAGTTCTCTCGAGTTGTTAGTTCAGTTCTGTTTAGTTGAGTGTTGGTGTGTGCAAGCTCTCTTTAAAATGTTCGTGTATTAATAATTTTATCGCCACAATTATTTTCTCAATTGAAATGAGTTTTTCTACACTGTAAGGATTAATAAATACAATGCAGGAGTTAAATTTTACTGCAACGAGTAAGTGAAATTTTTGCAACCCCTGTGTTTTTAAGGGCGGCATTGACATTTGCTATTAACACGATGTTTTTTATACTTCTATTAATTCAAAGGGTCATTTTTCTGACACAAATATCCACTAAACAGTTTTTATTTCTAAATTATATTTTTGAGTAAAAAAAATATAATAAATTGCGAAGGGAGTGGGTGCAGTTTGTTTTTCGTTTTTTTATAGCACACACCTAGGGATAGGGTTTATTTAGAGGTTTACATTGCTCTCGAAATTTGGCACATATTTTACCTCATTTAGGTAAATGGGGGAGCGTTTGGAAAAATTATTAATGTCGATTTATCCTGGGGTGGAAGGGCGTATTCGTCATCAAAATGATAAAATGTGATTATTATACGCATTATGAGTTTGTTTTGCTCACAATTAGAAAAAAAATTGAATTATAATAATTAAAAAAATACAAATTTTGTGCATATGACCTGGCATTTTTTTTTTTAATACAAATAGAAGGTGGTATTTATTGAAACAATTTTTGATGATCATTAGATTATCAGGAATTATTTTGTACTTAATTGAATGTTTTAAAAATCAGATTTTTAAATAATAATTATCCTTTTTTTCCCTGTGGCTCTGTGGGTTATTTGTTTTAATCCTATTTGAAGCCAAACTTTTAAACTTTGATTCATTTGTTTTAATGATTTCCGCTTTGTATTATCTTGGGAATTAAAAATTTCATTGAGGGAAAATCGAAATGAGTTTTTTTTTCAGGCAAAACCGAAATCATGAATGATTAAAAAAAACAAAATGTGTTAGTAAGTTGGTAGAAAGTTAGTTACACAGCTGCTGAAACACACGATAAATAAAATTTATATCCTCTGTTGGCCACGAACCAAGATTGATTCATACAAATTTTATTTCTTTACGAACATCAAGTTAAAAATAGCGTTGAATTGATTATACCTTTGATATAAATAGATTTTGAGAGAAGTTCTGTTGTTTTGTTGATTTTTACTGTGGACATATTTAAATTATTTCACTGACTTTCAATTATTAATTAATTGCAAAGTTTTTATTATTGTCAATTTGGTTCAACGTTTTTTTGTAAAAAATTAAGTATAAAAATTTGAAAGAAGAAAAGCATTAGTAATAACATTTTGAAAAAATAAAGTATCTAATACTCGATCTAACACAATGATTAAAACGTGTTTATGTTTCCCAAAAAATAATAGGAAAAAAATTGAGAACAAAATTTTCCGAATGACCTTATTTTAAAAAATATCAAGTCTACCAATTTTTATCTAATGTTTAAAATTATTATTTTATATACTCAATCATAAAATTTTTTTTTATTAAATCTTAAACATCTAAAATAAGTAGTAAATCAATATTATTTTGTACTACTTAATAAAAAAATTCTTTGAAATATGTTTTCGTTTTTTCGCCATAAATTGAGATTACTCAGCCTTTTTAGTACTTTATAGTTGACAAATGAAGAAATTATCTTGTTTTTCTCTTTAGAAAACTCGCAATATACATGGTGTTTCATAACTGGGGCCCCAGAGAAAATGTCAAGTAAGATAGACACCAGGAACATGAAAAAAATGTTTGACTCTAACGGGTGTTTTTTTTTTAAATTTGGCATCAAAGCTACCCATGATAGTTTGATTGTGAACGAACCATCGTATTGAAAGTTATTAATCTAACATTTGACACCTCGTCGAACGTATGAAAAAATGTGGTCCGTTCATAACAAACTCATGTCACGTTGTTAATGTTATTATTTTTTACTAACTGGGGTACCCATTTATTTGAAAAAATTATTTTTAGGGAAGATTGAGGTTAAGATTGTTTGAATTTTCGCATAGTCGCCAACTTAAAATGATCCTTTTCAACAACTACTTTGCTGCACATTAATATAAAAACGACTATACAAGATCATCAGTATCATTAAATAGACATAAAAAAATGTTAAATGTCAAAAAATAGATGTCAAAATTTTTTGACAGAATTTTTTAAACATTTTTTCCATGTTCCTGGTATCTTATCTTGCTTGAAATTTTTTTCCTAGGCACGAGTTCTGATACACCCGATATATTGTTTGACATTAAACCTTTTTTATGTGTATTTATTGTTTAGGTATGTTTTTTCATAATTTTTCAGTAAAGGTACGAAAAAATAATTAGCTAAAAAAGCCACAAATAACATTAAACATCATAGTTATAATTTTGAAATTCTTGTAGAAGGAATTTTTTAAACATTTTTTCCATGTCCCTGAAGTCTTGTTTCACTTGGCATTTTTCTCTAGAGCGCGAGTTTTGAAATACTGTGTATTAAATGTCATTACAAATATGGTTACTGAATCTGAAGTGAGATTTTATGTTTCGATATTGAAAAAGGAGTTTTAAAAGTTTGACGTTCTCGAAAGTCCCTAGAAAACTCATTTAAGGTTTATAAAAAACCGGGCAAAATGAGAATAATTATTGTTTATACTTTGTTTAATACACGTGTGTCATTACAAATGAATCACAAAAAAAGTACCCCACCGAGCCCGTTTCTTGGGCCTTTTCTTGTGTAACTTACTCATATTTGTAACTTATAAAACTTGTAATCGTCTCATAAATAACTATTCTTCAACTATAAGATAGTTTTTTTTTGAATTTTAAAAATATATGGTATAGACCAGTTATCATTTTGAACTTTTAGAAAAAAAATCTTTCACATATATTTTCGTTTCTTCCAAGGACTGAATTTAGTGAAAGTTGTAACGATTTCTGGCTAAAGTATTAACGATTTTCTTACTTTGTTTCTTTATTTGGGAAACTTGCGTTATATTTTAAATGTCATTAAACACATTTTATACTTCTAAATTGAGAATAAAAAAGCTTTAAAGGTTAAAAGTTTAAAAGTAAAAATGCGTTTAAGGTCATTCAACAACCGGAAAAATTGAAAATGGAACCCTAATTGCATCTATATTTAAAGTAATGGGTGTACAATGACAGAGGTTAATTTGCGTTGAATACATTAATTCCAGTGCAGGTGTTTTCCTTTCGAACTCTCGAAAATGTTTACAGCACAAACTTGATCCTATTTCATTGCCACCTTTGACACTATCACAAATACGTTTCACGGTTCAATTTTACCTTAGACTTTCGCATTTCTTTCCCCTTAGTCATCTTCCGTCCCCTAAATCCGACATTTTCTAAATTAAACCATCTGTGGTTGCTTTGAAACCATCAAAACCAGGTAGTTTGGCTAAATTCCAAACAACATCTTAACAATCAGCTAAAGACCTGGACGAGACGAGCAGATGTTTCCGCCACGTGCCGCTGCCCCAGGCCTTCGAGCCATCAGCTGGTGCAACCTTTAATCAATCTTCTATTTCAAACAGGTCTTTTTACAAAGAAAGACATCAGCGATTTTCGCCGCTTTAACACAATAAACAGCAATGTCAATGACGCCTGATTCGAATAACAAGCGCATATTTCAATGCTTTATTGATAATTGCATTTATTTCAGGCTCGATGCCCGACGATGGCGTCCCGGACATGACAAGGCTGACAATCCTCGATGAAGAAGTGATAAACAAGAATCTGAAAGTGCGATACGAAAAAGACCGCATTTACGTATCCTTTGAGGAATATTTCATACATATAGAGTGTCCCAGAGGTCTGTATTTTTTCGATTACTCTGACAGTAAAGAATATAACGAAATGCGGTTTCTTTTGGACGATAGACATTTATTTTTTTCTATGGTTTAAAAATATTTTCGACATTATAGGTAATTCTTATATAGGGTGGCGCAACAAAGTAAGTAAGTAAGTAAGTATATAACACCAGGTATATTGTGCGCTTATTTGAAAGAGTTTTGAATTCTAAGAATATCCATATAAGGTTTTATGGGTCTATCATGGACCATTTATCATTTATGGGCAATTTTGAAAAATCGCAGCGGCTTTACTAGAAAGAAAAAGTGAATAAAAACAATTGCAACCATTTTTACTGGTCTTAAATTATTATGGTTGAAATTCGATCAACCTTTTACAACTACTGCAGAGTGTTAACATTCGCAAAATATCAGTTATCTTGTTTTTTTCAAATGAAACACCCTGTATGTTATTACTTTATCGTCTAGAGCTTTTAATAAGCTTTCTAAAAAACCTAGGGTTTGGAGGTCTAAACTTTAACTGTTTTATTATTGTACAGGGTGCTGCAGTTTGAATGTCCGAATAGGGAATCTCCGAAACTAAGATGTTTAGCCAAAAAACGAGTGATAGATCCTGGGGCTAATTTTTTGAGAAAATAATATTGGTTAACACCGCATCCCGCTATCGTCTTTTGTTTTCGACTTACAGACAAAAGTTGACATTTTGGCGAAATCTAAAAAAATTCATATCTTCGTTATTATAGAAGATTCGAATTTGAAATAAGGACATTATACAGGCACTTTTTACGAGGAATTTAATAATGTACTTAAAATTTTTTTTCAGTTTTTAGTTTAGCCGTAATAAGATAAACTTGCATTTTTTTTAATGGAAATCATAGGCGGTTATGGCAATTTTGAAAAGCTTGTTTTTTTCTGATCTAAAAATATATATTTGTAACAGAATATTTTTTTATAATTATACTTAAAAAAATTAAATACATATTTTGTTTGATAATAGTTGGCCATGGAAAAACTATTTCACTCCAAATGTGTAAATAATAATCAATAAGAGTTTTGTGAACTGTAAAATAGCTGAAAAAATAGATAAAATTATAAAGATTTAAAAAATACGATACGGTAGAAGCATTGAACAAATATCCGAGCGCTTCAGAACAAAATTATTACATATTTTTAAAAAATCAAAAAATAGGAAAAACAAATGTGTCAACAGTCAACACAATTAGAAAAAACATTTTTTTGGTGATCTAATGGAAGTAGGATAACGTTTCACATAGACGGAATTTGGGTATTTGAATAGCCATATCGTCATTTTTGTGTCATATAAAATATACAGGTGCGCCAGAACTCGCGCCCCAGAGAAAAATTTCAAGTAAGATAAGATATGGAACATGAACAAAATTTTAAAAAAATTCTATCTGTCAAAAAATTTTGACATTTATGATACTCATGATCTTGTATATGTTTTTTTAAAATTATTTAGTAAAAGTACAAAAATTTTGCCAATAAAAGCCACAAATAACATTGAACAGAGTTGCAATTTAGGACTCAGCTTGTTTGTTTTCTCTTCTAATAGCCTATAGCAAAAAAAGTATTTTTCCAAAAGAAACAAATAAAGTCAAATGCAAAATTTAAACACTCATAACTTCGAAATTTTTATAGATAAAATTTTTGTAACCTTTTTCCCATGTTCCTGGGATCTGTATATGTAATTTTTCTCTGGGGCGCGAGTTCTGGCGTACCCTGTATTTTATTGAAGAATAAAGCGGCTTTTTTTTACAACCCTCTATGTATCACTAGAAGTTACAATGGTAATGTTAGCTTGTTTAAAAACAAAGAAATGTTATTAGTCGCCAATAAGTTGATTTACAATTTATTTTGCATTTTTTTCATTACTTAGTACTTGGAAAACTCTTTTATTAGTAACACTGGTTGAATAATATAGTTTAAATCCTTTTAATTGAAAATGCAACATTTTTTCATAGCCAACTGCGAATAAAAATCAAAGATAATTTTTTGCTAAAAGTGTATTAAAATAATTTGTTACAAATATATATTTTTTAGGTAAGAAAAAAACAAGCTTTTTAAAAATGACAACCATCTATGACTCCCATTTAAAAAAATACAAGTTTATTTTATTACGGCTAAACAAACAACTGAAAAAAATGTTAAAAAGTGCCTGTATAATGTCTTTATTTCAAATCTGTGTCTTCTATAATAACGAAGATATGATTTTTTTTAGATTTCGCTAAAATGTCAATTACTTGTCAAGTACTTTTTTTCATAAAATTGCCCATAAAACGGCCGATGATAGACCCATAAAACCTAGTATGCATGTTCTTAGAATTAAAAACTCTTTCAAATAAGCGCATAATATACCTGGTGTTCCATAAAAAAAATATAACTTTGTTGCGCCACCCTATAACGAAATTACCTATAATGATGAAAATATTTTTAAACCATAGAAAAAATAAATGTCTATCGTCCAAAAGAAACCGCATTTCGTTATCTTCTTTACTGTCAGAGTAATCGAAGAGCTCTGGGACACCCTGTATAAACATACATATTTCAAATGTGTTGCATCCCGACTGAAAAAACTAAATAAAATTCCATTTCGGGCAACTCTCGCCCAATTCGCATCGATTTCCGATTTGCGTGAATGTCATTGTCACGATGTTACGTCAGGAGGAATCTAACTCCGGTTTCAATGTTAGTCAGATTGAAGCTACCGGAACTGATCTTAATGACTCAACCTTATAGGTTTTTTGACCTAGAAATATCCATTGATCGGGGTGATTCATTCAGGAACGATTTAAGAAATTTCGGTTCTTAATCATCAAGCGCAGAACTGTCTCGAAGGTCGTTTTTTCCGACACCAGATTGCTCGAGAAAAAGAGTTACATATTTAGCAGATGAGACAAAAGTTATCTCATTGCGATAGAAAGTTAAATCATTGGCTTCTGGGGTTCCATATGACGCGATATTACTCCCTTGCAACTGACATAAAATACCCTCGTTAACTCCATATCGTTCCATTCTGTCAAGTTATCGAATCCGAGGGCGTTGATTGTTATGATGACAGGCTTAAGCATTTTTAAGCCGCATTCAGGGTACTAATCAACAATAAAAGCAATCCTTAATCGGTTTGCATTGTTTTACGACAAACGAATAGGGCGACTCGAGTGAACAAAGTTTGAAAGAAGAAAAATAATATGTACAATTCCCAGCAACTTTTGCTCATTTAAATTTTATCACTTATCATTAGTAATCACTACAATACGCACTTTCTTCTTGTTTGTCTAAATAAACATGAATTTTTTTATTGTTCATGTAATTTTTTATACTTTAAGAGGTATAAAATGTTGAGGTGTACGGAATGTCCATTTAAAGTTACACACAATTTGAAAATTACAAAAATGTTCATTTTTTTTAAACAATATTTAATAACTTTGCATTACTGCAATTAAAACTAAAAACAAAATATGGTTTTATAGTATTTGATAAACAAGAATTTGGCAAAATTGTAGGTTGTCATTTGAAAAAAAAAAATGAGTACGGTCGTCCAATATATTGCATAGTTGAAAATAATAATTGGATAATAATATTGGCAACCAGAAAACAACCCAATAGTACACTACTCCACAAAAAATTAAAGGAACAAAAAAATTTCCTAATTTTTTTAGTAATTTTTAAAAAGCTCGATGAGTTAGTCTTTCAAAAATCACCAAAAAAATTAGGAAGATTTTTTGTTCCTTTAATTTTTTGAAGTAGTGTATATTAAGCATCAAGAATGGTAAGGACATTTTACCGATCGAAGACAATAATTGTTTGGAGGAGGAGCGAAGCTTATGACATTTTTTGAGCGATTGATTTTTTTTTAATAAAATATTTAACAAGTGTTCTAGAACGACAAACTACTTGCGTTGTACCATTAATAATAATTAAGTCATTATGTTCCAATTGTCCTTTAATTGTCCACCCTGTACCTATATGCTACAAAATTACGTTACCTTTTCCAGGCAAAATTTATCAAAAAAAATTCAAAACAATAAGCCATTTAATACTCATATTAACAAATTAAAAAATATTACTCGAAGCTTCTTAAGACATTTCATGTAATGTAGTGATTAAAAATTAAAATAGAAATTATACAAAACTGTAGAAAAAATATAAATGGATTTTGATTAAACAAACAAACAATTAAATTACATAAAAAAAGTGTTTTTGTAGTAACAATAAAATAATAGTTTAACAGTTTTTCATTTTTCTTTTGTACATATTAAGATTTACAAAAAATTGCGTTTTATTTAACTCTAGTTTAAAGGTGGATGCATATGCATACACTTCTTTTTCTTCATAATACATGTTTTTGTATTTTCTAGACTCCCCCTTTGTTTAGAATTATAATACAACACTGAAAATATCAACAAATTATTTGTATTTTAAACTGAATTGTTCAGTAAAGTTGGCGGCATTTATCTGACGTTTATTGGAAAACTTTCTCAGTTGTAACAACTTCCATTTTGAGTCATATAACGGGTGCTTTTTTAAAATTTGGCGTCAAAGCTAGCCATGAAAGTTTGGTTGTGAACGAATCATCGTATTGAAAGTTATTAATCTGACATTTGACACGGGCGTATTAAAAATTGTGGTCTGTTTACAACACCCTCGTATCACCGCCAACTATGACGCCAAATTTAAATAAATACCCGTTATAATAAAGACTCTAACCGATTTTCAGACTCAATCCAAAATACCGATACCACTGACTGATAAATGATAAACTATTTGAAAATTTTCAAAAATATAAACATAGATATTTATGATAGCTTTGATAGTTTTCATAAATTGGCGTCCTATGGTGTGTACAGGGTGCTGCATTTTGGATGTCCGAATAGGGAATCTCCGAAACTAAGATGTTTAGCCAAAAACGAGTGATACATTCTGGAGCTCATTTTTTGACAAAATAATATTGGTTAAAACCGCATTCCGCTATCGTCTTTTGTTTTCGACTTACAGACAAAAATTGACATTTTAGCGAAATCTAAAAAAGGCAGAGTTAAATATAGTAAAAGAGCAGTTATGACATTAGGAAAACTAGGTGATAACTCATTCGAGTATTAAAAATTCTGCAAATTCTTTTACAGATTTTGTTGTCTTTAGTTTCTCTTTTATGTACAAATTTTTAACAAGTGATGCCAATTTACTGGAAAAAGCTTTGTTGACTATGTCGTTCTTATAAAAATTTGTTGTGTTGACAACAACTTCGTCATCATTAAGTTCCGCCAAACGTTTAGGGTTTGAAAGAGAAAATTGAATCTTATTAATAATTTTTGTACACTCTTTAAAAATGTATAAACTATTACTAGTATTATTCTTGTTGTCTAAGGTACCGCCCGATGATACAGTGTCACGAGGTGTGCGACTTTCCGGACACCCGTATAAAGATCATACCAGTTTTTACGTCGTTTGAGTACATTTTGAAAGAAAAGGAAAAAAGTTGAAGTGTTAAAACTTGTCGGTGTCATGAATGAAATATCAACAACTAGATACTTTGATTTAAATTAATAATCTAAATTTTTCAAACATAACAAAAGCCAAGTTATCTGTGAGAATATATTTTGGGTTGCGTCTGAAAATCCGTTAGGGTCTTTATTATAAAATAAATGACTCACCCTGTATCTAAAAAGACAAAATAAGTTCTGTTTTCTTTCTTATTTTACATAGTCATACTTTTTAAGAGTGTAGTTTTAGCTTATTAACTTATGAAAAGAAAAATATATTGTAAAGTTTTTAAAAAATTTAAACTTGTAAATTCTCTTTTGATGCATGTTAAGATAATTTATCAACGGAGAAATAAGTCACTCTAAATAGTAAATGACTCACTCAATTTGTCACAAATCTATGTAAACACAAAAATTTCGGTAGTGTTTAATCACTGTTATCGGAACCTGACTCAATAAATATTGGTCTCACAATCAAATCATTCACTGAAAAATTAAATATTGGGGTTCGCCAAATACCGACTACAAACCGTAATAGGGTCGGAAAGGGCGGAAATTAAGAAATAATTAATGTAACACCATCGGAATCCAGAATCTATTTTCTGATAAAGCTGGATATCTCTGTTAAATTATAACGAAATAAATACAATAATTTCTATTTCGGTAACTTATATACTTAAAAAATTATCAAATCAATACTTACTTGACTGGTCATTCTAAAAATTTAATAACTGACCTGAATTAAAACTAGGAGAGCCTTTGTATAAGACAAACAGGAAGACATGTGCTTTTATAATTACTCTTCTTTGCTTTTGATCTGAGCGCAACGAGTTTGAAACAAACCAGAGTCTTATCATCACTAGTGCGAAATAATCAGTTACAACCCCTTTTCCTAGTATTTTCTAGTATTTTCCTTAATTAGATTTAGACATACACTGGCTCAATCCTCGTCGCAGTCAACCCTTACAAGGACATTGACATCTACTCTCAAGTAAGCAAACAAAACTTTTTCAAATTAACGATTAGCATTCGTAACACGCGAGATTTCCGGGCATTGTGTGTCACCAATCATTTGCAAAAGAGTTTAATTTCGCGTTGTAACATCCAACATCCTTTGGCCTCCCACGCCTCGTGTTAAACAAACACAGGGCGACAAAAAAAAGTAATGTCGTGACTACTTGACAAATTTGATATCATTTTGTTCGTCTCAGTGAGACAAATCAAATGCACTAAAAAAGATTTAAAAAAGTCCACACACTTTGAACTAAATAATTTTTTTCTAATTTAAATGAATTTAAAATACTTTAACTTTAAAAAATCATTACTCACTAACTATTAGGCCTATTTCCTTCAAATAAAAACCATTCTAAAGAGATGGCCTTGCCCTTTAGAATGATATGAAATTTGAAATTGAATATTGGTAAACTTTTCTTCGAACAATGTTCGAAGAAGTTCGAAGTAATCTAAGAAACACCCTACGAGTAAATTTTTTTTCATCATCACCATCGTGTAGAGCATCTCCTTATTAGTTGTAATCCAAATTTTCAAAAGAATATACCGAGTAGTTTTCAAAATATGATTTTTTGGAATTAAGGTTTGCTAATCAAACATTGCTCCATATAGGAGAAATGCATGTTAATCTTACTTAAAATTGCATTTTTATAAAAGTATTTGTTTTAAGACTCTTTTTCTTGTTAAAAATGGTCAATTACACCTTCTTTGTTCTAATTAGAATAAACAAAAACTGTTTCTTTACTTAAAACAGACAAAGAGTACCTGCGTACTAATTAAAGCAAATAAAGAGTTTTTTTGTTCTAAAAATGATCACTGATCATTGAGCAAAAAGGATCTAGAAGTTTAAAGCAGTAGCTTAAAATTAAGGGCAAATCTTTTTCAAATTAAATCACTTTCCATTCAGATTCCAACTTGTTCACTTTGTTCTAGCTACCTGAACTTTTTTTTTGAAAATATTCTCAGCAAATGCTTTCTCATCACTTTCTACTGATGTTGAATGCAATAAGTCAGTTGCTTCGTGTGCAACTGTTATCACAACAACTAGGTACTACCTAGAAGCTAACTAAAGCTAATCGTAGAATGTACCAACAAAATAAATCAGATGACTTATTGGATTTAACATCACTCGAAAATGTTGAAAAAGCATTTGCTCAGAACATTTTCAAAAAAAAGTTCAGAAAGCTAGAACAAAGTGAACAAGTCAAAATCGAAATGGAATGTGATTTGATTTGAAAAAGATTTGCCCTTATATTTAAGGCTCGTGCCTTAAACTTCTAGATCCTCTTTGCTCAATGATCAGTGGTCATTTTTACACCAAAAAAACTCTTTATTTTCTTTAATTAGTACGTAGGTACTATTTATTTGTTTTAAGTAAAGAAACAGTTTTTGTTTATTCTAATTAGAACAAAGAAGGTGCAATTGACGATTTTTAAGCAAAAGAAGAGTCTTAAAACAAATACTTTTATAAAAATGCAATTTTAAGTAAGATTAACATTAACGCAATGCTTGATTAGCAAACCTTAACTTCAAAAAATCATATCTTGAAAACTACCCGGTATATTATTTAAAAAATTTGGATTCTTACTAATGAAAAGATGCTCTACACGATGGTGACGAAGAAAAAAAAATACTCGTAGGTTTTTTCTTAGATTATTTCGATTTACTTCGAACATCTTCGAACACTGTTCGAAGAAAAGTTTGCCAATATTCAATTTCAAATTTCATATCTTTCTAAAGGGCAAGGCCATCCCTTAAGAATGGTTTTTATTTGAAGGAAATCGGCTTAATAGTTATTGAGTAATGATTTTTTAAAGTTAAAGTATTTTAAATTCATTTAAATTAGAAAAAAATTAATTAGTTCAAAGTGTGTGGACTTTTTGAAATTTTTTTTAGTGCATTTGATTTGTCTCACTGAGACGAACAAAATGATATAAAATTTGTCAAGTTGTCACGACATAACTTTTTTTTGTCGCCCTGTGAAATTAACTTTGCAAAAAACAGGAGTGTTACACGTGTGATTGTCTCGGTCGTCATAATATAGGTTAGAGAAGGGGTAGGTTGATAATACCGAGGGGCTGTATTGATCAAGGCGGTGGCCACCCCAACGCGTATAAATAAAGATAAACTATGGCAAACGCCGAAAACGGAGTGAGACAGAGGAGACTTGAATGAACCATCCGATTGTAAACGGTTGCTGGCAAGCGGTTTAATAAAGAACCTCTTCTTTATCGTAATGTCAAAACGCATTGTATGGTCATACGGGTGGAATAAAAAGATTGTGGGGAGACAATGCCCACTTATGGTGGATTTTGTTTCCTCTTGTAAAATTATTCTAATGAAATTTTAACAGTGAAAGAGACTTCCAGGCACGCAGCAAGTTGAAAATTGTCTCTATTGAATCATGATGGTGCTTGAGAGGAATATTCATGAGAGGCTTTTTTCCATAAATGTATACCGTTTTATTTTATATATGCATGTAATGAGTTGTTTACTGCTGGAAAATTATACGGGATTTCTTTGTTTTGATAGTGAATAAATAAGAGTAAATATTTGTGTTATTATTATCTTGCATGTTCTTTGGACTTGTCTTGGCACTATCACAGTAAAAGATACGAGTATTATTGAATTATGCGACAGGGGCGGATGTCCGTTATAGTTTTGCAAATTTGTTATCAGAGGAACTTGCTATCAAATATCATCGAAGGAGCTTTTACCACACAGGAGGAAAGTTTTCATTCGGAAGTTGGGATTGTTTTATTTTCACACCGTGCGATCAAAAAAAAAATTAAATTAGGCGACGATTAATACTCTACAGTTGGCAACATGTTGGCTGGAACTGAAACTGAAAATGACCATTCACCGTTTTCGTCTTGTACAGTATTTTTGTAACTTGTAACAATAAAAATTTTCTACTCTAAAGTGAACATTATTTCACTCAAAATGAATAAAACGCAAACTTGTCAAAGTTTCCGCTGACATTTGATGTCAAAAATCAGAATTGCCATCTGAAGGATTTTAATCACCGACTACTCTAATTTATTTTCTTTTTGATCGCACGGTATTAAAATATACCTATCTATTATTTATGCATTGATATGAAATACCACAACACAATGGAAACAATTTTTTATTTCTTTTCCTTGCATAGAAAACTTCCTTTGTTTGGAGAGGAATTTAAAAATTAGAGACTAATGAGCTTTTTAATATATCTGTACCAAGACCTGCAAACCATCTTTTACATGGAATTCCTTTATAAATGGAAGCATTTTAATTTTAATAATAATATAAAAATAGAACAAAAAAATAAAAAGTCAAAAACTGGAGTAATATTTTAAAGTTCTTGTCCATATCATGCAAAATATATATATATTTTTAAATAATCAATGTTCAACAAACGTGGGCCAACAACACTCTCTACAGTTAGATTTTTCTTTGGTCTATTCATAATTGGAAAAATCATTACGTTTGGAAAAATTTGGGGAAGGTTGATGAAAACTCTCTCAAAATCACTTGAGTAATCCAAAAACATAATAAAAACATAGCTTTCTACAGTATGTTCCCGGATTGAGTTTACAAAAGGAAATTTTTTTTTATCTTTGATTTTACGCCAAAACTGCAAAGAAAAAACATTTTTTGCTTTACCTGAAACGAAATCTGTAATTAAAACTTCATTATTCTAACTCAGTAGAAAGAAAAGTTCATTTTTCTCTTGATTTTGGACTGCTTTTTAAGTCCTATATCACATTGGTGGTTTTGTTATTTTGACAATGATGTTACTTTGACAAATGAGTTTACGTAAGTTAAATACCAAAAATGTTTGTAAAAAACATAATTTTATAAATAGCAACTCAAAGAAACAGCTCTAAGATAAAGATAAAAATAAAAATTATTTTTAACAAAAACTATCATTATTTAATTAATAAAGTAATTGTCAAAGTGGCATACAGTTGTCAAATAAATAAAACCGCCAATGTGATAGGACTTAAAAAAGCAGTCAAATGTCAAAAAGTAACAATTGAAAGTAAGAATTTTTAAACATTTTTTATGTCCCTCTTATCTTCTTGGCATCTTTTTCTGGGGCGCGAGTTGTAAAGCACCCTGTATATATTAATTAATTATACAGAAGTATACACAGTGATGATTGACAACTCCTTGTCACAAAGTACATATGTGAATTAAAATTAATTAAAAACTGACATAAATTAAACGAATCTTATTCAAATACTTAGCTTAGAGCGTGACAGTAATATTGTTTTCCTCTCGTTTTACAAAAATATATACAGTGAACCACGTTTCATCCTCAATTCCTTAACTAATCAGAAAACACAAAAAAAAAAATTACAACAAAAAAATTGCCCCATAAAATTAATAAAAAACGATTTCAACAAAAACCTTCTTGTCTAGTTTTTATATCGACAAAATCAGTATACTGTATGTTCCCGGATTGAGTTTACAAGACTACTACTACACTACCCGAGTGCAATTAGAAAAACCATTTTTTGCTTCACCTGAAACGAGCTAATCTGTATTTAAAACTTCACTATACTAATTCAGTGAAAAGAAAAGTTAATTTTTCTCTTGATTTTTCTCTGCTTTTTTTTTATTTATTTGACAATTATAAGTCACTTTGACAATTAATTTATTAATTAAATAATGATAGAGCTTGTTCCAAATCTGGTGGCGAACTAGCGTTGTCAAAAATGACTGAATTTTGACAATAAACATATGTTTACTATTAAAAAAAATATTGTTCATAGGCGTCGTATGAAATAATATTTCAAAACCACTGTTATTCTTTAAAAAATTATAACAAGTAGGTACTCGTACATAAGATGAAGAATGATGAACAAATTATTAAATTGTTAACACATGAAAAGAATTTTCAAAAATGATATTCCTAACAATCCTTGTCTTCAAAATTTTTAGAGAAAAAAAAGTACGCCCATGTATTTTTTCTATCTTTACCAAGTGGGCGCACTCCAAGTGTCTTTTCTGTCACTGTGAGTTTGCTACCAGATATGGAATAAGCTCTAGTTCTTGTTAAAAATGATTTTGTTTTTTATCTTAAAGCTGTTTCTTTGAGTTGCTATTTATTAAAATTATGTTTTTCACGAATATTTTTGTTATTTAACTTGTGTAAACTCAGGTGAAGCAAAAAATGTTTTCCCTTTGCAGTTTTGACGTAAAAGATAAAACAAATTTCCTCTTGTAAACCCAATCCGGGGACATACTGTATATAAAATACCGCAGTTGATACCCACTTCCGGAAGTACCGCCATCTTGAAAATATTTTCATTAAGTAGGACGTAACCCATATTATGACTCTAAACAAAATTTTAAATAAATATCATTATTACAACTTCCAAAACTTCTAGTATGGGGTTTAGCCGGAACAGCCTGTATAGTTTACACATTTTGCGTTGCAATGAAAAAATCAAAAAACGAACCAAAATGAATAACACTGATAGTACAAGAGATAATACATTTATGTCATTTCAAAAAATCTCAATGTAAGCCACGCTTTATTGTCATTATGATTGACGTTTAAAACTAAAATTTGAAAGTTTTAGTTGAAATTTATTTTTGGCGTCGATTTTCTGAAACAATAATGCCAGCAATACGTGTTTTTATATAAATTTAATAAATAATTTTGATTTGTTGTCCTTTTTTCTCTAGTTATCAGGATAAAAATTACAAAAACCGAAAGCGGGGTTAGTTGCCTAAGGCCCGTTTTACATAGTTGAATGACAAATCGTTCAAAATTCCGAGTCCGCCAGTGTAGTGTATTACTACACACATACATTTTTTTTTAATTTGCCGTTTTAAGTTGTCATGCTCAAATTATCTGTTTACTATTAAAGATTATAAAAAATAAATCGTATTTGTTTATTTATTTATATCCATCTTGTTTATATCTATAACGAAACTAATAATTAATAACAAATATAATTCGATATTAAGAAACCTGCTCTAGAAATTAAAAATGCAGAAAATCAAAGAAAAAAAGTGTTTTCCAACTTGCTTTTTGTCATTTAATTAAAAATTTCCGCTGTAGTGGTCATTATTTTCCTAATTTTCTTTTAATTCTCCCGAGAGCTCATTAAATCCACAAAAATCAATTTATTTTTCCAACTTATTCATTTAAAATTTTGAATCTCAAACACCAATGATGTTTAAAATTCATTAGATACTAATGTATTTTTCAAATAGATAAAAAAAATTAATGTTGTAAGTAGTAGAAGAAAAAACATTAGTTTGTCGGTAGTTTATTGCATGTTTTTGTCATATTTATTTCGCAAATAACCACTTATTTATACACATTTATTATTTTTAAATCAGAGATTTTTACTATCTAGTAAAAATTATACAGTGGGAACTTCTTGCGTTCCGGCGACTGCTTTTAGTAATTGTACTGTCTGAAATCAGTAATGAGGTTGTATGTTAAAAAAAGGAAACGCATCAGACTTTTCTCTTGGGAATTATTAAAAAAAAAATCATGTAAGAATCATTGCACCTGCACGATATCACACACCTGCCATCACTAATTCCTCAAATTTCATCTAATCTCAAAATTTCGTCTAATCCCCTCATTCTTTGCTGAAATCTGAAACCGTCGCGAAGTAAAACATAATATCAAAATACACTCGAATTAAAATTCAAGCCTAATTGAATAACCATCTGTCCTCCAGCAATACGTGAGTAAATACCAGGGGAAAAAATTAGGGGCACACGAGCCACATGTTTTCGCATTGGCGGAAGCAGCTTACGCCTCTCTTCAAGCAGATCCGAGTGGAAAAGGTCACACGAACCAAAGCTTGGTTATAAGTGGAGAAAGCGGTGCTGGAAAAACGGAAAACACTCGCTTTATCCTTCAGTATTTATGTTCAGTCACCAGTGGAGTTTCGACATGGGTTGAGCAACAGATTCTCGAAGCTAACACTATATTGGAAGCTTTCGGTGCGTCTTTGAGGGTCCTATGCAGTCGGTTCACAAATGTACAGTCGAACAAAGTGAAAATGACGCGAAATGAAAATTGAATTCTTCTGAATTTAATTTTAATTAATTAATTTAATTCCTTAAACTAATTCGAATTAAGTTGACATTTATTTTGCATTGACATTTTTTAATGAAAAATTTAA